AACTTAGTTATGTTTCAATTCAGTGTCAGAAAATCTTTTATCAGGTAAGAGTGTTACATAAATAATAAATGAGTAAACAAATTTATAAAAATATTCAACTCAAGTCTTTTTGAAGGAGTACAATAAATAACGCATAACTGTGAACGCAGTATTTTCATTTGTTAGAGTGTACGCAGTATCATAATGTCTATTTTAAAAATGTGTTTTAAGAAATTTTTTTCGTACAAAGGAAACAGAAAAAGAAACTGAAAATATATGTTTGAAATAGATTCAACAATAAATAAACTAACTTCCAGTCGTCAGAAACTTTTAGATAAATCGACAATTTCTCAATTTCTGTAACAATTTAACACCAGGTGTACGTAGTATCCAGAATTCAAATCGCATTCAACGCAAAATACTGACGAGAAAGAGAAGAGTTATGTCAATGCATTTGGAATACTGAAACTAGAAGTAAGGAGAACGAATTAAATTTTAATCTATTCTGGTTGTTTTAAATAACTGGTATTTGTTCAAAATACCGGTTGATAAAGTGTTCGCTGTATCAGAATTTAGAGAATGCGCGCGCATCGTATGACCCCCTTGTATCAGGCTTTTGTACAATTTACATTTTCTGAACTTGATCATATTTACATACAGTAGTGATTTAAAATATATGTACACTGCATATAATAACATTTGATTTAAACGACAGTCGTTAGGCTATCGATAAACATTATTTGTAAGAATACGCCCGACCTTGGTACGATACTTCGTCACTGCACACTTTTAAAATGCTCAAAATAAGACTGTTTATGTCGACTCAAATTTAAAATATATTTTTATTTTAAGAAATCATTAGATTATCAAAATGATAAAGAAGCAAACAAAAGATCGGCTTTATTACCATATAAAAAGTTTTACTGTCTGGTGTAAGCCCAAAACCTTGATAGAATTTATTTGGGCGTCCGAGTGGGACCATTTATAAATAAAAAAAACATCCCGTGCACAATTTACATTTTCTGAACTTGATCATATTTACATACAGTAGTGATTTAAAATATATGTACACTGCATATAACAACATTTGATTTAAACGACAGTCGTTAGGCTATCGGTAAACATTATTTTTAAGAATACGCCCGACCTTGGTACGATACTTCGTCATTGCACACTTTTAAAATGCTCAAAATAAGACTGTTTACGTCGATTAAAATTCAAAATATATTTTTATTTTAAGAAATCATTAGATTATCAAAATGATAAAGAAGCACACAAAAGATCGGCTTTATTACCATATAAAAAGTTTTACTGTCTGGTGTAAGCCCAAAACCTTGATAGAATTTATTTGGGCGTCCGAGTGGGAGCATTTATATATACAAAAAACATCCCGTGTTCAGGACTTAAACAGACAGTTAATCTTTAAAAGTTGCTTCAAGTTGTTAAAAGTAACCATGGAATTATTACAATACCCCACGAAAGGATTAAAAAATATGATAATGAATTTTTAGATTGTGTATTTAGCCTTAAAGTTTCATGCATCAAATGACCCTTAGGGAGTTTCAAAATATCAAAAATATACTGACAAACTTGAATATACTGGAATAATACTTCCTATATATTTAACCAAACACCTAGAACAGAAATTTAAAATAACATTTGATTTAATATTTTGGTTATGAAAAAGGTGTAATTTATCCGCTATACGTATCAGAATACAACTCCTGACAAACGTGATCTCCTGTTAATCAAATTCAGCATCACATTATATATCGCCAAAAAATTGGCTGAGGCATATAGTGTTACCCTATTTTGTCATTCCGTCATTCCTTCACTCCATCATTCCGTCATCACCAGTTTCCGTTCATTATATTGGCAACAGTTGTACATATTCTACTCACTCAAAATATTCGACATATAGATATTTCATGGGAAAATACAGGTCAAGTTCGAAATTGGTCATGGTCCTATGATTTTCAACAAATTCATGTCACTTAAAGAAATTTTTAGTTTCCGTCAAGTTCAACTCAACTTGACATATTGATGCGTCATATTAATGCACAGGTCAAGTTTGAATTTGGTCATGGTTCGATGATTTTAGGCAGAGTAATATCCCTCCACCTTTGAAAAGAAAGAAAAAAAGCAAAACAAAACAGAAAAAAGACAAAAAAAAAAAAACACAATAAAAAAACCCAGAAATTTTCTGTTTCCGTTCATAATCTCCCCAAAAGGTTTACACATTCAACTGAAATTGGACATATAGATATTTCAAGTAATGAACAGTTCAAGTTCGAAATTTGTCATGGTTCGAGGATGTGGCAGAGTTATCCCCCTATTACTTTGGAAATCAAAAGAAATTTTCATTTTTCACATTAAAAACAAAAAATAACGTATGGATGTGAAAACAAAGAGACATTTTCATCTTTCGAACATTATCTTTCCAATAGATGTACACATTATACTCATAATTAAGAATTTAAGATATGGAATGTGCAGGTAAAGTTCGAATTTGATCATAGTTCGATAATTTTGTCCACATTTATCCCTCTTGAACTGTGAAAAAAAGAAGAATATTTCAGTTTCCTTCAGTTTTTGTTCATTATCTCCCCAACTGTTGTACACATACTTCTCAAATTCAAGCTATGAACATGACAAAGAAATGCGCAGGTCAATTTCGACTTTGGCCATGGTTCGATGATTTTTGAGTTATCTCTCTGGAACTTTGAAAAAAAAATTCAGTTTCCGTTCATTATCTCTCCAACAGTTATATACCGTCAACTAAAATTTGACATATAGATACATCATATAATTATTTAGGTCAAGTTTGAATTTGGTCAAGGTTCGATGATTTTAAACAAAGTTATCCCTTCTGAACATTAGAAGAAATAGAAATTTTCAGTTTCCGCAATCTTAGATTTTTGAAATGTATGTATAAGGTTGAAATCATATGTGCAGGTTTTACCCGAAAATATATATCAAGTTCGGATTTAGTTATGATCCGATGATTTTTACCTTCTTGAACTTAGAAAAATAAGAAAAAAAAACAGTTTCTGTTATATCTTTTGTAGGCATTTATGCCCGAGGTTGATATTGCATGTGCTGGTATTTTACCAGAAAATACGATTCAAGTTCTATTTTGGTCATGATCAAATGTTTTTGACTAATAATATCTGTCATATTTTGCGGTTTAACGTGGCTTGCCGAGTTCCGCCCATGGGCGGGTGACCGAGGGACGGATATTCCGATCCGAACCGCAAACATATGTCAGATGTTTTTTCTTGCATATTCTACCATATTCCATTATATTTTAAATTCCTAATCTTTATTTTCAATGAAAATTTATATCATAACAACCGTAACTACTTTCTTACAACAACGTATGAATTACAACTTCATTCATAACGGTAAAATGACGTCATCCTAACCGTTCCATTGTACAGCACGTGACTCATCTGGAATCCCCCATGCCAGATGAAATTTTCGGCATGGGTAAAACTCACGGAAACGCCAATCTGATATGCAAGAAAAGTATCCTCCTTGAACTTGAAAAACAATTTTAATCATTATCTCGGCTACAAATATGCAATATGCAATTTGCAAAAGGTTAATACTGAATAGTTTCAGGGCCTTGACTTTTGTATATAAAAGATGTGGTAATATTGAATAGATAAACGACATTGAACTTCGTGGAGTTACGACATATTTCTAGTTGTAAATCATTTTTAAAATACTTTAATGCACTTTGTCAAAGACACAAGAAAAAGAATATAATATATGATAAACAAGATCAACAAGTAAAGGCGGCGTTCAATGAACGCAACCCCCACCCGGTGGCAAGGAGCCCAGGAGGACCCCCAAACAAAAACAGGACAGGGCACAAGAAGAACAAAATAGAAATCGCAGAGCAGTCAAACATGCAGAAGAAAATATACAGAAAAGAATTACATTAAAGGAGCTAAGAATCCTCCTCTGCGGGATCATTGTCATATTTTAGTAAAATTTCGGGATATTCATCGTGCAATTTGATTTTTTTAAATTTACAAAGATTATTCCAGTAATCTCCGGGGTTTTGGCAGTTATTTTATTATGCAGCAAATAGGACAGTTTAAAAAGAAAAGTTATGTTATTGAACATTATACGAGTATGCATAAATATAAAGCATTCATGTTTTCTCTTTCTGTTTTAGTCTTCATTGATTCCTTTCATTTCATGTCTCAATCATTAGGTTAGGTGTAACAGAATTTGAATATAATTTTTACGAATTTAAAGGCAGCAATATTGAGTTGACACCAAAAGTTGTTAATCCATATGAGTTTATAAATTCATTTAAGAATATAAAAGATTGATCTTTCAATTGATGAATTATATTCTTAAATTCAACTGGTATAGGCGATATCACTATATGGATGAACATGCACAAAACACGCAAAAGTTTGGAAAGAATTCGGATAAAAACAAAAGTAGCTCAGTTAATGAAATAACCAAAGGCCTATTTAGTAAAAACAGCATTGAAACTTTAACAAATAATTTAAAAGCTAATGAAAGCAGGATTATGTTATTATAATAACTTTTATATTTATCCATTTTGGTGTTCCTTCGCAAAATAAATTATTTACAGGATATAAATTTTACACAATTCAATACCAACACAAAACAAGTATATTATGGAGATATTTTTATTTAACGTTTATTGATTTATTAAATGATAATGTTTCAGTCAATGACATTTCATACAATGTTCCAAATAGAAATAATCCGAATCAAAATAAATAAATTATAACAAATTATTTTTAAATATTTTAAATATCAGATAAATTCAATTTGACAGTTTATTTCTAAAAATCCTTTTCATTATTTAGAAAATCCGTAAGACCATGTAGGAAATAAGACGTTATGCACTCTGTATACTTAGGAGCAACAACCAAGTTTTACCTCCAATAAGGTTTGCAGTGTGTGTTAGAGGTGAAAAAGTGAAGACGAAGTACCTGGTTAGGTAAAATGTCCTTTATATCTTTTCAGATAAATTAGCCACTCTAATGACAAATGATACACAACGTTTGAATAGGCAAGATGGGACGGCGTAAAGGGTTGAAAGTAAAACTAGAAGATAAAGAAGAATTAAAGAAATATGTTGATAAAGTAAAATATGAAGATGTCCGAAAATCTAATTCCTTGCTTGGTAATTTGGCGAAACAAATGCTTACAATTAATGATATTACCTCAAGACAATGCATATATGATCAGATAAAGATATTGAGACCAGCTCACATTAGTGGACAAAGCAAATCAAGTAAAGGCCGTCGTTATAAAAACCCATTTTGGTTAAAACGTGGAAGCTATGAAATTGGAACGAAACCAAAAAACTCTCAAAAAATCTTTAAACTTGAAAAAAATGAAGAAACAAAAAATGTGACGCATTCAGGTGAGAATGAATATAATACCGAGACAGCAAAGGAAAGAAACATAAAAGCAAAGAGTGTTACTGTAAGCACAAGGGAAAGAAACAGAAAACGTTATATTGATTGTGAAACAACAACAAATAGAAACAAAAAACACGACTGTAATGGTGACATGTCAAGAAACAGACACATAGAAAGAGAATGCGAGATTCAACAGAATTTCGATAGAGACGTAAAACGTCAAAGTGATGCTACAACAATAAATGAAAGAGTTAATCAATGTGAAAGTGATAATGAAACAGATAGAGGTAGACAGATAAGAAGTGAACTTAAAGATGAAAGCGGAATTAATAAAAGATGTATTGGAAACGTTATTAAAAAAGACATAAACAAAGATCTTTGTTCTGAACCACGAAGATATAACAGAAAATTTGAAAGTAATACTCTGACCAAAAGATATAGATACAAAACAAGTAAAAATAGTGCTGCTGCAGCAATAGAAAGTGACAGAAAAAGAAAACAAGAAAGAAAAAAAGGTAAATACAATAAAAAAGATTCTGACTCTAAATCAACAATAGATGGAGACAATGATATAGACGGTGATATTGACACCACAACAGATATGGACAGTCAAAGTGAATGTGGGACTGAAAGAATATTAGACAGATACAGTAAAGGTGGTAGTTTTATAACAATTATAGATAAATACAAACAGAGTAAGAATGTAACAACACAAAATATGAACAGACAAATTGATAGTGAGAATGAAACAGAAAAAGGTAAAAACTCACAAATTGATATTAAAAATGAAACAACAAGAGAAAGAGAAATGCAAAGTGATAATGATAATGAAACAACAGCATTTATTGACAAACACAGTGGAAGTGAGAATGAAACAATAGACAAACGCAGTTATACTGATGATGAAACAAATATAGATAGACAAAAAGAGAGTAATTATAAGAATAAAACAACAGAAGACACGGACGAACAAAATGGAAGTGATCATGTAAATACAAGAGATATTCACATAAGAAGTAACAGTGATAAAGCAACGATAAGAGACAGAAACAGACAAATTAATAATGAATTAAAAACAATAAGACAAAAACAAGGAGAAACTGATTACGAAACAAATAGAGATATGCACGGAGATATTGATAATGAGAAGAAAACAAAAAGAGAAAGATATAGACAAAGTGATATTGATTTTGATACCATGCGAGATAGTGGACGTGATTGTGATACTGAGAATGAAATCATAAGAGATATACACAGAGAAAGTGACAGTGATGATAGAGCAGTAAAGGAAAGGGTCAGACAAAATTATAATGAAGCAACAAAAACACCAACACAAATTGATAGTTATTATGAAACAAATAGTGATATTGACAGTGCAATTATAAGTGCGAATACCTCAATAAGTGAAATAGACAGACAAAGTGAGAATGATAATATAACTACAAGTGATATGGACGGCGAAAGTGACAATGATAGTGACACAACAACAGTTAGAAACAGACAAAGTGCTGACGAAAAAACAACAAATATGGATGAAGAATTTGGTAGTTATAATGACAGAAACATAGATATGGACAAAGAATGTGAAAGTGATATTGAAACAGTCAGAGTAAGAAACAGACAAAGAGCTAATGAAACAACAACAGAAAAACTCAGACAAATAAATAGTGATAATAAAACAAATATGGATATGGAAAAAGAAATTGATTCTGAGATTACTTTAACAAGTTCTAGCAACATAAAAGGTGATAGTAATAATGAAAGAAAAAGACATATGAACAGAAAATATGCTAGGTATAATGAAAGAAAAAGGGATATGGACATAGAACGTGATGATAACAGAACAATAAGAAATGGAAACCGACAAAGTGCCTATAAAACAACAACAAAAAGACACAAAGAAAATGAAAGTGATATTGAAACAAAAAGAGACAAGCAAAGTGGTAACGAATCATCAACTGATGGACACAGGCAAAGTGAAAGTGATAAGGAAACAACAAGACGAAGACTAAGTGATAGTGATAGTGATACAGAAGTAACAAGAGATGTAGACAGGCAGGGTAAATATGATAATAGAACAAGGCAAGGAGACAAAAACAATAAGAGTGATATAGAACTTGGAGAAACAGATATTAAAACTGAAAGTGATACTGACAAAACAAGAGATAGAGACAGGGACAGTGGTGCTGAAAGAGACAAAAAAAAAAGAAAAAGTCGGGTCTTTTTCTTTTGAAATTCTATACAAACAATGGAAGAAAATTCGGCCTATGGAAACAGTGACGTCAAAATCGAAAAAGAAATACGTATTAAAAAAAGGATGGACAGACCTTTTCGCGGAGAAATTCAATGAAACCATTCCTGGCTGTGTCATTGTCTTTAAAGGTCATGACGTTGGATGTACCGAAAGGGCACAGACGTACATCACTGCCACAGCTCGATGTACTCACAATGGTTGTGGAAGGTTTAAATTTCAAATAAAGAAAAAACCAACAAAAGATAAACACCATGTTCGAGTTCATGTTCAGATCATGCATTCATATTTTAAACATAGCCGCAAAGAAATAAAAAAAAGACCGCTGCGCGGAGACAGAAGAAAAACAACTCAAATAAAGTTAATAAATGATACAGCCTCGTCATATTTCTATCAGAAATTAGGAACAATGAATGATAAGCAATTTCTCCAAGGCAATTATACAGAACCACTCTCGTCAACAGTGCTACGGAAAGCCAAGAGTGAATGGAATTTACATGATGTCCTCCACAAGGATCCCATGACAGAACTCTGCATAGTCGATGCAGTTCTGTCTGGTGTAGAAAAGGGCAAACATTTTGATGGCTATGTACAACAGATTACGTTCAAACCATTTTCTACTGTTTTTTTCTCCGAACTTTCTTTGGAGGCAGTCAGGGAAAATGTAAGGAGAGGAAGTGGAGTATTCTATTTAGATGCCACCGGGACAGTAGTCCATAAAGTCGGAGAAAGTAGGAAAAAGCTTCTCTATTATACACTTGTAAGCCCACCAGTGCTTTCAACAGAAGACAAGAGTTCTGTACCTGTTCTTGAGTTTATCCTCTCAAGGCAAAATACACAGGAAATTTCTAAATGCCTCAGCTTCTTCATTCACAAATTGAAGACCTACACAACAAATTGGAGGCCAAGAAGAATTGAGAGTGATTTTAGCTGGGCCATGATCCACTCAGTCCTTAATGCATTTAATGTCATGACAGTACATCATTACCTAAAATACTGCTTCAAAGTTTCAAGTGGATGTCAAGATATATCCGGTGATGTAACTGTTATTCATCTTTGTGCGGCACATGTCCTAAAAGCTGTACGAGATAATTTGAGAGACAAAATGTCAGATAAAGGACTTCGAAAGTTGGCATTAAGGACATTTGCTCTCTTTCAAAACTGTTCAAGATTAGAACAGGTTCAAGAACTGTACAAGATAGTATGCGCTGTTTTCGAAGAACAGTACGACAAACCAGGAGTCGTGGAGGAGAAAGAACGATTACGAGAAATGGTAAAGAAGGCAAATGTTGACGAAGTGGACACGACACTAACATTTACTGATGGTAAGCAATCATTGTATCACTTTAATAATATGATATATATGATAGTGTTTGCAAACTAGTCTGTCCACTATCTTGCTTGTGTAATTATGTATAAGCTCAAAGGGGAAAAGTGAAATTAAATATTTTAATCTTCTTTCATTTGAATGCAAATCTTGCAGTCGTTACATATGAATAATTTGTAAATTTACTTAAAATGCAGTTAAAGAGTTAACATTTTAATCCTTACTTATGCAACAAAAGTGCATACAGGTACTAATTCAATTTCACTTTAAGTGAAAAACGAAATAATATGAAAACACTTATCTTGCAATTACTTCCGTAGCTATAGTGTAAATGTTTCATATCTGCATTCACATCTGGAATATTTATCATCTTTAAATTTACAAATTCTATCAAAAATAAATACATGTAGGGGAATTCCACTCCGACCGTTGTATTTTATGAATTAATTCTATAATTTAAGGTGGCACAGTTTATATGATCTTGTAAATAAAAGAAATGTTAAAGTCAATTTTAGTAAGATAATGGAATGCGATACACCAACAATGGTCAGTCTTTAACATCTTGTATACGCTCAAGTTTATTTTATATCAATTAATATAAAGTTGTTAATGGGATGCAGAATACACCGAAATGATATCCACTTTTTCCAACGCCTTTTCGAAGAAAAAAGGGGAATATAGAAAAATGCTCCGTCCGTCCGTCACACTTTCATGTCCGGTCCATAACTTTGTCATTTATGATTTTGAAATAACTTGACATAATAAAAAATGTGTCATGGGAAACAACCAGACGCCTACCATCAGGGTCAAGGTCGCATTTGCTTTTTCAAGGTCAACATTGTCTTTTTGAGGGTCTATGTTTTGTCCGGCACATAACTTTCTTATCTATGAAGGGATTTTGAAAATACTGTCCACAATGGTTCACAATAATGTGAAAATGTGTCATGCGCAAGTACCGGTCACCTTCCTTCAAGGTCAAGGTCACACTTGGAGGCCAAAGATTAACGTAGTCTGTTACAGGATATATTTTGTGTCCGGTCCAGAACTTTTTAGCTCACCTGAGCTTGCTCAGGGTGAGCTATTAGGATCGGTGAATGTCCGTCGTCCGTCGTACGTCAACAATTGCTTGTGAACACACTAGTGGTCACACTTATGACTCAATCATCATCAAACTTTGTCAGGATGCTTGTTTAGTCAATTGCTCGGATTAGTTCGAAACTGGGTCATTTCGGATGGAAAACTAGGTCAAAGGAGCTAAAAATAGAAAAACCTTGTGGAACACTCTAGTGGTCACATTTTTTACCCAATCATCATCGAACCTTTTGTCAGAATGCTTTTTAGATAATTGCTTGGATGAGTTCGAACATGGGTCATCTCGATGAAAATCTTAGGTCACAGGAGCTATAAATAGAAAAACCTTGTGAACACTCTAGTGGTCACATGTTTCAAACCAATCATCATCAAACTTTGTCAGGATGCTTGTTTAGATAATTGCGCAGATGAGTTCGAATATGGGTCATCTTTAATGAAAAAACTAGGTCACAGGAGCTATAAATAGAAATACATTGTGAACACTCTAGTGGTCACATTTTTTACCCAATCATCATCAAACTTAGTGTGGATTCTTTTCTAGTCAATTGCTCATATGAGTTTGAATATGGGTCATCTCTGATGAAAAGCTAGGTCACAGGGGCTAAAAATAGAAAAACATTTTGAACACTAGTGGTCACAATTTTTACCTAATCATGATCAAACTTTGTCAGGATGCTTGATTAGATAATTGCTTTGATGAGTTTGCACATGGTTTATCTCCGATGAAAAACTAGGTCACAGGAGCTATAAATAAAAAAACCTTGTGAACACTGTAGTGGTCACATTTTTGACCCAATTATTAAGAAACCTTGTTCAGGATGCGTGTTTTAGTCAATTGTTTGGATATGAGTTCGAACATGGGTTCATTTCTCGGGTGGAAAACTAGGTCACAGGAGCTAAAAGTAGAAAAACCTTGCGAACAGTCTAGTGGGTCACATTTTTGACCCAATCATCATCAACTTGGTCAGAACGCTTGTCTTAGTCGATGCTTGGATAAGTTTGAACATGATTTATCTCGGATGGAAAACTATGTCACAGGAGCTAAAAATAAAAAACCTTGTGAACACTCTAGTGTCACACTTTTTGACATCTCAATTATCATCAAACTTGGTCAGGATGCTTGTCTTAGGTAGTTGCTCAAATGTCAAGCTCGAATATGGGTCACCCTGGGTCAAAAACTAGGTCAAACAACTGCTCAAATATGGATAATCCTTGTTAACACAAGTGGTCACATTTTTGACACACCTGTCATGAAACTTGGTCAGAACGCTTGTCTAGGTAATTGTTTGGATGAGTTTGACGGGTCAGGTGAGCGATCTAGGGCCATCTTGGTCCTCTTGTTTATAGATCAGAGGATTTTGAAAATACTTGGCACAAATAGTCACTATAATAAAACGATGTGTCATGCGCAACACATGCATCCGTACCTCCAAGGCCAAGGTCACACTTAGAGGTAAAAAAATTAACATAGTCTGTTATAGGGTATATTTTGTGTCCGATCTAGAACTTCACCATAGTTCAAATTTTGAAATAACTTGGTACAAAAAGTCACTATGATAAGAATATATGTCAAGTACGTTTTTTTGATATATGCACGTCAACACAGTTATATTTGTCCGATCATCTTTAGAGTCATTAAGAAGCCGTATTAAGAAATAACTTTAATAGAAGTAAAAAATCAGTGTGTTTTTGGTGGAAAAAATATGTCACTCTTGACCTTGGATAGTCCGAAAGTACTTAAACCTTGAAACTTTCTAATGTTTAAAATTGTTGATGTAAAGTGTATAGGCAATTTTATAAAATACTATAAAAATACCTGGATAGAAATATATTACACAATATTACTTTTTCAAACCCTACTTAAAAGGCAACATAATATTTTGTTCCGGAACAGTTCTTTTTCTATTACATGTACGTACAATATTCATTGATGATAAAAAACAGAGACATTCTTTCAAGAATCGATTATAATAAGAATATGGAAAAAAACATTACCATATATCTAAAGAAATATAAATGTATAACATTACATTTAGTTTTTTACGATGATTTAGACAAACGTTTTATATACATAAGTTGTAGGTAAAATTATAAACTGGCCATATTGGGTCAATGACAAGATGTCTATCATTTGGAAAAAAAGTAATAAAATTGTCAGTACCGGGTTAACGACTTGATTTATGTTGTAGCTGACTTTTTTGTATTTTATTCTAGCCCCTCAGCACGACTCTTATGACGTAGACGGTTTAAATGAAGGAATGGGGATACGAAATAGTTCTCCTTTTAAACCTTTGTTTGAAACCCTTAGAGAAGAAGTAAGAGAAAACTTGAAGGATGAAGAAGGTAAACAGGAAAACAATTACTACCAGCCACAGTTTGTAGATATATTAACCAACCAGTACCTACCATTGGTCAGCCTTTGGAGTGGTATTATGCTACAGACAGAAGGCAAAACCAGAGATACGAATGCTCATGTAGAGAGTTGGATGAACACCTTAAAGAATTATATTCTGCTTAAGAAAGGACCGATAAGAATAGGCTTGTTTGCGCAAAAAGAGTTTTCCATAGTCAAGGGACGTTTAAAAGAGTATGTTGCGGATGCCAAACTTCAAAACACTCCTAGAAAAACGAATACCGATAGAAAGAATGAATACAAAAAAAAGGAAGAAGAAAGAAACGGGGACCAAACGATGAGTGAGGAGCTGACAGAAAGTGATGATGATGTTATAAAGCCCAAAATACGAAGAAAACGAAATCATGAACAACGCGAAGAGGCTGAAGAGGAGTGGGGGAAGAAGAGACAGAGAATGAATAAAAGTAAATCATCGAACTATAAGCCATCATTTGAAGTACCAGAACCTGATTTAGAGAGACGGAAGAAGAAAAATATCGGAAAAAGGACACCGAAGAAAGGTAGAATATATAAAGGACTTCAAAATACAGACAATACATGTTGGTTGAATTCATCACTGCAAGCACTAAGAAGCTTCAGTACATTTAAACTGCAGGGTAAGTGTGTTTTATCTAGTTGGTTTTAAGGCACACCAATAATGTTTATGTCGAACTCCTCCGAAACAAGAACAATTATTTTACATTAACACCAATGGTCATAACTAACCTACTTACTAGAGCTGCACATCTACAAGTAATTCGCCTCATACGATTACACATGGTTAAATGGTTGCTGCACACTGTTGATTTAACCCGTACAGTAAACTTTTCTGGCACAGGGGGCTTTAGGAAAAGTGAAAGAAGTTTCTGTTAAAGGCCAAAAAAAGTTAATTTTAAAAATATGTAATTAGATTCTGGTTAAAATATTAGAAATTTTATTATTCTCTATTTCGAAAGATAGTGGGACACATGTACAATGTTTAACAAATGTCATATGTCAGTTGGTCGCTATATTGGTCAGTATACCAGACTTCTATTGGTTTTGACACCAACCAAGTATTGCAAAATCACAGTTACATTTTCCTTAAAAAAAATGCAAACAATTTTACGACAACTATTACGAGACTAATGTAACTATCTATTAATTTTTTTCTTGAAAGTATTCTTGATTATTTTTTTCAGCAAGAGACGAAATCAACGTGGAAACAAGGAGTGCATTGGAATCCTTAAATCAAAGAACTGAACCAGAATTATCAAGTCTAAAGGTAATACGTTATTCACATGTATCTATACATTGGTGCATGCAAATGTGCGTCTTCTCCTATATTACTTGTGATGATTAATTGTGTTCATAATTGATGCTTTAACCTGTTTTGGAACAGTGTAAATGAAAACAAAAGATTATTGTTTTTTTTCGACCAGCCTGTTTGTCTACCTAGTAGTATGTCTTTTACTTTGTTTGCCAAAAATTGTTTTATTAATGAATTAGAGTCACTCTTATTCATACAGTAAAAAGACTAAAACATCTTTGAATGATGCCATCACAAGAACTCATCATAGGAAGCGGCCAACTGTTATTTTGTAGCCTATAAGCTTCTTACCTTTGTAGACAAAATGAACCCCTTGATCTCAAAATCGATTTGTCAGGTTAAATGTAAATAAAATGTTACTTCTTTTGAAATATTGTGTCGAAACATTATCAATTGTGCAAAATTATTTTCAAAAATAAGGTTTACTTTTAATCTTTCTTTATTTTAGAAATGATGTTTAAAGTGTTTCAAAATATTTCCTTGCCACTTGTATAATTTTCTAAGATGAATTATTTAGGTGATATGAAGTTTTATTACCAGCGCCAACATAGATGATATATATCCGAGTGGATGCTTAACATAACTACAATTTTGACTGACCTAATTAAATCTCGGACACCAACTATGAATAAAATTAATAGCTTTAGTTGGCATCATAAGTTCTAATCAATGTAAAAACAATTTTGTAAACTTGTAAGTAAAATATTAAAGAAAAAAAAGTATTTATATTCTTTTTTTTTAGAAAAGAACTATTATTCGGACTTTCTTTTTTTGGTTCATATTTCAAAGGCAAACTGAGAGAAGTTTAATTGAATGTTATCATTTGACTTGAACACAATAAACTTTAACATTCTTTGAATTCCATTAGTATGTTACCTGTATTATAGACTGGAAAATGATAAAAAAGGAGAGTAACGTAAAGAATACGCACCCTGCCATTTCCAAACGCAACGGTACCCAAATAGACACTTAAGCGGTAGAGGCAAATAAACGGGGCGAATGAGGGGCCAATTATAAACACAAAGGGGAGGTTATATTTAATTGTAAGTTTAGAGGATCTTAAAGGAAATTGAATGAAATAAGTTAGGCAGGGAAGGGAAAGAAGGAGAAAATGGGAAGTAATGATTACTGGTAAGGTGTAGATAGTAACGTATATACAGAACACAAATTTAGACTAGTAGTTAAAAGACTATCGGTTATAGGCGCACCCAACCTAAATTCTCATCTCCAAGACTATTCCACTTACACTGATAGGAAACACATTACTTGATAGGACAACTCTTTCGCTTAATGAACGTTGGTTAAGTTTGTTCAATAAGTCGTTTTTTTTAAACTCATTAATGTCAAACATGGGACTATAATCAAGCGCGCTCACACATACAAACGCACATACACGTAACTAGCAATATTAAGATTGGAAATTGCTTCAATTTATATATTTCAGGACCTTTTGGAGTCAAAACTTGGCCTTGTGATTGGAGAATATCATGATGCAGCGGATTATGTTGGCCATGTGTTAACGCATGAGCCTGTGAAGTTGGAAGTTGTCTCAGAGTTTACTTGCCTCACATGTAGAGAAGTAAGTTAACTTCTTCTTTTGCAGATAAAAAGGCACAGAATTTGAAGATAAGATAATATCATTCTGAAATATTTACGTCTTTTTTAATAAAAATAGCTACAAAAACCCTCTACAGGCCAGTCGGTTAAGCTGAAAATATGAATAACATTAAACTTAAGATTCCTGGAAAGTATTTTATCATACAAGGCAATCACCAGTACACGATGTGTCAGCCACATTATATGTGACGTGAATTGTCGTAATGTGTGAATGCTTGCAACAGAAAAAGAAATACAAAAATGTCATTAAAAAACAAGTCCGACCTTACAATCTTGTTCACAATTACATCGACGTTTTGTGTTTCTGCCAGCTTGATGACATAAATAACGATAAAATTACCAGTTTTAGTTTTAGCAAACAGAAAACCCATCTCCAATTAAAAACCCAGAAAGCATTATTATATATAGTTATGTGTTTACTTCAATACTGAGAAATACTTCCGTACTGTATACTGTAATAAAAGAACTTACTTGTACAACTACATGCGCGGCCTTTAATGTATTCAGAATTTATGTAGTGCATCACATCTTTCATCCTTGGTCTTTTTTATAGGTGCATACTACTAGAGATGCTCAGAAATACCTGATTGCTGAGATGCCAGGAAGAGATCGATTTAATGTATTGGATGTGATTGCAACTCATTGTGAGCCTCAGGTTATGGAAGAAGGGAATGAGGTGTAAGTTCAAATTCCTCACATTTGTTAACAAGCTTGAATGTAATAATTATTGAACTGGTTTAAACAAACCAAAAAGAACCAAAAAAAAAGAGTGTCAGTTGACTTAAATTTACAAAATTATTATTTAGGGCGGTTAATTGTGATATGATAACATGTGTTACCAACGGCATAGCATGCAACGTTTTAGTTAATGATAATAATAATAGTCACCACCATTGTAGTGTTTTAATATTTACTTTACATCGTTACAAAATATACTGTCTAAATTAAAATATTCCTTAATAAATGTGTTTGAAGCAGTTATTACATTTTATTTTTCAAGTTGTTGTTCTGTATGTGCCAACTCCACAAGACAAGTAGTTCGACTGAAAATCAACACTGAAGAAAGTGATGTCTTAGTAATTCAGTTAAAAAGATATAAACATACTGACACAAAATCACAGCGGACACAGAAAATTAATCATCAGTTATATCTTAACAGGTATATTTTTTTTTGTTCTGAAGTGAAATGTGGACATGCACAAGATCGTGCTATGATCAGTGAATACGATGTATTTCTTTTTCGGTTTGTCACTGGTATATAGACTACAACATAAGTCAATGGTTATGACACTTTACTACTTTTGACGAGAATTCCCATAATAAAACATGAGTTAAATTCTATTTGACTTTGATAATTTTATCATTGCTATAATGGGAAATCCGTCTTTGAAAACTATAAGTTAAAACGCCATAAACAAATGATTGATAAAAGTTTAATTGACTTGAGAATCTTAACAAATAGATTGCATTTATATATAAAGGAAGTAATCTGGAAAAGCAGAGATCTCTCAGAAGCAATAAAAACAACAAAGATATATTTCAGACACAGGTTAAAAAATTGTCCCTTAATGATAATGTAATAGTCAGCATGTCCCACGCCGCCGCCCCCACACACACACATATAACTCTCCCATTCATAACTATGTTAAGTATAAACATGATACAATATATACATCACCTTGAAACAATCAGTAAATTACAAAGCGTTTAACTTTAAGGTGCAGATGTACTTGGTGACATGTTCCATAATTCATAGGAGTAATAAAAAGGCCGAACGAATGATTCTTATATTTATACATTGCTTATAAAACAGGAAATGGCATGCTTAGATAATTTGCATTATTTAAAGAGTCCCAGCTTTCATAATTAACATATCTTTTAAGTCAGCAACATGTCTGACAATGATTTTAAAAACGAGTAAAAGGCTATTAGACATTATTTTGAGAATTACAATGATATCAGCAATCAGCAAGCTTAAATATGGCTTATCTTTGGCTCTGAAAAGGGTATTTCAAACAGTAAGACCCTACTCTAAACAAGTCGGCAATCTTTTAACATTTGTTCAGACATTTGATAGAACTTAATCGAGACTGAAGTAAGGTTTGAATATATTCTTCTAATATTTTACACATTTTCTATTGTTTGAAACAGATCTTAGCTGTGTAAGGGCTTCTAGGTCTTTATTACCACATACTTCAGATGCTTGATTTTAAAGTTCAAGCAGTTTTTCTGTAATGTGGTATTAAGCATTTATTTAGCAACACATCCTGTTTGATGCATGTTTTTTGATGAGGTTCACTTTTGGAATTCAACCAAGAAAGGTTCATATATCCTTTATTACCTTTAACCTAATACTTGTTTTACTTTGCAACCATTTTTTTTTATAATTTAACTATTTAATAAATAAGGGGAAAGGGGTTTTAAAAACTTGTATTTTTATTGAAATATAAACATATCGTGTTTTGTTATATTGTAGGGTTTTGACTGTAGCAACAAGACATAGCGTAGATTACTTCCGACTTAGAGCAGTACAGGTAATCTTTAACAGTGATTTTGCTGCTTGAATGCGCGCTTTTGAAATTGGCTTATACTAAAAATTTAAACATTAAATATTTGATAGGGATTTTAATATACTTTTTCTCTAATATCTCTATGTATAAATTGTTTTTGTTTTTTTTTCAATTAAAATGAATCCAAATTCACACTGTCATATTTAGTTAGTTTAGACTTTTTTTTAGAAAATGTTGCTGTTGCTGATGCCCTAACTGTCCAAAAACTTTAACGTTGGTCATTGTTGAACTACCTTTAGGAAAAAAAACTTGAACATACTGACCTTGACTTTCTCTTTTAAATGACATTTAAATTGAAAGTCAAATAGTATGCTTGAATTCGAATTGACTGTAACTTTGTTACTGGTAATAATAGATGATAATTGTTTTTAAACTTGGACACAAAAAACCTTCTATCGTCAAGTTGTACAATTTGATCATGACCTTTACTCATCATCTATGGTTTTGACCTATCAAATTTGCTTAATATTTTCCTGGGACTTTCTAAAACTCCTAAATGTTTAAAGAGTGTCTTTGATCTTGAGCACAACATAACTTAAGGGCAATGTTTCATAAAAGATAGAAATTAAATTGATTATTACTTATAAATGTCCTTGACCTTGAAGTAAATTACTGTTATTTCACTGTTTCGCTATCATTGGCTATAACGTTATAATCAATGTTTTTTCTTTACTTTTTTACACTTGTTAAAGACATTTAAAAAGATTAAATTGAGCTGACCTTTAATTGATCTTGGTAGTAAAGGTGAAGTGAGTGAACATTGTTATAATTGTCTTGATCTTTGTCATTCAATTATGGATTTGTTTTATACTTAGGCCAATGAACTAACATGTTGAATTATTTTGATATGATCTTGACCAATAAATAACCGTATTAAAACAAATAACAAATATTGTGTTTAGATTAGATTGTCATTACTTTGTCATCTATTTAGGCATGAGATTAATACTTGGACAAAATAACCCTTATGACAGCACCCGTATGTTGAATAATTCAAGTTCAACTTTGACTTTAAATTGACCTTGATGGTCAATCTCATATTACTGAAATTTGAATAAAATGTCATTGGACGATACGAAAAAGACACTAATGACAAATTTATATAAATAAGAAAAAGCCGAGAGTGGCCGGCATTTGGCGTGACTCTTGTTATATTCTTTACCTGATATATGTCTTCATGATTTCTTTAAGCTTGTTCTTTACTAAACATATTGCTTTTTAATGATTTTCACATTTTTTTAATCTATATTTGTTTAGTGTCACAATGGTAGCTCATTAACATCTGGACATTGTAAGATATTGTTCAATCTGTTGCTTAACCCATCCTTGTTTATTTTCAACAATTTACCCACATCACTCAATAACATTGTCACCCTAAATCATACATATTGACATATTCTTTATTGTGAATTAATTACTTATAACTTTGGTCCATAAAATAATTGATGGTATCACAAAAATATTTGTGGTATCACCGGTTAGAAAATACAATAGGTCAAATAATTATAAATTGACACTTTCTGATACTTTCTATGACAATGTTATTGTTTGCTGTGAAAAGATGACTACTTGTTCATTTATCACCACAAATCAATATACAAATCAATAGTTTCTGTCATCCCATAAATTTAGATTCTTTATAAGGCTTTTCATGAAAATAAAAAATTATAAAAGAAATTTACGTCTTCAGTGTAATTTAAATTCACTTGCTATGAAACTAATGATATGCCAAATAGTTTAGATTAATTGAGGGCGGTTAAGTAATACGATCTTCTTCATTTCATTGTTTCAGAGTTTATACTATAATTGAGCAGGATATAGATAAGTTTATGATGGTCTGCATTATCAAATATTTTATAATATTTAGTTGAACTTTGCCTAATCTGTCATAAATTGTTTGGGTAAAGCTGCTTCTCTTTGACTTAAACCCATGTTGGAAGGGGCTGAAAATGTTATATTTATTAAAGAAAGTTTGCTGGAGACCATAATATTTTCCATAATTTTGGATCATGATCACAAGTTAGGTCTATAAATATTTTATCGTTGGTTCTAACTTTGGGCCGTTTTATGGACGGTTGCAGCACTAGCTTTTTTTCAATTTCAACGGACAATGTCTGTGCTAAAGGTAGACCAGAAAATGGAACAAGATATCTTAAGGCCAGATTTGCTTCATTAGTATTTATCTGTATCTAATTGTTTCAAAAATGCTACTCTTTGTACGGTCATCTGAACCATCTTTGTTCTTTTGTCACTTTTTGCAGGAATTACAGATATAGTGATAAAGTATAATTTTCATATTGAAGTCAAAATACTACTTTGGTTATATTTTGATACCTTTATGACAAATTATTTCACAATAAGCGTGACTTTCTCATTCAAAAAGTATTCAACATTGTTTATATATAGTCATTATCTAAGCAATATGAAATTCATATTTACCTTTTAAGAAATTAAAGAAATATTTGTTTTAATGCATATTGATCAGTTTAATTGTTCTTGCTCATCATGACAAAATGTACTTGTAAGGCAAGGATCATTCTGAAATCTATGTTATCTAGTTTATGACCCTTTGTAACATTTGCTTTGTCAAAATTGTGTATGAAGTAATATGATTTCAAAACTAACTATGAAAAGTATTAAGTACTTGTTCATTATGGCAGGCCGCAAAGTTGTCAGTTAAGAAGCACTGCTCTGATAACTATATGTTGGAGTTTTGCTTATTAAGTTAAATGATTTCATAGCTATCTAGGTTATTATAATGGAACCTGGAATATTTCATTATTATAGTATGATTGGGACAATATTTTTAAAGCCAAATATTCAAGGGGTTATGTGCCCTTGAATATTGATAAAAATGGCTATTAAAAGCCATTGCTATTTAACAGACTAGAGTTCATAACTGTATGCAGTGCATTTGTTAAGGCTTATGTTGAGTGTAACCACAACAATAGATCAAAGATGAAAGAACAAGCCTATTATTGAATAAGTATTACACTAATACCAACAATTGATTTATAAAATCCTGTAATTACAAATTCTTACGATATTTGCTTGTAAACATGAAAGAAATGATAAGTAACTTGTGGCTCAAATATTTGCAAAATATAGATCAACCGGAGGAGAAAATGCACTTTCAGGAGACCTACGACGAAAAGTGCACCTAATTGTATATTAATAAAGCTTAGTTTATTAGCAAACATTAAAACAATGATGTCAATCTGTTTTTGGAAAAAAAACATAAAAGTATGTAGCTTGGTATTCCTTTGACATTAAAGTCATTGAAAAACTGATATAGATTTTTAGTAGGCCTTCTATAATTGTCTTGACATGCATGTGTAGTAGGTGACTGTCTATAATTGATACAGTGTACATGTTTAAAAAACGTATATGCTTTCAAACATTGGTCCTGAAAATTTGAAATATTGGAATAACATGTGTTCATACATTAGCTAAATAAGAACAGTTTTACCTCACTTTAGCTTTACATAGGAGTCCATTATCTATGTTAAACAACACTGAAAATAGTTGACCACAAATTGACCATTACACAATGACACACACTGTTCTAATTTGTTAATAATAAAACTATGCCCTGTGCTTTACTTTTCTTTTTTGAAATAAATACATTTTTGATTTTATTTATCAATTTCATGCATTTAAAATTTTAGCAATGTGAAATAAATCTGGTCAAACGATGATCTGTGAAGATGACCCTTTTTAGCGATTAATCTATATTTATTCCACTTAAGGATAATAATATCTTAATAATTGTGTTTTCAGATGTTTCCCATATTGTTGATGGATGTCAAGTTATTACATTTAATGATACCAAAGTACATTACCACCAATACTCATATTTACAGACTGACTCATTGCAGGTAAGAAATTTTAATTTATCATTCACATTGATTACTCTATTGAATTTTATCAAAACATTATGATATGATAAAATTTAAAATTGATTTATTAGGTTTCATCACTAGTTTAATCATATAAGGTGGCAATGAGGAGACACATGCACTAAATATTGTCATGGGTATCTTGCAGACACTAGAAAAAAACTAGTGTAACGGAATGATAATGTCATTTGAAGTAGATAATATCTTACGAGATATAATTTCATGGTCAATGTAAAAAAAAGGTGTACATGTAGCCTATGTCCCAAGGTTAAAATTATACAATTGAATGCACTTATACTTGTGTGCATTTTTGTAAGTTTAATGAATATAATATTTTGCAAGAGGAATGGATATGTACTATACTTGTCCTTTTTGGCAATAGGGGATGCAAGAAAAAAAGACATCTAACACCTCAATGGTACCATCGATTTTTGGCGTTTCAGCTGACTTACTATTTTCAAGCACTTAAACACCATCAGTATAACTTATTCTTTGTGTGTTACATAAAACCATTGGGAACTGACACCAGATAACGGGTGTCTTCCAATTGGAATATCTCTAAATTTTCGCCATTCTTGTTTTGTAACATTCATATTATGTAGAATTTATTTCATGAACGCTACTTAATCGAATTTAACTGCCTTCAGTACTCCAGTACTGTATGTGTGTATGGGCTGATAAAAACCCTGGACATTAATTTGTCACTTCGTATGGAATTCAATGCTTGCTGATTACTTTCCATCGAAGTGGCTTATCCATCGTTTGTACCACCACATTGGCCTTATAAGGGCATGCTATATATCGCATAATATATATAGATGTATATATATATTTATATATTTTTTCCTATCTTTTTTAGAGAAATGCATACATACTGTACTACGAAAAGATAGAGGTATGTACACATATTTTATATGCATACCCGACAACCGAAACAATTTTTTGAAAAAAAAAGAAAAAGTTTTCATCCAGACAGATTTACTGTATATTTTACCATTTAGTTAGCAATTATTTTAGCTTGTTCAAAAAAAAGTCATTGTATGTTGTAGTGGTCGATTAAAAATTCATGAAATACACCACTATGTTATGACACATCAACCGCACATGTGTGATTTATTGCCGATGATCCTGGTTTTACTATTATTTTATAAAATAAGCACTACCAGCGTACGAAAGCGCATCATAGCATCATAGTTCGCTGTCTTTATCTCTTCACTTGATTGTACAATTTTTTATTTAAATTTGCACGGTTAACCTGGAACTGAATAAAATATTCATGATTTCAGGGAGATCAATTTTTATTTATTGTTTCCTTGTACATTCCAGGTCACAAATGTGTACCAGTCATGCAAATCAAAAGGAAATTTTGGTATATTTTTATGACATTTTAAACTTACAATAATGATGATGATGATAATAATAATATAAAACTAATATTTCAAGAAAATAAATAAGTAAAAATAGATGAATAAATAAAAGTTAATATTGAGGATAAATGCCTATATACCATTTTGCGATTTATTGATTTTCACTTTTTGTACCTTGGCAAAATTTCAATACATTAGGGAATATTTATATGCATTGTGCCACTGTATTGTGCAATGTTATTTAAACAAGGGCAACATTGTCTCAAAATATGCTCGTCATAAAAGCCTTTGACAGATATTTGGGCATTATGGGAGATATGCCCCGGGCAATTTACGGAAAATATCTGGATTTTTTTTAAAATCTCTAGTGACCTTAACCTTGCACATATTAATCTAAATTACATGTGTCACAAATGTAGTCATGATTTTAATCATTTGTGTTACAATCCATAACTAAGTGATCAATAAATGGTTCTCGTGCACAAACTTTGACATCTCTATGTGATTTGAACTTTGGTAGCAGGGACCTGGATTATGTGCGCAATAAGCCTTACAATGGTGAACATTCGTGCCAAGTTACAGTAAATCTTCTGATGAATGTATAATTTCGGTTCCGAAAATGAAATGACCTGTTAGTGTGACCTTAACCTTTAACCTAGAAACCTGGTTAATGCATGTGACACTGCTTCTCATAGTGGTGAACATTTCTATGAAGTTTCATTAGAATCCCAACATGCGTTGGGATAATGACCATTTGTTTTCAATTTGTGATAATGAAATATGTGTTTTCAATTAATGACTAAATTTTTCGAATACTCATTTTCATATTCTTATCTGAATTTTGACCCCTATATGTGACCTTGACCTTGCCCCAGGGACCTAACTTTTGCACGCGACACTATGCCTCACAATGGTGATCAATTGTGCCAAGTATTATTGAAATTCCTCTATACATGTAGAAGTTTTGCTTCAGACAAACGGTTTTCAGTGACCTCTTACTATGTGACCTTAATTTTTGTATGTGCGTGACATGGCCTCTCATAGTGTAAAACATTTCTATGAAGTTTCATTAAAATTCCTTTATACGTGTAGGAGATATGTTCCGGACAAAAAATGGACGCCGCCCGCCCAGTCGCCGCCCGCCAAGACAGAATTATAATACGTCCAATTTTTTTCAAACGGGTGTATGAAATACTTTCTTCGAGGCAGTGAAAATTTTATTCTAGAAATACCAATGCCCAGTTCCGAATTTTTTATCAATAAAATAACAAATTTGTAGCCCTTGATAGACAAATACTCGACCAATAAGCACAGTTGATACAATCTTTGTTGGTATGGTCATTCTGATTGCAAAGTTAACTTGAATTTCCAATGAAAACAAAAATATTTCACTCGAATGTCAGTGTCTGTCTGTAAGTATGCATATGTTTATTATGTAATTCAAAGTAAGATATTGACTTCTAAATTGATGATTTTCAGGGAAAACAATGAATGATGAGCTCAGTTTTCTTGAGGATGTGCCCCCAGAAACATTAATTGCACAGATATCTAGACATAATGTTTTACAAGAAGATATGGAAAGACTGTTGTGTTTAGAAAACATAAGAAAAGCATGGTTAAATGACCAGGTAAATCCAAAAATCTATGTCAAAAAAGTCATGCATTACAATAATGTGGAGTTATAAATTCAAACTTTCTAACTTAGAAATAGATATGTTCATCAAACTTTGTATATTTGACAGTCTGATCAGAAAAACAATGAGTTTTGCTTTTCACCATAGATATTTTGAGTAATGTTCAGTTTTAAATGTTACTAAAATGATTTTATCAAATATGAACTAATTATCTATGTTATCTATGTTTTTTTTCAATTTGTAGATAATTAACGCTTACTTAAAACTGATTGAAAATGCTGCTGAGAAGGTTGGAGTGTTAGATGTGTACTTTTTCACATCTATTCTTGATTGTAAAGAAACTGCTAAACATTATATTAAAGACATGCACAGAGGAAAGGACATTATTCTAATACCTGCATGCAATAAAGGAAGAGATCACTGGACATTGTTGGTAAGTATCTAATCTAAATACATGTATATATTTTAAATTGTAGCAAAACAAACCAGTCTTGTTTAAGTATTTCTAAATAGGCATTTAGAATATTACATGTATAATATTTGATTCATACTTTAACAAAAAATTCCTAACAACAAATTTAAATCAACATGTTGAAAACTCAATTATAAATTTCCTCGTCAGGCAAACTGTCATAATTTTGTTAGCTGATTCAAAAAGAATCTGTATATTGGTATATAAAATGAAGGAGAATAAAAACTCAATTGAATAATTCTTCTTAATTATATAATAATTTCTTGATAATGACCAAGAAGCTAGACAAAAGAGCTATATTGTTTAATAACGTTCTTAAACATAAAAAAACGTATTATAAGCCAAATTGATTATCAATGAGGTTTTTTATATTATTTTAAATCATTATTTTTATAATAAAATGCACTTCATGTAACTCTGATTTTCTTTTGCAGGTTGTGGACCTAAAGAAAGATTCTGTCATTGTTGTGGATTCAATGAGGTCCAAGACTAATCCGGGTGTCATACTCATGTAAGTTAATGCAAAACACAAACGCTAATTTTAGTTATGTTGCAACGTATCAAATTTAATATTTACCATAATTTACATCAGACTGCCATACAATAATAAACAGATATCGATTTGCAAAATTTGGTGTTATATGGTTTATTCCTATATCAATTACTCTTCGGCATGATGCTGGATGAACATATAAATATATTTGCAATCAAGTTTAAACGTTAGGTTGAGAAATTATTTACTAGGTCCAAAGTATGCCCGCTGGCTCAATAGGGGAGATATTAGATTTGTACGAATGACCGGTGGGGATATTTTATCTTTAATAATTCCAAATTTCATCGTTTTATTTTGTGAATTCACGTTTTCAATATACTGAACACAATAATTCACTTTATTAACTTGAAATTCACAATTTTAAATTCACGAATTCACGATTTCTTCTTGACGAATACTAGTATACGAATTCATGTTTTGAAGTATACAATATCAGCTTCAGGAATTCAAGATTTCAATTTAATTCTGTATTTTGAAATCGTGAATTCATGAAATTTAAATTGTCAATTCGTGAATATGAACCCGATAATTGAAGAAGTTGAAATGTCATCAACGGTCTTTTTCAAGTGGCTGCTGGTTTGATCATCAAACGAGACGAAACTCCTTAAAAATTGATGGCTGGGATTATATGGAATAGTAATTTGTCTCTCATCGAGGATTTAGAAATCATGAGGGGTTTGTTGTCCGTCGCGATCAGAGAAATCGGTCATAACATGTCTGTTGTTCTGGAAAGCCGGTTAGGTAGACCGACCATCGAGATATGACCACCTTACGTAAATTGGATTTTAACAGACAAACAAACGATAAGCACAACCATTCATCATTTTAGTGTGTAGCATAACACATTGACCTTTTTCACAATTTTCCGTTTACTGTTATCGAAATCATTATTTGTTTCAGAGAATACATGCGTAAGAATCCACTTTTGGGAAAGAACAAAGTCTGGACAATTAATGTATTAAAGGTATTTATAACTAATTGAGACAATCTTACTTTATAGTGTTGCCTACTTAAGCGCAGCGGCGATATAAAGGGATCACTTCTCTGTCTGTCACTCTATCACAACACTTATCAGGACTATTTCTCAAGAAGAACTGGTACAATTTCTTCTGGATATTACAGGAATGATCAGTAACAAGTCTAGTTCTGCATTTCATCTGCATTGTCCAGTTCAATATTTGTTGTCACGGGTTATGACCCTTTTATGAATTTTATTTTTAAAGTTTGTCCGGACAACTTATCATGTACAAATTATTCAATTTGAGTGAAATCGCAACTAAATTGTTAAGAGATACTTGGCATAATTTGTTATCGGTTCTTTTTTCAATATAATGACTTTGCATGTTTGAATTCCTATTTGTAATTCTTACTTTCTGCACACTTCAGAAAAACTCAAATATCCATACAGTCAGCTTACAGTTTGAACAAACTGTCCGATCACCCATTAATTAGCTATCATAAGGCGATGCATGTAATCATTTATCGCTCTTGTGCTTATACAATTTTGTGATAATATGTTTTGGTAATGTATGCCAATATAACAAAGTCGCCATTTTCTGGAATTCAAATCGTATATTGTATCCGATGCGGTAATAGGATTTAAAAGGAAATATGAAAATAATAAAAAAACAGTTGCAAAACTTTTAACATATAACTTTAAACATTTAAGTTACAAGTTTTTAGTAGATAACATGCTCACCGCATGCATGATAAGTAAACGCATACTAAGTACAGTATACAAGCCACTTCGTCATTTGAGTAATGCACATTGAAGTGATGTGTCTCGAAGGCATTTACCTCAAAGGTCAGGATCACTCTGAACTTGAAAGAAGTTATAAACGTGAACCTATGCCTGTTGTCTCTCGGTATTTTTTGGTTTACTGTATTTTGTTTGTTAATTCGATACACCAGTTTTAGGAAGGTGAAGTGAAAGATATAAATAATATTTTGTCATGTATTCACTCAGATACATGTTATTTAACATTTCTGATTCACTATATAATTAGGGTTTGCCTAAACAGCAGAATGGATGCGATTGTGGGATATTTATGTGCCAGAATGCAGTGAAAATGGCATTTGATCTGCCTCAATTTGTTGTGCAGGTACATTGTATAGTATTATTATTCAATATTCAATTCAATATTTTTTTGCTTTTATTTAACTATTTGTTCACCAAATCTGCTGACTTGTTGCCACTGTCATTTTTTGTAAAATCACAACCATATTGAAATAAAAGAAATTAACTAAACCATCACAACATCAATACAGAGAGAGTGAAATTGTGTGAGCTTACCGGTCTGTCGGTCCTTCCATTCGTCCGTTGATTAGCTCATTTCATTGTTTCAGGACGATAACTATTGATTAAGGCCATTGATTTTAGAATAGTTGGTACTCAGATGTTTCATCATTAAATACAGTGCAAGTTTAAATTTGCCCTAATTCTATTAATGTTTTACTGATTTGTGGTACCTTTTTATGCTCCCGAAGGGTGAACATATAGTTGCCGCTTTATCCGTCCGTCCGTCCGTTTCGCTATTCTTGTCCGGGACGTCACTTTGAAACAACTAGAGGTATCAACATGAAACTTTGTAGGTAGATAGACCTCGTTAAGAAGATGTACAGTACATAAGAGCCGTAACTCTGCCTAGCCTATTTTTTAATTATTGCCCTTTGTTCATTTTTACACTTTGAACTTTACCCGGGACATAACTCTGAAACTATAAGAGATATGAACACAAAATTTTATACATGTAGGTAGAAAGATCTGATTGAATAGAAAGTGCAGTGATAAGAACCATAACTCTGGTTTTCTTGATGTTGGAGTTTTTGCTCTTTGTTCATTTTTTCATACTTTTCTGTGTCCAAAACCTACTCGGGGTGCATCACCCGGTTCAACTGGTTTTTGTCTTTCATTTGTTTTTAAATAAAAACAAAGTTAACAAATTATTATTTTATAGAGACAATAACGTTTAATATTTTAGTTAATCTAATGATTTGTTTTAAGAAACTGTTTCATGACCGGTAAGCAGTCAAATGACTTACATCTGTTCTAGTAAGAATCTTAGAGAATCCGATGTTAAAAAGAAAAATCAGTTCAATGCTTTTTTCATATTTACAGAAATAAAGTAAAAGTAAAGTCACAAACCAAGGCACAGTAATGTTTCTCCAAAGTAATATGGTTTTAGCCTTTTTGAAAATATCTTTGACTTTGGACTTTTTGTAGAAAAAAACTTAACCGAACTGCTTAAATAGAAACAATGTAAATAATATGATTTGACGTTATCCCAATATTTGGTCCGTTTTGTGTGTCGCAAAAGATGCAAAGACGTAAGAAAGCATGATGTTGGTGTATAAGGTAGGGTGTGTGACTTAATAACTTGAATTTTTGTTTTAGGAAGAGATTCATTGGATACGAAGAGCAATGGCAGTCGAGATCTTAACTGGCAGGCTTATGCCAAGAATATAAGAAACGTAGTTTGTGCCAATTACATTCAGATATTACCTGAGTATCAACCTTTGAATGAACGAGATGTGTACGTAATATTTGAAAACAATATCATTGATATACAGTGGTGAGGAAAATTACAGACATCCATGTGTGTAAATTTAAAACACATCATCATGCAAACCAATGATTTGAAGAGTATGGTTTCATTAATTGCAGAGTGGAGCAGTAAAGTTTGTGTAATTCAATTTGCGTGTTCTCTCTTAAGTGGGTACAGTTAGAATGGTTTATAAACTTTGATAATTAATGTTACACAAAAACTGTTCTTGGTAAAATGTAAGATGATTCAATTTCTTACCGTCTTGCCTAAGTGACAAACTAGGATCGCGCAGGCAGTTACGGAATTCGAGCTTATTAGCTTTCACCGCCCGGCCCTAAACGATTTTTGTGATTTATTTTTAGACTTTTATTTCAGCATCCAAATCTCATTAAATGAGCTGGTATTTGCAATTGTTTTGTGTAAATCGTACATGGCTGCTCCTTGTGTGCGGTAATTAATTTCTTTATTTTGAATATATGATAAATATTTTATGTAAGTCTACAAAGAGTATTTTGGTTTGTTATGTACATCTTTCATTACATTATAATCTTATTTTTCAAATAGATAAAGGTTATGTTTTCATAGCATAATCATCGGCGTTTGCATTTATTGCCATTTAATCACTTCACTCAGGTGACCTTTTCTACCTATGTATCCGTCGTTATCAAATTTTCTATCAAACAAATATCCTAAAAAATTCCTTTGAATTTGACTAAACATTACGGGAATGACTTTTAATAGACCCTCAACGAAATATTTAAAATGCATCGTTTAGCGCTTTTTGTAGTACTCTTTTGTATAAAACATTGCGTCGAGAGTTTCTATCAAATTTATATGAATATGAGGCATATAGGTTAGATATTTGGCCTGAATCATCATTGCCTTAATTTACCAAAACTGTGTTTGCCTCGCTGGTCACTTAGTTTCACATATAATTATTTAAAAATGTCCTGGAATTTTAAATGGGGCACTTAGTTTATATAGACTTTTTTAGAAGAAACACTTAGTCAGGGAAGTGTTAATTGTTCAGAGAATTAGTTGCATCATTTCACCTTTTTCCATTAGCGGCCCTCTATAAAGAGAAATTATTACACAAATAGGGCAAAAAAAGGACGCATTCGATGAACTTACGTTCACATTGAAGCCTAGCTATGGGTTTCTGGTAAAATATCTAGAAACATCATGACAATTTTATTAAGTTATAATAGAAGCCGAACAAAATATGTGCTACAATTTTCTTTGTTATTGTGTTCTATGACTGCCAATTACATGCCAGTAATCATTTTCATCTGAAAGGGAATAAAGTTTTATATTCTTAATTCACTTCTCTTTGCATTTTTTTTTCATTTTCATTTATTTTGTTATTTTCTGAAAGAGCGTATAGACTGATCATTGTTTGCTTTCTTACTACTGTATTGCACCTTTACTTTATGCACATTTTATATGTTATATTATATATTTTTTAAGAGATCTTTTACAGGATATCCACTGAGATACTTAAATCATACATTTTAGTTTTAACGTAGATAAATTAGGACACTTTAAGCAGAACAATATGGAATTTGTTGTTTTTTCTGCCTTATTTAAACAAAAAGGGTTAAACTCGTTTCATTTTCGGTCTCTTAGCACAATAAAAATTATTATTGTGGATATTGGAGTGAACGAAACGTATGATCTAAAAGTTTTCACACAAGTTTAAAATACCTTCATCAAAATTTATGGTAGACAAAAATCGAAATATTATTTCCATTCCTGTTTTGTCAAACATGCTCAGTAGATTCCTTTTAAATCTATGTGAAATTAAACAATATAACATTGATATGCTGACGTGTAAATCCTTTAGTATAATTTCAGGTATACTTAGGAAATCCCTTGCATTTTATATGATTGTATTGTTTCAAATATAAATATGTGTTCACCACATTATATATATATACATGTGTGTATGGTATTGCAGTAGGAGCATCCAAACGATGTGTTATATTTTCTTAGAGACCACTGTTGTTGTTGTTGTTGTTGTTGCTGCTGCTGCATAGCTTTAAATTCATTAAAACTTTTTACCGAAAAAATGACAGTTACACATATGTTAAGATTGACCCGGGTTTGAAATGTAGAACACATTTCCTTATGCAAAGCATGATTTGTAAATAAATAAGCACCAGCTTAGCAAATTGATAAAAAAAATTTCAAACAATAAATATCATATAATGATTATCATATATGATATAATTATACAATGTCACTATGCCAAGTTGAATGAGAATGTGCGCTACAGTTTTAAACTTATTTTCTCAGCTATGCAAAGCATTTTCATTGTGTAACGTAATTTTTCAGTACATTCAGTATGAACTATGTAAATAACAATATAAATGCCTCTACAAATCAGCCGACAAACATTTAATTTAACATATAAATAGCTCTTAATTTTTTTAAAAAGCATGCAAGCCTTCAGATTTCAGGTAAATTGTAATTTACATTCATAATCGCAGGACTGTTTAGTTTTGAAAATTTGTTAGTAGACGATAAAAAGCGAAGTTACGCCCCTTTTAATAACATACACCATTACTACTTGTTAAAGAAAGTTAGTTCCGAATTAGTTTCGAATTGGCCCCGGTCAATTTTTTTAATAAAACATATTTTCGCAAAAAAATGGATAATTGTGCTTCTAAATATGTTAATTTGCTAAATCTAAAGTTTCAGAGAGTTTCAGAGAGTTTGGCAAAATACCAGAGTATTCCCGACGGACACACCTATACCCGCGGACACCCGGCCAGACCCGCTAACCATCCCACCATATGCGGTTCTGCGGAATTGAGTCTGGTCCCCAGGGGCCAGGAATTGGCCCAGATATGAGCTGTATAGTATACGATTTTCGGCTCATCGTCGCAAAATACCAGAGTATTCCCGACGGACACACCTATACCCGCGGACACCCGGCCAGACCCGCTAACCATCCCACCATATGCGGTTCTGCGGAATTGAGTCTGGTCCCACAGGGGCCAGCCGGAATTGGCCAGATATGAGCTGTATAGTACGATTTTTCGGCTCAATCGTCGGCAAAATACAGAGTATTCCCGACGGACACACCCTATACCCGCCGGACACCCGGCCAGACCCGCTAACCCATCCCACCATATGCGGTTCTGCGGAATTGAGTCTGGTCCCCACAGGGGCCAGCCGGAATTGGCCAGATATGAGCTGTATAGTACGATTTTCGGCTCATCGTCGGCAAATACCAGAGTATTCCCGACGGACACACCTATACCCGCGGACACCCGGCCAGACCCGCTAACCATCCCACCATATGCGGTTCTGCGGAATTGAGTCTGGTCCCCACAGGGGCCAGCCGGAATTGGCCAGATATGAGCTGTATAGTACGATTTTCGGCTCATCGTCGGCAAAATACCAGAGTATTCCCGACGGACACACCTATACCCGCGGACACCCGGCCAGACCCGCTAACCATCCCACCATATGCGGTTCTGCGGAATTGAGTCTGGTCCCCACAGGGGCCAGCCGGAATTGGCCAGATATGAGCTGTATAGTACGATTTTCGGCTCATCGTCGGCAAAATACCAGAGTATTCCCGACGGACACACCTATACCCGCGGACACCCGGCCAGACCCGCTAACCATCCCACCATATGCGGTTCTGCGGAATTGAGTCTGGTCCCCACGCGGCCGGAATTTGCCAGATATGAGCTGTATAGTACGATTTTCGGCTCAACGTCGCCAAAATACCAGAGTATTCCCGACGGACACACCTATACCCGCGGACACCCGGCCAGACCCCTAACCATCCCACCATATGCGGTTCTGCGGAATTGAGTCTGGTCCCCACAGGGGCCAGCCGGAATTGGCCAGATATGAGCAGTATAGTACGATTTTCGGCTCATCGTCGGCAAAATACCAGAGTATTCCAGACGGACACACCTATACCCGCGGACACCTGGTCAGACCCGCTAACCATTCCACCATATAAGGTTCTGCGTAATTGAGTCTGGTAGTACGATTTTCGGCTCATCGTCGGCAAAATACCAGAGTATTCCCGACGGGCACACGCATACCCGCGGACACCCAGTCAGACCCCGTAACCATCCCACCATATGCGCTTCTGTGTAATTGAGTCTGGTCCCCACAGGGGAAAGCCGGAATTGGCCAGTTATGAGCTGTATAGTACGATTTTCGGCTCATCGTCGGCAAAATACTAGAGTATTCCCGACGGGCACACCCATACCCGCGGACACCCAGTCAGACCCCGTAACCATCCCACCATATGCGGTTCTGTGTAATTGAGTCTGGTCCCCACAGGGGCCAGCCGGAATTGGCCAGATATGAGCTGTATAGTACGATTTTCGGCTCATCGTCGGCAAAATACCAGAGTATTCCCGACGGACACACCTATACCCGCGGACACCCGGCCAGACCCGCTAACCATCCCACCATATGCGGTTCTGCGGAATTGAGTCTGGTCCCCACAGGGGCCAGCCGGAATTGGCCAGATATGAGCTGTATAGTACGATTTTCGGCTCATCGTCGGCAAAATACCAGAGTATTCCCGACGGACACACCTATACCCGCGGACCACCCGGCCAGACCCGCTAACCATCCCACCATATGCGGTTCTGCGGAATTGAGTCTGGTCCCCACAGGGGCCAGCCGGAATTGGCCAGATATGAGCTGTATAGTACGATTTTCGGCTCATCGTCGGCAAAATACCAGAGTATTCCCGACGGACACACCTATACCCGCGGACACCCGGCCAGACCCGCTAACCATCCCACCATATGCGGTTCTGCGGAATTGAGTCTGGTCCCCACAGGGGCCAGCCGGAATTGGCCAGATATGAGCTGTATAGTACGATTTTCGGCTCATCGTCGGCAAAATACCAGAGTATTCCCGACGGACACACCTATACCCGCGGACACCCGGCCAGACCCGCTAACCATCCCACCATATGCGGTTCTGCGGAATTGAGTCTGGTCCCCACAGGGGCCAGCCGGAATTGGCCAGATATGAGCTGTATAGTACGATTTTCGGCTCATCGTCGGCAAAATACCAGAGAGTATTCCCGACGGACACACCTATACCCGCGGACACCCGGCCAGACCCGCTAACCATCCCCACCATATGCGGTTCTGCGGAATTGAGTCTGGTCCCCACAGGGGCCAGCCGGAATTGGCCAGATATGAGCTGTATAGTACGATTTTCGGCTCATCGTCGGCAAAATACCAGAGTATTCCCGACGGACACACCTATACCCGCGGACACCCGGCCAGACCCGCTAACCATCCCACCATATGCGGTTCTGCGGAATTGAGTCTGGTCCCCACAGGGGCCAGCCGGAATTGGCCAGATATGAGCTGTATAGTACGATTTTCGGCTCATCGTCGGCAAAATACCAGAGTATTCCCGACGGACACACCTATATCCCGCGGACACCCGGCCAGACCCGCTAACCATCCCACCATATGCGGTTCTGCGGAATTGAGTCTGGTCCCCACAGGGGCCAGCCGGAATTGGCCAGATATGAGCTGTATAGTACGATTTTCGGCTCATCGTCGGCAAAATACCAGAGTATTCCCGACGGACACACCTATACCCGCGGACACCCGGACACACCATGGACGACGCTCATATTTTAGGAATATATCTGATTTTTTTTCATCTGAAGTACACTTGATATCGGTTATTCTGGCTATCCTGAAGAACCTGATATCGATGTGATAAGGAATTTGAAACTACATCATGAAATAAATGAATGGTCTTTTGCACAGGTTTTACTGTATCATTTCTGGCTAGCCTATTCAGCCAGAACCGGATTCCGGCTAGCCGGAGTAGCCGGAACAACCGGACTAAACGAAAATATGTTCCGGCTGCTCCGGCTGTTCCGGCTGTCTGGCTAACTTCACGCACATCATTTTATCTCGTATTTTCTGTGGAAAATGGTATTTCATACTGCAAAATCAGTCTTTAATTAATCGCACACAACATGTAAATTATAACTTAAATCTTGAAATTTTTTAAGGTCCATTTATTTATACTTTCTTTTCATAATACATATATTTACTTGTGAAGACCTTAAACGTGAATGTCTTTAAGAAAAATGAGATGATATTTTAAAGAAGATAAAACAAAATAGAGTTTTGTTGAGTCATTTATCAGAAAAAAATGAGGTATATGTTGTGGCACAAACTACGGTAAGATAAAAAAGAGGAAATGGCAAGAAAGGCTGCTTTGGTAATATACTTAAGATATATCTTCAGTCAGTACTTAAAATTACTTATAAAATGCTCCACTAACAGTTGAAATCATCGAAAGAATCATTTTGAAATGGCATGCATTTTTGTACGGATTTTCTATGAAGCAATTTTTCTTTAAAACGCAAGATTATTTGGTATTTTCTTTTTTTATTTTACAACTGTACATATAATATTTAGCAAATAAGAGAATATATGATAAAATCTTATTTCGTGAATAAAAAAATGACAAAAATTTGTCTTGACTTACACCTATACCAATTTCAACTAACCATTTAAACAAAGGTCCAAATCTTGAAACTTTCTACTTTTTTTTTAAATCTTAGAGTACATTTTTCTCAAGATTTCTTGAAATATTTCGACTCATCTGGAGGCACACAGATTTAAGGCATTGTCTTGCAATTTAAAGAAACACAAAAGGAATTGTTGTGTACTAACCTCTAACTTTTTAATCAAGAACGCTTTTCCCATGCAAACGAGTTTTGTCAAATTCTGAAATAAAAACAAGATGTTCACAGAATATAGCGTGAAACATTTGTTGCATTATGAATTTCCTGTACAACAAAAACACCCCCCCCCCCAAAAAAAGCTATATATAAGCTTGCATTGAATCGACTCAGCAATTATGGCTACAATATCTATTTTGATATGTCACTTTATCTCATAACAAAATCGCATTTTTTTCAAGTAGTACAAACTTTGCAAAATGTTTGTATTTATTCATTTATTTATTTACCTCTACGAAAAGGATTCCTAATATGGTAATACTGGCTTTATGCATTCCATGTGCCACGTGCTCCCATATGCTGTGCTCGTGATGATGATGCCCGTGATCGCCGTGCAAGTGTTCCGTATGATTTCCTGTATGTTCCGAGTGATTTCCCGAGTTATCTACGGTGTATTCCGTGTAATTACCAGAGTGTTCCGTATTATTTTCTGTGTATTCCGAGTGATTTCCCAAGTGATGTTCGTTGTATTCCGTATAATTCTGAGAGTGTTTCGTATAATTGTCGTGATGCGCCGTATTATTTGCAAACAAGGTTATTTCTTTAATTGTGTAACCCATTTCATTCTCTTTGTTATGAATACTTGTCGGTGGCATGACCTTTGCCCGTCGTTCGTGACGTTGTGTTTTATTTAAATCAACATATGTGACGGATGTTGTAGTAGTCTCTGTTATATACTCATCGTACCACCGGCAATTAGCGAGGTACATTTGGTCAAAGAGAAGGTCCATGTGGTCAATGGTGTGACCATGAAGATACTGTGGGTAACGTGCTTGCATTTTGTCAATAAATTGTTTTGACGTCTCGTCCCTGTATGTCCGGTATTCTGAAAATGTTCATAAATTATCAAAGTTCTATTCTTTCCGACTAGTTTGAAAAAAAGGTAATAAGCTATGCTATGCAAAAAGTAATTAGAGAGCTTATGTTGCTTATTACAAAGTTGGTATGTGAAGAGACTTATTTTAACATGATTTCTTTACTACGTTTAATAATATTTTCTAAGGCCACTTAAGTAATATCTTACAGTTTGTGCAACAGATAATTGTTGTACATAATGACATATTTAGTATATGCTATGCATTACAAAAATGTTGGGATTTATAAAAGAAATTAAAGGAAACATAAGTTTTATGCATTAGTATTGTGCATACATAACAAAACATACCAATGCTTTATATCATTCACATTATAAACTCAGCTTTAAATCTGATAAGAATGTTCTTAAGAATGGATTTTTCTTATACGTTACTAAAAAATTTTATTATCCCAAATATTTACTACTAGTGTGTTCTTGATGGGTATCACAAGTATTACTTAACTTGGTGTTTAGTTATTTGGGACGTGGGGTAGAGCAAATCACCGCATGAATGACAAAATATAGTAGAGCTTACCTCTGATAAAGTGTATGTCTAGAATAAGTTCTCCGAGAACAAGAGCACAGTCAATCAGATTGAGGACGACGACTGAGAGAAGCACAAACTTACTGTGTAACATACGCTCACCCTTCAACCGTAACCTGAAAATATCGTGCAATTTCTGACATTTCTTGTAAACGTACACGAATTGTAATGTCAATCAAAAATGTCATTTAATATTGGTGGAATATACATAAACATATACACTATTGTCACGCATACCTCACTAATATAAAGCACATAAAATGCAACAATTTCAATAGAATTACATATATGTATATCAATAAAAACGTATGTTTTATGCTAACATTGCCCATTCAGGTATAAGTTTACTTCCAGTCAGGGCTACATTTAGATCTAGAAAATTATCGATGTAATTAGTGATAACTATTTCTATAGCTATTAAAAGAGAATTACACAAATTCTTACCAAGATTTTTTTTTTTAAAAATAAGACAAAAAGTTAAATGGTATTATCTTAACACTTATTTTACACAATCAAAGCAATATTTAGCTAGGCGTTAGACATGGGTAAACATTAGAATACCCTAACATATTGAACGTTGCCCTGCTTGATTGAATTTTAAAGACTCGGTACATAAATGGAAGTTATAGAAAGCGGCCTTTACCTTGCAACTTTTCGATCACGAGGCGGTATACAACTCTCCCTCCGGATCTCAGCCTCGAGATTACGTTCTGTCTTGTGTAAATCAGCATCGGAGTAAACTCGAGCGAAGTCTAATGTCTTTCTCACCAGTCCCTATGAAAAAAAGTATAACAATGAGGTTATATAAACTTTTTTCTCATTCTTCTTCGATTTTGAAAATATTCATAAAAGATTTGGGATATAACAGACTTCAGATGATATATAACAGACTTCAGACGATTTACAAGACCGACGAGCCTCTGAATGATTTTCTAGTAAACGACCGAGTAAATAATCTTAATGGATTTTGGACAATTTATATGGCCGGTGAAAGAGTTTAGTTTTAAGTGGGAAGCCAAAACAAAAAGAACATATTGTTCAAGAAATGGCATGTCGCATTATAACTATGATAAATACTCTTTAAAGTTTGAGATATATTCTTCATTTAGCAAGAAAAACTACAAGCATACTGACTTTTAAAGTTTATTACGTCGCTGCAGCAAGGTTTTATCTTATATAAAATGTACCTTTAAAATGATTCAAGTATTTAAAATTGTGACGTTTTAGTTAATCGTTTTGCTGTAGCACTTTAAATGTTACCATTGTTTTTACGCCAGATTAAAACAACATTAAACATTACTGCAACACCCCAGGTTTGGCATAGATATTTTGTGACTATGAAGATAGTGTTTTTTTTCTTTTTTGTTTTTTTTTCGATTTTAGACAGGTACGTAAAATATGGAACTCGGTTATGGAAGTTTGCACAAATGTATAATGACAGTTTTTTTTAAGATTCTTTCAACTTAGTGACAATGACTCTGAATACCTAGCTATATATCAAGAATGTCCTACAATTGATTGTTATGATTTTACACAATCGGACCGTCCTTATCCAAAGACTGACGGAAAGGGCCGAAAAGTTACGATTGAGTTTTATTCACCACTTATTTCTAACCCTGTCTTAGGCAAAGCCGGCCTTGCAGGGGAATCAAATGCTAAAATCCTCTCGCCAATTCACACGAAAAAAGAAACAAAAAAAAACAGTATAAGCACTGTTCTTTCCTCCTATTTTCCGTATTCCTCTAGGGGTAAAGGTGCAGTTCTGGTGAGTTACATACTGAGAACAAATTAAACCTTGTCCTATCCTTATAATATTTAGTCAGTATTGTTGACAGTAAAAAAGAAAAGGAAAAGAAAACGACAGAAACCATACCAATTGGTAACTATATACAGGAATGGAAATTTACAGATGAGATCACCACGACGTGTAAACAATATAGGTAAGTGAACTTAAAAGACAAAAATGATGTATTCTTTTTATGTTAAACGAGGATATTAATTACAAGTTGTTGACTCTACAAAATAAAGCATAGCTGTCAGATGAAATAAAGAAGAAAATTCGTCATAAATGCATCACCATCTTCCTCATTACGAATACACGTGATACAAGCGTGTCGTCAAGGTCACTAACGTCTGCGTACATACGCATGCACTGAAAGGACAGGATCTTACATAGCGTTACCCCTAGATATTTTATGAAGGGTGTATAAAAAAAATTTCAGACGAAATGGTCATCAATTTTATTTTCTTTAATGTATATTAGAGATAGTCTCCATATTTGTACGAATGCTGTACAACCAGGTCTTCCTGAACACGTGAAGCTGGTAAGTCGCCGAATGTTCTTTATATTGTCAGTATAAATAAACAAGAAGTATCTTTAAAAAAGTTACTCGACCGAAGTAAAACTGATAAGCATGCACAATTATTTTTAATTCTATGTTTTCAATACAAAAAGAAATGTCAGCAGTGCTTGTATAACAATAACATAATGATTATTTCATGTATCTAAAAAATACCCATTTTGTAAACATTGAAATAAGATTATAGCATACTAATACATATTGATGATTTTTCAAAGTAGAACAACTTCTATTTAGGTGTCTTTTTAACTTGTTTTACATTTGACTTTATTAATTTTGCAATCATGTACAAATTTACCAAAAAGTTAAAGAACTATTCTCATTCGTGTACATTTTATTTTAGAACTATCCCTTACTTTTTGTTTTATAGTGGCAAAAACTATCTCTTACATTATATTTTAGAGCTGTCCTTAAATTTTATTTTAGAATGGTAAGAACTATCCTTTAAATTTTATTTTAGAATGATTGGAACTGTCCTTTACATTTTATGTAAGAATGACCAATGAGATTCACCGATTTCAGTTTGCAATTCTTATTTATCAATGAAAATTCTTTTTGTATTCAGTCCTTCACTGTTAATTTTACAGGATGTCCAACTGTTAACAAGTCCGTCTGAATAAATATATCTTATATGTTAGCTCTACTTTGTCAATGGAAAGCCATGTTTAAACATTGCTAGCTATTTTCTAAAAGTATTATACATGTAGGCTGAAATATCGCTAAGCAATGACCTAGCACACGGGTTACCTGTCCAATTTGCTCAGTTGTTGTTTGGACTTTTTTCTGAGCCTCTTGATATCCGAAATTGGCACTTACTAAATGTTGTGTTTGGTACTTGGAATGAAAATAGCTACAGAGAACATGAAACGGAGAAAAAGGTATTCCATATCGACTCTACAAAATCTCTACAATTTCATCAACAAACATAAAATAACGAATAATACTTACTGCAGTATCTCTTTTTTATTGTCTGTTAATACCCAAATAAAAAAAGAATCCCAATTTAAAATTCAGTATTGATAGTATTAATATTTTCTAATATTTAATAATGACATTTCTAAAACAAAAGGATTGCCAGTGTCACAGAGTGAGAAAAATATGAAGTCCGAAAAAATTGACCCCGGGACCCTCGGAATACCGTGCGGCGGCTCTAGCGACTGAGCTACACATTGTCTCCAGTTCTGAATCGTGAGTTAGAAAAGGGATGGAAAATAGCCTGTAAATTGACGGACGTCAAGGTGGAACAGACAGCTGAAGGCAGAAAAATAGTCACTGTGTTTGTTTGTTTGCTTTTTTTTTTATTAAACACTTTATAAGTTATCTGTTTCGAGAAAATTCAAATACAAGGGGGTAAGTTTTGCATTATAAGATGTGCAATCAAAAATGTTTAAATCTAAAAAAATAGTAAACTAGTGTGACAAATAATTACATTCGATTATGCAAGCATTTCTTCTAATTTTAGGATACCGAAATGACAATGATTTGCATTCTATTTGTGCGCGATAAGTTGCTTATTGTCATAGCCATGCAAAAGAGCAAATTCTTTGGTCATATTAAACGTGTCTTATTTCTGTCTGTTCTCTTGTTAAACTAGGAACCGTGAAATCTTACATAACCACTATGTTGCATTTAAATATGCAGTAGATATGTTGCTACGAGGGTTGAAAAAAATGGGACTGCAGTTATACTGCATGTTTTAATTTACCAAGAGACAAATTTAGGAATTACTCCTCTGTAAACAGTTAAAAAATCCATACAATATGTTTACAAATAGTATTTCTGTGAAAATTACAAATGGCAATGGGTACGCGACCCGGCGCACGCTAACATTGCAAATAAAAGGCGTTCATTACATCGCAAAATAAATACAAAATATAACGAGCATCGTTCTCTAAATTATGTTAATTGTCGCTCCACTCTTGAAAAAAATGGCCTGCTTTTCCTATTAATCTGGAAACTATACGAGCGGGTGTTGTAAATATTCATGACTCGGTTGCCATTAAGTCAAGTTTGCAACCAATTTCCTCGCTTGAACCAAGTGTGCAACCTCTTCACGTCCTGCCCCTTGGAAGAAGTAACAAAATTTAGCGATCGCGCAAATTTCATAGTTCTCAACGGACGTCATATTTCTACATTAAACGATATAGTGATCTTTGCAGTTCATTAGTTATGTCATTTCTAAATGACGTCAAAATTGGACACAATGTCACTTAATTATAATATAAAATGTTGGTGAAATATATGGGAAAAGAGACGGCAAAAACCATGAATAAACTAAAAGTACAGCTTAGCTTCAAAAACACTGTTTTGGTGCGCTGCGCCGGATGCATATAAGGTTTTATGACACGACAATCAACGTGATCTAGTATATTTCAATTCATTAACCTATGAGATGCAATGGTTGCTGAATATACCAGTACTATGACCTTAACTGCATTTTAATTTGATTTAAATAAAAAAATACTAAAATTTGAATGTATACATACTTCCGACTTGGAACGCGGTCTGAGAGTATCCATCGGTCTTTTAAAATTTTCTGCGTACCCAACTCCGTCAAACTTGAACATTTTCTCCAAATTGCTTAACGACCTTACACAGAATGTTACATTTCGGTAACTATGTTTGGTTTTGTCTGATTAAATGAATAATTAAACGTCTTCTCAGTGAGAATGAAAATACATTTCATAAATCATAAAATAAGTTATGGTGTTTATACGCTTGTCATACCTCTGTGGTAAATACGAGAAAATGCATCTGTAATACAGAATAGATTAAATTACACGTGACAATGTTCTTATGATCTTAAGGCTTAAAGACCAGTGACGACATAGTAATCTGAGGAAATCAATTAGCATGACCGCCAGTATCGTCAAATTTGGTTAATTTTGTACCGCCTGTATTGAGCATTTCAACCTGCATAGATTCAAACCTGTTGGTTAATTATTTTTAATACTTTTATTTAAATAAATCGGATAGTCTCAACTTCGAGAAAGGAAACCTTTATTCCATATATAATATAGTAATGACTGAGAAATGAACTATAAAACGTGTGCAACCAATCTTATTGCTCTTTCTTACCTAAACTCATCGTTTTGAAAGCCAAGTACTAAATACAATGTATGTGTGTCTTTTGTTACTTCTATCTAACTGATAGTCATTCTTGTAAAATATGAGCCGCGTCACAATAAAACCAACATAATGGGTTTGCGTCCAGCATGGATCCAGACCAGCCTGCGCATCAGCGTATAGGTTTTGTCGTGACGCGGCTCAATTTATTATGTTATTGTAACTTATTGCATCAGGGAAGATCCGTTGCTAATGTTGAGAGAACTTGTGGGTCAATCCTTTTGCCAAATATATTATACCATTGTATAGTAACTGTCTTTACATGTATGTACATATATATGTTTCTTTTTTTCGCAATAAAATATGTTTAAATCAAATCAATGACTGAAATAGTTTCCTGTAATGAGGTAGACGTATCAAATGGACATTACACACACAAATTTATTCTTCAATACTTTCTTTTTTCCAGACTACATAAGCAGAATAAATCTTTGTTATAATATAATGTTAATAGAAAAAGAGTTTTGCATCGTGATGGGTCTATGATCTAAATTTATTTCGGAGCTCTAACCGGCCAGATTTATTAATATTTCATCTACCTAGGTGTTACTAATAATTATTATTGCATACACATGAATGAAAAGGGTGACTTTTTCGCCCAAAAATGGTTTTATACACGTTTTTTTTTCAGAGTTATATTTATCATATTGATTCATCGATCATTAATTTGATTTATTGATCAATATATCGACTGGTTAAAGAAATTCATCTGACATACATGTACTATTTTCCTATATAATCAGAAAGTAAGCCATTCTGATATATCCATACTGGGGCACTTGATTTCGTAACAAAAAAACTAGTTCGACGCGGCTCATATCGGTTCGACTTTCAGAACGTTAAAGGCTTTTATTGTGTCCCAGGATGGTGATCTTCCACCTCTCTCGAAACACTTAATTCTTGATTGAGGATATTTGACAGAACTACAGTCTCACAATACTGTGCTTTAAAATCCCCTTAACTTTATAACGAATGACTGATTATACATTTGTACTTTGTGTAGGTAAATGTGTTCAAAAATCTGCCAGCAAGGGCGAAATAGCCCTAATTTAACATTGTATTCATTTTAAAACATAGGTCATTTGTAAGACCATAAAGACTTTAGGAATTGCTGTAATAACACCAAGCTGTTATATTACCCTCATTTCTGAACTTTGAACCGGGATTAATTAGACGAACGTTTATTTATTAATTGTTAAATGAATTCTATAGCAACCGACAGCCTCTGTAACTACTCCTGTGGGAAATATAAAATTAATCTACGTGACTAATACTTCGATAAGTTTTAAATTATTCATAGATTTTTACAATATTTTATTTCCTTATCAATAAGTTTTTTATTGGGTCTCAGACCCGTTATCAAACCGGACAGTTCTAAAATATCCGAAACCTTTCTTCTTCAATTGGCTATTTTATACCTTAGAAGGTTTGAATTGATTCATTTCAATTGTTCCTCTTATAATTACAATGTTATTTAAAGTGGACCGGTCTATAACGGGCACATTTTCCAGAAGTATTTCAAATATTGATAAAAACAATATAGAAATGTATCAATTGGATATTTTTATAAATATTTCTTGAAAAAAAATCATGTATCTCACATTTGCCAAAAACCATCCATACAAAAATATTTCGTGGTTGTTCTTATATGTATGACACCTATTATACTATTAAAGGCACATTCGTATTTTTAAGTTCTTTATATATGTCAAATATTTGTTTAATAATGCTTTAATAAAGAATTTAGAACATTTAAAATGTTTAACGAGTGGTTTAAACCAAGTTCTTGCAACTTATATCAATCACTTTCGAGGCCACTTCCTTTAACCAACCAGTACTTGTGTTATAATTAAGAAGAAACAATGATTATTTTATTACAGACCTTCCGTTATAGACAAATTCACTTTAACCTACTTGCCTAAAAATAATTGTATGATGATAATATATGACAATAATGTAGTTACAATGATTGTCGGTCGAAGAAATTTTAAAATGAATGTCGTTCGTCTTGTTAAAAAGCCGAAATAGTCTTGTAATCTACTTACCTTATTCTTTCTTAATCGTTGTGGACACATTACAATTATATTCACTAAACAAACTATTAAGTCTTGTTTAAAGCCGATGTCTAAAATGAAATTTGCGATCTCCATTTATTGTAAACGACTTTAACATGGAAAATTGAATATGGTGAGCAAGGAAAACTGTATGTCAGCACAAGATGAGCAAATTTGTATGATATCCCGGTCTACCCAACAAGTTGATCAAGAACGAGGCAAATATGCTGCCAAAAGATTTTTTCTATGATTTAAATGTATGCAAATTTCCAAACTTGAGTCGTATTTCTTTTTAAAAAAATGAGAAAGTTTGCATTGATAATCAACAAATTATAGAATTGATTGTAAAATAAATTAAACTAAATTTGAATTATGTTCTTGATTTTACACATAATAATTATAAACTTAATTGTAATTAAACTTCAAACATTCGGTAGAAAATGACCAACTTCTGGGTATTTATACTCGTACATACATACTGTAGTTAAAATGCATGCATTATATCGAATCTATAAAAAATAATATTGCGAGTATTAAGCTTACACAAAAAAGAATTGCTCAACATGTCCATGACAATAATAGCAGAACTTTTTTATTTGTTAATATTTCTTGTGGGTATTTTTGTATCATTTAGGGAATAGATTCCGATTTATGTCCCGTGTATTTTTAAGTAAATGCATTTAACAAGTAAAGAATCATCTACAAGGTCCGGTTAATTTTTGATCATCCCTCGTAAATTAATCAAATTTCCCTCATGTTATCGAAAAGCGAGCCGCGTTCAAGCACACAAAATTGACCAGCTCATGTATCTTAATTAATGTACAAACTGTAATAAATGTACATGTATATCAAATCTTAAAAACATTTTTCTTTTCAAACAATTAAAAATAATACATACTTGAATACTACTTTGACTCTGTAAGGAAGATCTTTTCCTCCTAAAGTATCCCATTTCAAACTAACATAACTACTGCACGGTTCGATCTACTAGCTAAAGTCATATAGAGCCATATATAATACTTAATTATTCATAATTAATATAAAATTCTTATTCATTCGCAGGTATTTGTCATTTTGAATCAATCTTTAACATTGGAGAGGTAAATTTGCCTTTTTATGCATTTTTTTTCCAGGTGTAATTAATGTAAAACGTAATTATACGGCGTCAGACGTGCAGTAATATAAATATGACATAATAAATTAATGTAAAACGTTAGTTTCTCTGGTTTGTATTGAACCTGCTTAAATAAACGAAAGATGTCCGACTTTCTTAAATTAATAAATAACTTTCTAAACTCACTTGTGTACTGTATGCCAAACTGGCGTTTATTATAAATAAAATATATGGCCTGAGTCAATTGAATTGCATAATTATCAATCTTTTTACGTTGAAAATTTGCATTCATAAAAGCTTTACTATTTAGGAGATCAGGCTTATCTCTTGTTTGTTTCATTTTACGCCTTTTCCCAACAGTATTTCAGTCATATAGGCGGGAAGTTTCCTAACCATCGTTCCTGGAGAGTTACACCAGTACTAGACTACCTTCCTCCGCGCTAAACTACCAAAGCATCTCCCGGGGATCGAACCCATGCCAGAGAGGTAACTGGATTAGAGGAATACAGTGTACTGACTAGATATTGCTAGTAATTAAGTAAAAGCACTTCTAGTGATCATGCACAGAAATAGCTAGACCAATACAGAATACAGTGTACTGACTAGATATTGCTAGTAATTAAGTAAAAGCACTTCTAGTGATCATGCACAGAAATAGCTAGACCAATACAGAATACAGTGTACTGACTAGATATTGCTAGTAAGTAAAAGCACTTCTAGTGATCATGCACAGAAATAGCTAGACCAATACAGAATACAGTGTACTGACTAGATATTGCTAGTAAGTAAAAGCACTTCTAGTGATCATGCACAGAAATAGCTATACCAATACAGAATACAGTGTACTGACTAGATATTGCTAGTAATTAAGTAAAAGCACTTCTAGTGATCATGCACAGAAATAGCTAGACCAATACAGAATACAGTGTACTGACTAGATATTGCTAGTAAGTAAAAGCACTTCTAGTGATCATGCACAGAAATAGCTAGACCAATATAGAATACAGTGTACTGACTAGATATTGCTAGTAAGTAAAAGCACTTCTAGTGATCATGCACAGAAATAGCTAGACCAATACAGAATACAGTGTACTGACTAGATATTGCTAGTAAGTAAAAGCACTTCTAGTGATCATGCACAGAAATAGCTAGACCAATACAGAATACAGTGTACTGACTAGATATTGCTAGTAAGTAAAAGCACTTCTAGTGATCATGCACAGAAATAGCTAGACCAATACAGAATACAGTGTACTGACTAGATATTGCTAGTAAGTAAAAGCACTTCTAGTGATCATGCACAGAAATAGCTAGACCAATACAGAATACAGTGTACTGACTAGATATTGCTAGTAAGTAAAAGCACTTCTAGTGATCATGCACAGAAATAGCTAGACCAATACAGAATACAGTGAGAGGCATGACTGCAACATTACATTTGTTTCAGTTTCTTCTCTAGATGTTCAGCTGTCTTAATTTCACAGTTTACTGTTATTTGAATTTAATGCTTAACTGTGAGAGTGATAAAGTCAAATATTAAATGCCTAAAGACTGTTATAGCCAAGAAAGACCTTCAATGTGTATATTTTTCGACCTTTGAAATAAATTTTCCCTGACTTTTCACTGACTTTTCAGGATTTTCATTTTTCACTGACCAAATTTCAAAATTCCCTGACCTTGAAAAAATACCCAATTTCCCTGACTTTTCAAGTCCGCTGGCAACCCTGATATAACTGCTATAGTTATATTGCATGTCATCATATCCCATACGGATATATCAACGGTAAGTTAAAAATAGTTATATTGAATGCCATCCTATCCCATATGGTCATACCCCATGTGGTGATATCCAATATATTCAATACATGTGGTTATATCCAATATATTCAATACATGTGGTTATATCCAATATATTCAATACACGTGGTTATATCCAATATATTCAATACACGTGGTTATATCCAATATTCAATACACGTGGTTATATCCAATATTCAATACACGTGGTTATATCCAATATTCAATACACGTGGTTATATCCAATATATTCAATACATGTGGTTATATAACTCAAAATATTACCAAAGCTATATAACACAATAATGTATATGTAATTGATAATAAAAAAAAATTAAAAGAAATAAATAAAAAGAAACACATGTAAATGTTTTCTATAAATAAATCGTATTTTATTTTTCCACTGTATAAATCAATTCAATAAATTGAACACTTCAACAAAATGACCAACTGCCTGGCAGTTTTCACATATTTTATAGTCATATTTTTAAACATTAAATCAATATTTCCCTTCAGTAACGTTAGAAGAACCTTTGCATGGAACAGAAAAAAACTTCCAAGACCTAAACATGCTGAAATTCTAAAATGGATTATAGACTTACCCAGCGTTCATGTTTGGAACTGTTCATTATTGACCGAGGATAGTCAGGATACCAAGATGATAATTTAAAGTTAGTCCGTCAACAATAAAGACTGGTCAGAATGCATAAATATACCGACTAGCATGGGTCTAAACTGGTGGCAAAGACTTATCACTTTTTAGCTTCACTTTTTAGCTTCAGCAGGATAAATGATTAAAATTTTATTTATTTTCTATAATGTTGAATACATGTACTTATATCAAATTTATTAGCTTATTAAACAAACTAAACTGATGTCCAAAGGCCCCAAGACATAAAATTTGTCGCAAATAATAAGTGAAGAACTTAAAATGGAAATCTCTGCAAAGAAAGAAATACATGTGTACAAAGAATTAATTTGAAAATTGATTTTGTGCTTTTTTTAGCCTGATTTGAGTGAAAATGGTAGCAATGGTCATTTCTAGTGTCATTTTGCACAATAAAAATGGTTAATTTGGAAAAACAGAATTAAGGGAATGACCTTCATAAATTGGAACACAAATTTCAGGAAAATATTTCCAGTCCTATCATGTAAAAAAATCAGCCGAGTCCCATTATACCAAAACCTCAGTTAAATTTTATTCAATCTATTTTAATGTTGATACAGTTAATAAAATTAATGACAAACATGTAAATCTATTATAAATATCACAATGTCCACAGAAATACTTCATTCTCCGTAAACAAAATCTGTTACCATCTCAAAAATGCAAATGTAAAATGATCTGACTTAAAAAAATACAAAGAGAATTGCAAAATTATAAATATGCTTTAAAGTAAAGTTATATGGCAACTTTTTAGCAAGCATAAATATTAAATTATCAAAGGTGCCCCTACAATACATTACGTATGACATATGCATGACACCAAGTTTTCGTACGATTTAATGATAGTTTCATCAAATTAAAGATAAAAAGAACTCACAATTTTTTTTTCAAAACTGCCCACAAACCAAAACTGGATAACTTAGAAGTATTCTCGCAGACAATTATTTCGCAGTATTATGTCAGACAGTGTAAGTTAAGTAAGGTAACATTATTAACCAAGTAAACATTATTAATTTTATCAATACATATTATAAATTGACTTTCTAACACTTGCATAAAGATGTGATAATTTTCTAAAGGTTTGATTTGCTTATCACCTTAACCTATGTGAATGGTCATACCACATAATTCAAAAAAATAAATAACATATAAAATAACATTCTAGAAATGTACACAGTAAAGTTAAACTTCATATATATCAAAACATGCCCATCATGTAAACCAACAATCTATGAAAACCTACTTCAATCCAACATCATTCAAAGCTCCCCGCTTTGAAAATAATAACTTTGTAAATACAATGCACTCCCTTTGAATACAAATAATATGTACATCAATTGTATATTTATTAATAAACAACTAATAAAAAATATTTCCTTAAATGTAATTGTACACATGTACCATTAACACTTTAATATACAATTGTACACAATGTAAATGTTCTAATAAACATGTTAATAAATGTAATTCTATACATATTCTAATAAAGGTAACTGTAAACATGTACATTTTCTAATAAAGGTAATTGTACAAATTTTTTATCTTCTTATAAAGGTTCTTGTATTCATGTATATGGAAAGGGTTATTGCACAATGGTATATGGACATGTCTGTACTCATTTACAGAATCAATTTCTTTGCCAACTTCTATTAAAAGTAATTGTGCATTTGAATAAAAAGATATCAAAAGTCTTTATTAATGCATTACATAACACATTGGCACTTTTTTTTTTTTTGAAAAATCTCAGAGCAAAATGTGAGAAATATGTGTAAAAAGGAAATATACATGTAACTCTTTTTTTTTCAAAATCAGAATATGTTTTTTAAATTATATGATACTTTTCCCTCTAATCTTATTTGTTTTTACTGTGCAAGCTTGCAACATAAACGATAAAACACACCAAAATGACATCAAAAACCACATATTCAAAGGCTTGTAATGCTTCAGAAACGAATAAATAAAAGGTAAGTTTTTACTTCATTTATTTTAATTTGGTTATTGTAAGACTCAGGCCAATATTCACTGACAAATGAACCCTGACATTGACAGCTTCACAAGAAAAAAACCCAAAAAACAAAACAATCAGGGCCTTTATTAGGACAAAAGTTTTTAAGGGGTAAGTCCCTGATCATCCAATGTTTGAATGAAGCCTTTGAAAAAAATCTTCATTCTGCCTATATGTCTATATGGTATATAAAAACTGTAACAAGCATCCTTAAAGATCTTTACAAAACTAATAAATTTCCACATGAAAACAATGTACATATAGCTTAATAAATTTGACAAATTTAGAATGTGGAGAAATCGTGAAAATACCAAAGAAAATAAAATAACATTCACAATAAAGACATTGCTTTAAATGACAAAAAGCATACCTGATTCAGAAAAAAGAGAGAATATTATAATGTAGCATATTTTACCAAGTAAGCAAGCAGTTTCAAAAAATATAAAGTTAAAAAAAAATACATGAGGAAATTTGAGAATTGCACAAATACCAATACATGAACTCACAATGAAAAATATAACTGAAATTTTTCATTACCAGATCTTTTTTAGATAGTAAGGACTGCTTTGGCACGTTTTGACAAGTTTTAGAATATTAATGTGGTCTACTGTAGTGTATCTGGCAAGCTTAAATACATTATAAGTTCAATTTAATCATATTTTTACTATTTGAAAAACTTTCAAACGTTTTGGTGTAAGAATTGCCACAAATCTTGACTGCTGCTACTTTATGGCTGGTTCTTAAAATATTTTGCAATAAAAATATTTTTTGACACATCATACTTAATTTTGTTCAGACAATCTAATCTATAGATAACAATTGCAAGGATCTACCACATGTATACAGACCCCTTCCCTATCCACCCCCTACTCCCCATGCATAAATCTATTTTGAGATAAAGATCTAATGTCTGTATGTATTATATTATGTAAATATATATATCCCCCACTGTTTTAGATAAATGGCCAGTTAAATATAATCAATATCATCACAGCAATGGAAGATCACAACATGTGATGAGATCTGCTTTACTGATGACAAAGAACACAAGAGTAAATTAGCAAGTTACCAATACATATCAATAACTCTGTGTTCAACAGTGTAAACATAATTACATCACCAAGTTTTAGAGGAAAATTACATGCATTTTATTTCTGAAAAATGTTAAAAACTGGCCATCAATTCTTAAGAATACTAATCAATGAATAAAGCAAAACACAACCAAATATAATTGAACAATATTCACCAAGGGTGGTCCAACTAAACATCACCTTTAACCCTTTAAATAAACCATGCAAGTACTGTTCCATAAAACCCTTATTATTAATGTATCAAATTCGTCAGAATTTATCTGATATTTCTAGATATATGTTGACACACAAAATACAGGCTGTCTCTTCTGAAAACAGTTTATCAGCACCATGAGCTTAAATGCAATAACTGACATATTAACCAACCATTTCCCTTCTTGTTATGAAATGTAGATTTATTTTCTACATTATAAAAAACTATTTGATATTTTCTTTCATATGGTACATAGAGATAACAAGTATACCAGTTACACCATTGAATGCTCCCTGACATTGCTTTAATCATATACATAGATAACATCAACATCTCTGCCTTAACACCTAACCTGCTATATTTAAATGATGGAAATACCCCATCTATCAAATTGGGATGGCCCATTGACTCAATTCCATGTTTAGGGAATTTCAATATCAAAATACACAATTAAGCTACTAAAAGTACAAAAGAATACAGCCTGTTCAGGCTGACCAAGTTATATATCAGTGGCTAATCACTTTGGCTTCAATTAACATAGCAAAAAGATAGCAAAAATACACCTTGCTATACTGATGAAGAGAATAATCTATTTTAAACATCAGTAAATCTGACATCCTTATCCATGAAAAATTCAGCTATATCAATTTATCCATGGTATCAGTCTAGCAATGATTGTGCTAGGAGAAAAGATATGTGTGACAGAGAAAAGACAAACTTGTGACTATATGCTAGACAGGGGAAAAAAATCCAGGAGCAAAAAAAAATAAATTCACCACTATATAATAACTATATGTCAATACTATTGTTTTTCACAGTTTTAAATCCTTCTCCATATAAAGAAGTGTTCCCACTGTTATTCTAGTAGCACCTATTAATATTTCTTTTTCTTCTTGGCCAATTTCATTCTCCTCAATTCTTCCTCTTCTCTTCTGATATCTTCCAGGTCCTCCATTTTACCTATCTTAGCACTGAAAAACAGCAAAACATAAATGACCTTCAGGTTAATAATGACTTTTTGTCAGTTCTAAGTGATTTTTTCATCCTATGATTTGAAAATGTGCGGAAATCCTCCCTGTTGGGAAATTATCAAAACATGTAATAGCAAATTGGGAAACACCCACATGTAAATTTTAGCACCACATTGAGCAAAAAACCCAGTTTCTAACAATTGAAAACAGGTTTGTTTAGCAAAGAAGGAAGCCATCCAAAACATTATTCAATAATTAAACAACCATGTACAAGTTACTTGCCAATTTTTCTAGAGTTTAATCAATGCTATAATCCATGCACTGTTATTTAGTCGAGGTAAAAAGGAAAAAATACTTATCTATTCAAAATATACATCACAATCCAAATGTTATTATTATAAAAAGTGTAAAATCTTGTTTTTCAGAGCTTATCATATTGAGCACCTTTGGTTTGAAATTACTTATCTTAGCTCAATTGTAAAGAATATTTGAAGCAAATTTGAACTACTCTAAAATCTGTGATTGGAACTGAAAAGAATTAGGGCAAAATGTAAACTTATTTTGACTTTCAATTGTTCACTCACTATATACCATAATAGCAAAATGTCACTTAAAAATGTAGATGAAAAAGTTATAAATGAAATAAATAAATGTACCTGCGGACTTCTTCCTTCATGATGGTAGCAAAGTTTGCCTCCATATTATCAATATCATCATCTTCATCCCTGAACCTGAATAAACAAGCAATTATCATAGTATTGCAAGCAATCCATAAGTCCCTTACCGGTTAGAACCCCATCAACATTCTGAAGGGCCATTGGCCATTCACTAATGTTTCAATTTTTCTCTATTTTAAGTAAATTTGTTGGAAAAGTTCTTTAAAAGTGATCACAGGAAACAGTTTTTATGAACAGACAGACAGACAGACGGACTGAGGACACTCTAAAGTTAATATTTGAAACATCCCTGTTACCAACATTTAACATTTTAAAAGCAAAATTCTTAAAGAGGAGATAACTCTTGAATTAAAGATGCAATTTCATAAAAAAAATTCAGCTCTTTTTGACTAATCACAAATATTGTTGTATTTGCCATGTTTTAAGCCTATTTGTTGCCAAGGCAACTGATATTTTATCAAAATAGGAAGAACAGATAAGACATGCATAATCTCAAGACTGCTATCTACCCATATGTCAAGTTTCATAAAAATATTTCCAGTACTTTTTGAGTTATCACTGGATTCAGTTTATGTGTAAAATTTGCCAAATTTTCAGTCTATGTGTTGCCATAGCAGCCAGAATTTTTAACATAGGAAGAAAAGAAAAAGACCTGCATAATCTCAAGACTGCCATCTACCCATATGTCAAGTTTCATAAAAATATTTCCAGTACTTTTTGCGTTATCACTGGATCCAGTTTATGTATAAAATTTGCCATATTTTCAGCATATTTGTTGCCATAGCAACCAGAATTTTCAACATAGGAAGAAAAGAAAAAGACGTGCATTATCTCAAGACTGCCATCTACCCATATGTTAAGTTTCATAAAAATATTTCAAGTACTTTTTGCGTTATCACTGGATCCAGTTTATGTGTAAAATTTGCCATATTTTCAGCCTATTTGTTCCATAGCAACCAGAATTTTCAACATAGGAAGAAAAGAAAAAGACGTGCATAATCTCCATACTGCCATCTATCTATATACCAAGTTTCATAAAAATATTTTCAGTACTTTTCAAGTTATCGCGGGATCCAGTTTTGTGGACGGACGGACTGACGGACTGACAGACGGACGTTCTCACAGGACAGTAATTATGTGGCTACTCTATTGTTCTCTCTATTGTTCTTTTTAGCCACGCAAAAGAAAATAGCCACATATAAGCATTACGGAATGAATGACATCAAAGAGAACCTATTGTCCCTCTAGCCACATAATTACCCTCCTGTGAGTGCGGACGGACGGACAGACGAACGGAGGGTAAACCTAAAGTCCCCTCCGGTAAACCAGTAGGGGACTAATAACATATCTGTTTAATTCTGTTAGATACATGTATATCTATAACTAGAAATATGGACATGGATGCCCACATTCAACTGTTTAATCAGTCTTTAGGTGAACAGAGTAATATTTGTACAGCATGGCAATTGGGAAGACAGACAAGGGCAAACTTATAGGCCCCATCCCCTTTAGTGACTGATATACAAAACAATTTTGAACCTATTTCATGTGTACAAAGTTTTATGAATTTAAAAAACTACAATGAATCTTTCCAATGAAAAACAGAATATATTTTCACAGGGAATGATTAACAGCAAATGATAGACATATACTAGTAGACAGGGTTTTATTTTTTTTCTGAGGCAACAGATTTTCTATCAATAACAACCTAATTGGACTAAGGTCGAGAGGGTATTTTAATCTACAGGCTGAAAATACAACTGATTTTCACAGCATTTCACCCAATGATATGGATCATCAATCTGTTGATGAAAACACTGAGGCTGAGCAGATCATATCAGACAAAATCATGTCATAATTGATAAACATTAAATGAAGTTGTATATTTATACAAAGTTCGAAGTATAAAAGTATACTAACTTTCTCTTGTCATAACCAAACAAGTTTCTGATTTCATAATTGATAAACATTAAATGAAGTTGTATATTTATACAAAGTTCGAAGTATAAAAGTATACTAACTTTCTCTTGTCATAACCAAACAAGTTTCTGATTTCTGCGGAGACGTCCAATGACCCGTCATCACCATCATCTATAAAATCATCATCTTCATCGTATTCATCATCTTCTTCATCAGAACTCTCCAGTATTGCACGCTTTCTTTTCTCTTAAAACATCATACAAACATGTTTAATGTACACAATACTGTCTAAAGTAATTTGGAATAGAATGTACATGCATTAAACATTAAACACAGAAAAATACCCATTCATGCACTGATAGACTGATACTCCAGGATTAAGGATATTTTGGGTTATTTTTCTCCACCTGGTTGACTAATCTATTGTGACAGGCAGTGCACCTTGAAGGTACATGTAGCAGTAAATGTTTGTTTGTACCTACGGATAAGCTGGGAAAAACTTGCAATTGTCAAGTTCCGAATAACATCTATTAGTATTAGCATCAACATTTGAAACACCTCAAAATTTAAAACATACAAATTAACTACATGTTCACGTCTACCATCAAAAGATACCACTGAAGACAAATACCCCCCCCCCACCCCATCTTTATGACACAGGATTTTGTTGTTGGTCTATTTATTATTATCATAGTTTTTGAAGGGGAACATTTCTGCTCAGTTTAAAAAAGTCATGCAAGGATATAGAATTTATTGTGTGGATAGCCGATGCAAAATTATCTGATATTTGATCTTAAGGGTGACTTAGAGCTGGCATTGCAGCAGCATGGGTTCTGCACACCGCCAAGTTAAAAGAAAATTGTACATAAAGGAGTTATATATCTTATACAACAGATTAATAAGAGAGGAAGGATGAATGGAATGACATGCCAAATTGATTTCAGGATATCCTCCCCCTCAAACATTTCAGGCCTTGGAGGACCTAACTGAATTTCATGAAAGAAACATATTTGAAACTGTTATCATTATGTATAGCAACATTTCTTGATTCATTAATGAAAATGATTTAATATCTTTCAAAATATTACCTGGTTTTGGGTTATTTTTCTTGATCTGGTTATAAATTCTATCAAAGGGGTTCGTAGATTCTTGAACCTGTTGAGCTTTAACACTTCCTGAAGAAGATGATGGTCTACATACAAGAACATTATCATTTTCAACATCATACTTAGTTACTTTCTTATCCTTTGGGTTCATTGGTTTGTTTTCTCTAACAGACTTGTTAGGTCTTGGACCTGGACTATTTCTATCTGATTTTCCTGTCAATGCATTTTTCAATAAACTTGAATCACTTTTAGATTTCATTGCACTTTTATCACTGGCATTTGATTTCCCTGCTTGTTTCATGCTGTTATTATACATTAACTCCTCTTCTTTGCGTTGTTGCTTCACTTCCTCGGCCCTTCTTCTGCGATCAATTTCTTCTTGTGTGAGTGGTCTCTCTTCAACCTTTTTTGGTATTTTGAATACAGGTTCTGGAACTTTTTCTTGACACTTTTTCTCCGCAATTTTTAATAAATCGTTAAAGTTTAATGATGGGGGTTGTTGTTGGAACCTCCGTACTATCACAGGTTTCTTCACTTTGGGTTCTTTTCCTCCTGAGAAATTATTTTGATAATCCTTCCGCATCATTTCTTTAATCTTAGCTTTTTTATCATGATTATTTTTATGCTTATCTTTAATTTTATCATGTTTCGATTTATGTACCTCTTTTCTGTCATTTGTTGAACTTTTTCTTATTTTCCTCTCTTTAGGATCCTTATCTGGGAAGTTATAATTACCAAGCTGTGCATCAATTTTTTTCTTGATGTTTTTAAGAATGTCTCCAGATTCTGTATGCATGAGAATCTCATTAGAGCTGAGATCGAGGGATGCATTAGGTTCATCATCCGAGGAATCGTCATCTTTTACGACACTCTTTGACTTGATTTTATCGGCTTCTTTACTTGATAGACCCCCTTTATCACCTGTAAAATAAACACAATTACTATTAGTGTCTCATTTTGACTAAACAAAAAAAACAAAGTCAATTTGATACATCAAATACAATTTGATCAACTTTAATCAATATTTAATTAAAATTTCACTTCATTACCTCAGTGATACCAATTATATAATAATATATATTTAAAAAATCAATTTTTTATGCTACAATCAAGTTAAATGTGTTACAGAATTTTGAATATTTAAGAACACTGAACTTTTGAATTATAGTCAAGGTATTTGACTATAAACATTTATATTCTATTTTATTTTATGAATATGTACCTCATATTCTTAGACTACAGTTTATACCACTGACTTAAACACTATTTTCAGTTTTAACTATTTTGCAATGGTAAGCATAAACTGAAAACCCTAGTGCTGACCCTGATTCTATCTTTGTTCTTTCTTTACATATAATAACAAAACTTCATCACTTGATGTTTTCCATGCAGTTTAAGAAAGTCTTTAACATACATGTTATGTCTGATCAATATGAAATAAATAGTGTGATGTCATCAACCATAATAATGTACTTCTGGGTTCAATTTAAACATTGCATGTCATTATAATGAATTTGCCATTTAAAAAGTTTTTGGCTGTTTATTTAACTTTAATATCATACATGTTATAGTTAAAAATAAGCATGACAACATTTAAAGATCTAAAGCATATTTTCTAACCTATAAAACAACCAACACATGACATGGTAAGAACTTAACACATGCTGTGGTAAGAACTCAATCATAATGTGGTAAGACCTAGACACATGATGTGGTAATAACTTAACACATGATGTGGTAAGAATTTAACACATGATACAGTAAGAACTCAACACATTATGTGGTTAGAACCGCCGATCACTTCACTGTAATAGATGTCTGGGTATACCAGGTAAAGGGTACATGTTCCTCGGTTACATAGCAGGGGATATAGGAAAAGGTTCTACCAAAGGCAATCCTACAGAAAGTGCATTTTTCATTTTTTTTGTATACATGTCTTAGTATAATGCACCAGTCAATTGCCACTCTGCCCCACTGACCAATTTTAAATTGCTAGCAGTGTGTGGGAGATAGCTGCCCAGGAGAAATTATTCAAGTATTTTCTTCTATCTGTCCCTTGCAGCCAGGTCAATGTTGGTTATAAAAATTGCTGGGGTTATGTCCAACTCACATTGTGGAGGATTTTAGCTGGGATTCTACCATTTCACTGTCTCTGCTATATGGGGCCTTCACCAGGGGTTTAAACTTTATTGATCAAAGTTGAAGTCCCTACTATTCCAAGTTGGGTAGGGCCATGGGAAACAATTGACAGGTGCATTATATAGATATCACTAATGAATCAAACACTATCTAAAGCAGCAAAGAAACACTAGGATAATACATATACATTATATAGTCATAGTATACATGTGAATTATAAGCTCAATGAACTTACCAGAAAGAAATCACCATTAGAAGTGCATAAAAAGATGAAAATTATTAAAATAATTATCAATTTTTATATATTATCATTATTATTAAAATAAATTCATTTGCAGTGCATTAACAAACATATAACATATTATTCCTTCCAAAAAAACAAACAAAAATCAATCTGTAAAGTTTTAAGTATATTCACAATTACCCTCATGTACGGGAAATTTTATCTTACTTCAATTTTTGGCATTCCAAGATTTTAAGATTTTAAGAAAATTGTTATATGATTTTACTGAGATGGTAAATTTTTTTTTTATACAATGCGAAAATGTTAACACTGAAAAGATAACCAGCAGCTTTAAATACAATACATTTTTGTATTTTTTCTCCTTTACATCAAATAACCTAATTTATTACATATATATGTATATAACAATAAACATACTTGTCCTTTTGCCTCCCTCCCTCTGTCTTTTCTGTTTTTGCCCCATTCTTTCCTCTGCAAGTCTTGCCTTAGTCCGCTCTAGGATCATCTGTGTTCTTGACAAAATTTGAGCTTTCTTTGCTTCTACTTCATCTAACTCTACACCTAGATTATAATAACAAGATATCCTTAAAAATTCAGTTTCTATCTGTATAACATAGTTAGAATATACATGAATTTATTAACTCTTAACTCTACCCGTATACATGTACATTAACAGGATATTTCTAAAAATTCAAATCCTACATTATAATAACTGACAACTGGATATGTTTCTAAAACTGAAATTAAATCCCTAAAATATAAATGAAACAGGACATTTCTTGCATCTATAATTCAACCCAGACAATATCCAGGTTCACACAAGACATTCATGCAATACTGTTTCAGGATATAACTTTCAATTTTAATTCTGTTTTTACAATACAGTAACAGGATATTTCATGTAATGAATTACATTTGTACTTTAGTTCCTTTATGAACAACCATAAAACAATTAGTTTTGTACTGAATCAGGTTTCACAATTACATAGCTACTGACTGGCAGCTGGCAAAACACTGAATAGAAGGTTTACTTAACACAGACATATTAATAGTTCTATATGTATACATTAATTCAATTACAGTAATCTTAATTCTATACAAGCAGTGAAACTGAACTTGGTAAAAAAATCAGGATAGTAAAGCACTTCATATAAAGTCAACAACTTTCAAATGTATTAATTTCAAAACTGATTTCCAGTATCTTTCAAAACACATGCATCATCAGGGGTAAAATGTGCCAAGCATTAATGTGGTTCATATGGATTTATTAGTGTTATTTTTAAAACAATACTGTGTTACCTTTCCTATTTTTCTGAAACTCTACTGCATTTTTTTCTTTCTCCTCTTCCATAGCCAGCTTTGCCTCGTGTTCCTTCATTTCCCTCACCTTAATGTAAGTTACAAAACAACATTCAATAAACCACATATCTATTCTACATGTAGCATAAAGAAAATGATACTTGAATATGTTTCTGTTTTCTTTCTGATAGAACACAAATTGAAGTTCCTCTGTACAACAGTCTAATTACAATATTTTAATCCCTTAATAAGGGACCCTTATACATGTACTTACATGTACAGTGATTAATTTTTGTAAAAACAAAGTGGCCTCAGTGGATGAGCAATTAAGGTTGCTCACTGCAAATCTCTAGCCCCTAAAGGCTCTTAGCTTAAATCTCCCAAGAGACTTTGGATTCATTCATTTAAGAAAGCCATCCAGCTGCTTTACAGAAAGTCAGAGGCTCTACTTAAGTACCAGCTCATGTCTGAAATAATGCATGGAGAGCACCTAGGGCCCTCATCAAACAGTGTACAAAATTAACATTTTCACCATGACAGTTTTATGCAACATACAACTTTAAGACACTTATAAATGTTATTTCAACATTATTAGCTAATATTAAACATCTGCCCTTGATTCAGAAAATCTATTAAAAAGTGAAATTCAGAACAGACCTGTTTTCTAAGTTCATCAAGACTGAGATCTTTCGCTGATTTTTTCCCTGATCCACTACTGGACTTTTTACCCTCTTTATCTCTGTGAGATGAACTGTTTGAAATACTGGAAGATTTCCCGCTACCTGGATGGGAAGATGAACTGCTAGAATGATGGCTTGATGAATGTTTGTTGCTACTAGAAGAATGTTTACTACTACTACTACCACTACTAGAGTGTTTATGGGCACTACTTGAACTGGAGTGACTGTGTTTCTCGCGATCTTTGCTATCTTTATGTGAAGAACTGGAAGAGTTGCCATGTGATTTGTGACTAGACCCTCCTTCTCGAGAACTTTTATCTCTAGATTCAGACTTATCCCTTTCTTTACTTTCATGTCTGTCACTACTTGTTTTACTAGAATGGTTACTATGGGGTTTATGTTTTTCACTTTTATGTTCACTATGGTCACTATTATGTTTACTAGATTTATGACTGTCATGTTTATGATTATGATCTCTCTTTTCACTCTCATGACGGTGACTATGACTATCTTTTGCTTGGTTTGAGGCGACTTTCTTCACACTGCTGTCTGACACATTCTCTTCACTGTCACTTTCCAAATCTTTCAGAACATTTTCTATTGTTTCCTTTTTCTTTGGAATGACAAACTTTTTATTCTTTTCCTCTTGCTTCTGCCTCTCTTCTTCTCTCCATTTTTTCCTCATTTCATGATCTCTTTTCTTTCTTTCTTCCAATTCTGAAAAGATTAAAGCGATTGTAATATAACTATCAATATGCAAGAACAGTTTAATACCGTCAAAAAGTAATGAGTTTGATGATTGAATTATAACAGAGATATGACACAGGTGAAGATCACGCGAGACCATTTTTGCATTTTTTATAACTTCAGTAGCAAACAGTCAACATTTTAGTGATTTAACTGATGGAATAATAAGAGACATATATTTAGGCTACTCAGACCACAAGGTTATATCTGGTACATAAATTTGCATCAATTATTACATCAAATGTTTCAACCAGCAGAATCCAATCTTATTACTTTGTCACTGCTTATTATCTACAAGCCCAATCCTGTTGTGTTCAAATACTCATTTTCCTTTTTATATAAAAATAAGTTTTCTTTAGTCTGCATTTAAAATTTCACCATCCATTTCCAGCATTAGAACTTCATTTTGCAATGTCAAAACTATCATAATAAAACAATGTATCTATGCAACCATCAGCATAATCTTTACAACACGTTCTATTTCAAAATTCAACCCTATCTAAAAACTTCATAATAATTTTATAAAGTAGACTTCTTTTCATAGGCACGCATTTCTTGGCAAATGTATTAGTCAGTCATGACAGTGTATAAATAAATTTTATAAGATAAATGTTAAGTTAACCATTTGGTAAATTCAAATTTTTATGCAGTACTATCAAAAATCAAATGCAGATAATATACATGAGTTTTACCTTTTTCTTTCCTTTTTTCATCAATAAGTTTTTGCACAACCTCCGACTTTGGCTTGTTTTGTTTTTCACGTTTTGGGGCAGACAACTCTGTTCTATATCCAGACTAAATGTATGAAAAAGAAAATCATGCTAGTTATACAATCTGTATTACTTATACATATATACACTGGCTTTATCAACATATTAACTCTGAAGGTCTCTTTTTCTTTCCATAGCAGTGGTCACACTTTTAAGGGTATCTTCCCTTTTAAGAACAATTTAATAATTTTATAGCAAGCTTTTTCTTTCTTTCTTAATATCCCACAATATCAAGTCCCAAACATGTGTAAAAAACATGTAATATAAAACAGGTGGGGAATAATCAGGACAAGAAACTGGCATTATATATAGGAAAAGAATAATCTTGCACACTGGCATGAATTTAGGAGCAGATGCATGACCAGGTCTAGTGAAGACTACAAAAATTAGGCGTGAACCGTTTGACCCATTTTACTAACTGTTTTTTCCCTACTTTCTAGTCTTGTAATCATTAAGTGGCTAGTCCCGCAGACCACCCCTGCTCTACCTAATTTTTATATACTAATGGTCTTTTAGATAATAACTTTATGAAATTCAAAGTCCCACTTATCAAGCTGTACACGGAACATGTAAGACTAAGAGAACCCTGATTTAACCAATATTCCGGAATGGGAGCTCTTTACAAGTACTAATGAAAATATAAAAACTATCCCTTAGGGGTGTCACAGATAATGAGATACATGTATGGGGAACCAAACTATAAATGAAAATAACACACTATTGTGCTACTTCAAATTTTGCTAATGTTACAAAAACAAATTTCAATATAGCGGGGCAGTGTGTCACAGTATTTAACTATTCACTTAAAACCAAAAAGGCAAAGCCTAAAATTGAGCTCGATTTACTTTTACCGTGAAATAGTATAAAATAATCATTCATTTTTATTTTACATTTTCCGTTTTAAAATTGTCATTCGGTATTTTATACACTGCTTCCGTTTATTCTGGTTCCCTGTCCTATTATGGTTCCCATATAAGTGCGCAGGACACCAGTCTATGCTTCCGTTTTCAATCAGAATACCTCGGCTTTTATTGTTATCTTGTAATTCGAAAAGTTGCTATGTGTCAATTAAAGGTACTTCGGACGAAAGTTTTCAAAACCATCACTATCTAGCAGGTACTTGTGTTACCGTAAAGCTTGCTAAATGCTAGCACGCCTTTTGGGCCAGCTCTTATTAGGGGAAATATTGTGTAGGCGGCAAATAGCTCAGTCAGTAAAGCCGAGGTACAGTATTCCAATGGTCACGGGTTCAAGTCCTGGTCAGGCTACACAAATTATATTCTCACCCTGTAAAACTAACTAAGTAACTTTATGTTTAACGGTTACCAACTCACTCTCGTTTTGCTTGCAAGCCGGGTCTTTCAATAGAATTTGAAAGACCCTGTTGCCAGGGAGAGCCCTTGAAAGTTTTGTGTTTGTTATCATTTGTACCGTGCAAAATTTTTAAAATTATCACTACTGGCTGACTGGTATGATAATTTATCAAATTAGGATATATAAAAAAATACTGCTGAAAAGAAAAAAAAATATGCAGATACCGGTTTATGCTTCTTGCTGTTATCTTGAGCAATGGATAATAGCGAGGTGAAATCCATTTCTAAAGCTTAAAATTGTTAAAAAATCTCAAAACAAAACGTGATGTGTCAAAAAAAATTCTAGAATTTCATGTGCAAGCCCTGACTATACTCTAACAGTTGAGGTAAACATACGCGTGATAAAATCTCAACACTTGAGGAAATACCGCTGTAAACTAAACCGCTGACGAATTAGCTGACGATAGAGAGTAAATAGGAAACTGCTGGCCAGTTAAATGGAAACTGCAGAAAAATATAATATATTTTATATATCTAACTGGTTAGCACTTTTTATAATGAGTTTAATTGGTCAGCAGATTCTACCATATGTTTAACTGGGCAGTAGTTTTTATTATATGTTTAACTGGTCAGCAGTTTCTCGCACGCTCTATTTGATGCTCATATAAAATAAGAAGGAAATTTTAAAAAAGCATTTTCTACTATATTTTTTTCGGGAGATGTAGAATCTGCTTTATTTACTTATATTACAACATAAATAAACAATTCACGACAACGCGCCATATTGATTTATAAATCATACCTAATACATTAAATTGCAGCAATACTATATGCTTATTACATATGCTAATAAATTATTTTTACATTTTAGAAGTATCATTATTTAAAATTCACGAAGTTGACCTCATCACGGATTTCCCGTAACCTCATACATTCTATTAGTATGTTCATTTTTAACATAAAATATTTATGCAACAAGTGCAAATAATACTGCAAAGACAGCAAAGGGAAAGCTCCGCAAAAAACATTGCTTTTAGCTATGTATATGATATTAGATTATTATGATAATCATTGTGATTTTAAAATAGCATTATTATACATGGAAAATGAAAGCAGACATTATATTGCGCGATGAAAGTTAACGGAATCGGTTTTAATCCCTTAAATTTTGTTACAACAGAATGGCCATTATGTTCAACTTTTAATCATACGAAAGGTTTTGTGACGTAAAAATAATTTATAAAGTATATTGTTTTATATATATATTTAAAGAAAACACAGACATATTAAATAGAAAATGATTCTAATTTTTGACATGTATATACTTGTCACGGTTCAAAACTGTTCACTATTTAGGGGAGATATTGGGTAAGCGGATGGATAGCTCAATCGGTAAAGCCGCGGTACAGTATTCCGAGGGTCCCGGTTCGAGTCCCGATCAGCCTGCACATTTTTATACTCCTCCGCTATATTGAAATGGGTACAGATAACAATGTGAAATTAAACCCGGAGTTTTATACCATCACGGTATCCCCTGTTGGGCCCAAATGTCACAAGGAGAGAAAAATGTGCAGTCTGGCCGGGACACGAACCCGATAACCTCGGAAATACCGTATCGCGGCTCTACCGACTGAGCTATCCGGCCGCTTATCACACCAATTCCCCTTAATAGTGATCAGTTCTGAACCGAGACATACTAGCTAGTAAATGTATTATGACTCTCAAATTTTATATTTCAATATAAAAACAAAGTAGATATTTTTATCACTCTCAAGTGTTAGGTTTTCGCACGGATTTATATTACAGGGATCGGACACTCCCAGTTAACCCTATATAAATGCTTAAATATCTTGTCGTGCACCCTGTAATATAAATCCGTGGTTTTCTCCATATCGACAGAATATATGTATTATGACTCTCAAGTGTTGGGATTTCAACATATAGACATGATCAATGTATTATGTACCTCAAGCGTTGGGATTTTAATGTCTAGACAAAATATTTGTATAATAGCACTCAAGTGTTGGGATTTAAATGTCTACACAAGATATTTGTATATTGACCCTCAAGTGTTGGGATTTCAACAAATAAAAAAGACATAAATATTATATCTCTAAAGAGTTGGAATTTCAACATATAGATGGAATATATGTATTATGTCTCTCAAGTAGACAAGATAAATGTATAATAATTCTCAAATCGTTGGATTTCAATGTCTATATAATATAAATGTATTATGTCTCTCAAGTGTTGGGATTTAAACGTCTACACAAGATATTTTTATATTGACCCTCAAGTGTTGGGATTTAAACATATAGACAAGATTAATGGACTATGTCTCTCAAGTATTGGGAATCAACATATAGACAAGATATATGTTTTATGTCTCTCAAGTATTTGGATTTTAACGTCTACACAAGATATAGAGATATATATTGACCCTCAAGTGTTGGGATTTCAACATATAGACAAGATAAATGTATAATGTCTCTCAAGTCTTGGGATTTTAACGTCTAAACAAAATATTTGCATAATGACCCTCAAGTGTTGGGATTTCAGCAAATAAAAAAGACATAAATATTATATCTCTAAAGAGTTGGAATTTCAACATATAGATGGAATATATGTATTATGTCTCTCAAGTGTTTGGGATTTTAATGTCTAGACAAGATATTGGTATAATGTCTCTCAAGTGTTGGGATTTTAATGTCTGGACAAGATATATTTAAAATGCCTCCCAAGTGTTTGGATTTTAACATATAGACAAGATATATGTATTATGACTCTCAAGTGTTGGATTTTGACGTCTAGACAAGATATTTGTCTAGTGTTGGGAATCAACATGTAGACAAGATATATGTATTATGTCTCTCAAGTGGTATAATTTAAATGTCTAGACAAGCTATTTGTATAATGGTTCTCAAATGTTGGGATTTCAACATATAGACAATATATATGATTTATGTCAAAATATAGGTATTATGTCTCTCAAGTGTTGGGATTTCAACGTCTCAACAAGATATTTGCAAAATGACTCTCAAGTGTTGGGATTTCAACATATAAACAAGAAGCGCCGCAATGCGACGAAAACAAGGTTTTTCAACGACAAAATTTTGATGTGACAGTAATCAATAGGTCGAAGTGCACTGAAGGTATTGAGAAGACGCTGAAAATTCTATTGTAAGCAAATGACCTTGACCTTGCATCCAGATATCTAAGTGACAATTCAAAGCTGCCACACAGCAAGTTTGGTGTCAAAAGGTCAAAGCAAACTCTAGTAATTACGTGAAATACATTAACGACACCTGTGTAGCAATCCAAAGCTCTATCTTGATGAGCAACCCATTCATCAAGTTTGGTGTCAATAGGCCAAAGCAAACTCAAGTTATTAAACTGAAACTGAATTTCTATTTTTAGAAACAGTGACCTTGACCTTGATCACAGACACATGCGTATTAATCCCACGCTGCCTCTTGATATAAGCTACATAAACACCAAATAAGGCGTCAATAGGCAAAAGCAAACTCAATTTATTGAGCGGAAACTGAATTTCTAATTTAAGTAACAGTGACCTTGACCTTGATCACAGACACTGCCTCTTGACATGTCTCTAAAGTGATGGGATTTTAATGTCTGGACAAGATATACTTAAAATGTCTGCCAAGTGTTTGGATTTTAACATATAGACAAGTTATATGTATGATGACTCTCAAGTGTTCGGATTTTAACGTCTAGACAAGATATTTGTATGATGACCCTCAAGTGTTGGGATTTCATTATATAGACAAGATATATGAATAATGTCTCTCCAATGGTTGCATTTCAATGTCTAGACAATATATATATGTATTCTATTTCAACATAAAGACTAAATATATGTACTATGTCTCTCAAATGTTGTTATTTCAACACATAGACAAGATATATGTCTTATGTCTCTCAAGTGTTGGGATTTTAATATATATACAAGATATATGTATTATGTCTTTTACGTGTTGGGATTTCTAGACAAGATATTTGTATAATGACCCTCAAGTGTTGGAAATCCCAACCCTTGAGGGTCATTAATTATAGAAATATCTTGTCTAGACGTTAAAATCCCAACACTTGAGAGACATAATAAATATATATTGTCTATTTATTGAAATCAACATACGAGACTCATTATACATACATCTTGTCTAAATGTTGAAAACCCAACACTTCAGAGACATAATACATATATCTTGTCTAGACGTTGAAATCCCAACACTTGAGGGTCATTATAGAAATATCTTGTCTACACATTAAAATCCCAACACTTGAGAGACATTATACATATATCTCGTCTATATGTTAAAATCCCAACACTTGAGAGACATAATGCATACATTTTGTCTATTTGTTGAAATCCCAACACTTGAGGGTCATTATAGAAATATCTTGTCTACACATTAAAATCCCAACACTTGAGAGACATAATACATATATCCTATCTATATGTTGAAATTCCAACACTTTAGAGATATAATATTCATATCTGTTTTATATGTTGAAATCCCAACACTTGAGGGACATTATAGAAATATCTTGTCTGGACGTTAGAATCCCAAGACTTGGTAGACGTAATACATATATAATCTGTATGTGTTGAAATCCCAACACTTGAGAGAAATTTTATATATATCTCGTCTATATGTTAAAATCCCAACACTTGAGAGACAAAATACATACATCTTGTCTATTTGTTGAAATCCCAACACTTGAGGGACATTATAGAAATATCATATCTAAACGTTAAAATCCCAAAAATTGAGAGATATAATACATATATCTTGTTTATACAAATATCTTTTCAATAGGTTGAAATCCCAACCCTTGAGAGGCATTATAGAAATGTATTGTCTACAAATTAAAATCCCAACACTTGAGAGACATAATACATATCTTGTATTACATATCTTGTTTATATGTTGAAATCCCAACACTTGAGGGACATTATAGAAATATCATGTCTTCACGTGAAAATCCCAACACTTGAGAGATATAAAATATATATCTTGTTTATATGTTGAAATCCCAACACTTGAGGGACATTATAGAAATATATTGTCTGGACGTTAAAATCCCAAGACTTGATAGACGTAACACATATATCATGTGTTGAAATCCCAACACTTGAGAGACATATTACATATATCTTGTGTCTGTGTTAAAATCCCAACACTTGAAAGACATAATACATATATATTATCTATATGTTGAAATCCCAACACTTGAGTGTCATTATAAAAAAATCTTGTGTAGACGTTAAAATGCCAACACTTGAGATACATAATACATATAACGTGTCTATATGTTGAATCCCAACATTTGAGACTCAATATACATATATCTTGTTTGCATGTTAAAATCCCAACACTTGAGGGACATTATATAAATATCATGTCTAGACGTTAAAATCCCAACACTTGAGAGATATAATACATACATCTTGTTTATTTGTTGAAATCCCAACACTTGAGGGTCATTATAGAAATATCTTGTCTACACATTAAAATCCCAACACTTGAGAGACATTATACATATATCTCGTCTATATGTTAAAATCCCAACACTTGAGAGACATAATGCATACATTTTGTCTATTTGTTGAAATCCCAACACTTGAGGTTCATTATAGAAATATCTTGTCTACACATTAAAATCCCAACACTTGAGAGACATAATACATTTACCTTGTTTATATGTTGAAATCCCAACACTTGAGGGACATTATAGAAATATCATGTCTTCACGTGAAAATCCCAACACTTGAGAGACATTATACATATATCTTGTTTATATGTTGAAATCCCAACACTTGAGGGACATTATAGAAATATCTTGTCTGGACGTTAAAATCCCAAGACTTGATAGACGTAATACATATATAATGTGTATGTGTTGAAATCCCAACACTTGAGAGACATTATATATATATCTTGTCTATATGTTAAAATCCCAACACTTGAGAGACATAATACATACATCTTGTCTATTTGTTGAAATCCCAACACTTGAGGGACATTATAGAAATATCATGTCTGCACGTAAAAATCCCAACACTTGAGAGACATAATACATATATCTTGTTTATATGTTGAAATCCCAACACTTGAGGGACATTATAGAAATATCTTGTCTGGACGTTAAAATCCCAAGACTTTGTAGACGTAATACATATATAATGTGTATGTGTTGAAATCCCAACACTTGAGAGACATTATATTTATATCTTGTCTATATGTTAAAATCCCAACACTTGAGAGACATATTACATACATCTTGTCTATTTGTTGAAATCCCAACACTTGAAGGACATTATAGAAATATCATATCTAGACGTTAAAATCCCAAAAATTGAGAGATATAATACATATATCTTGTTTATACAAATAGCTTTTCAATATGTTGAAATCCCAACACTTGAGAGTCATTATAGAAATGTATTGTCTACACATTAAAATCCCAACACTTGAGAGACATAATACATATCTTGTATTACATATCTTTTTTACATGTTGAAATCCAAACACTTGAGGGACATTATCAGAAATGTCATGTCTAGACGTTAAAATCCCAACACTTGAGAGACATATTACATATATCTTGTGTCTGTGTTGAAATCCTAACACTTGAGAGATATAATACATATATATTGTCTATATGTTGAAATCCCAACACTTGAGGGTCATTATAAAAAAATCTTGTGTAGACGTTAAAATGCCAACACTTGAGATACATAATACATATAACGTGTCTATATGTTGAATCCCAACATTTGAGACTCAATATACATATATCTTGTTTATATGTTAAAATCCCAACACTTGAGGGACTTTATATAAATATCATATCTAGACGTTAAAATCCCAACACTTGAGAGACATAATACATACATCTTGTCTATTTGTTGAAATCCCAACACTTGAGGGTTATTATAGAAATATCTTGTCTATACATTAAAATCCCAACACTTGAGAGACATAATACATTTACCTTGTTTATATGTTGAAAATCCAACACTTGAGGGACGTTATAGAAATATCATGTCTTCACATGAAAATCCCAACACTTGAGAGTCATAATACATATATCTTGTTTATATGTTGAAATCCCAACACTTGAGGGACATTATAGAAATATCTTGTCTGGACGTTAAAATCCCAAGACTTGGTAGACGTAATACATATATAATGTGTATGTGTGAAAATCCCAACACTTGAGAGACATTATATATATATCTTGTCTATATGTTAAAATCCCAACACTTGAGAGACATAATACATACATCTTGTCTATTTGTTGAAATCCCAACACTTGAGGGACATTATAAAAATATCATATCTAGACGTTAAAATCCCAAAAATTGAGAAAGATAATACATATATCTTGTTTATACAAATATCTTTTCAATATGTTGAAATCCCAACACTTGAGAGTCATTATAGAAATGTATTGTCTACACCTTAAAATCCCAACACTTGAGAGACATAATACATATTTTGTATTACATATCTTGTTTATATGTTGAAATCCCAACACTTGAGGGACATTATCAGAAATGTCATGTCTAGACGTTAAAATCCCAACACTTGAGAGATATAAAAGATATATCTTGTTTATATGTTGAAATCCCAACACTTGAGGGACATTATAGAAATATATTGTCTTGACGTTAAAATCCCAAGACTTGATAGACGTAACAGATATATCATGTGTATATGTTAAAATCCCAACATTTGAGAGACATATTACATATATATTGTGTCTGTGTTGAAATCCCAACACTTGAGAGATATAATACATATATTGTTTATATGTTGAAATCCCAACACTTGAGGGTCATTATAAAAATATCTTGTGTAGACGTTAAAATGCCAACACTTGAGATACATATAACGTGTCTATATGTTGAAATCCCAACATTTGAGACTCAATATACATATATCTTGTTTATTTGTTAAAATCCCAACACTTGAGGGACATTATATAAATATCATGTCTAGACGTTAAAATCCCGACACTTGAAAGACATAATACATTTATCTTGTTTATATGTTGAAATCCCAACACTTGACGGACATTATAGAAGTATCATGTCTAGACGTTAAAATCCCAAAAATTGAAATGTATGATACATATATCTTGTTTATATGTTGAAATCCCAACACTTGAGAGAAATAATACATATATCATGTCTATATGTCTAAATCCCAACATTTGAGACTCATTATACATATATCTTGACTACATGTTGAAATCCCAACCCTTGAGGGTCATTATTGAAAGATATTTTCTGGACGTTAAAATCCCAACACTTGAGAGACATTATACAGATATCTTGTCTATATGTTAAAATCACAACACTTGAGAGACATAATACATACATCTTGTCTATTTGTTGAAATCCCAACACTTGAGGGTCATTATAGAAATATCTTGTCTACACATTAAAATCCCAACACTTGAGAGACATAATAAATATATCTTGTTTATATGTTGAAATCCCAACACTTGAGGGACATTATAGAAATATCTTGTCCGGACGTTGAAATTCCAAGACTTGATAGACGTAAAACATAGCATGTGTATGTGTTGAAATCCCAACACTTGAGAGACATATTACATATATCTTGTGTCTGTGTTGAAATCCCAACACTTGAGAGACATAATACATACATCTTGTCTATATGTTGAAGTCCCAACACTTGAGGGACATTATAGAAATATCATGTCTAGACGTTAAAATCCCAAACATTGAGAGATATACTACATATATCTTGTTTATACAAATTTCTTTTCTACTGTATATGTTGAAATCCCAACACTTCAGAGACCTCATACATATATCGTTTCAATATGTTTAAATCTTAACACTTGAGAGACATTATACATATATCTTGTCTACATGTTGAAATCCCAACATTTGAAGGTCATTAGAGAAATATCTTGTCTAGATGTTAAAATCCCAACACTTGAGAGACATAATACATCTTGTCTTTATGTTGAAATCCCAGCATTTAATAACACTAAATGAGTCATTATAGACGTTTTTACAAGATATATATGTTTGTTCAGCAAAATAAAATGTAAATATAAATGTTAGTATTTAATTATACTTCGTTTCTAATAGATTATTTACAACTGTATCGCCAGTGTTATTTTACTTTATGCTTTTTTGTCCGTTTACTTTCTTTATCGTCCGCGAGTGTCCTATACTGTATATGCACGTAAGAATAGTTTTAGATGAAGACGTAAAAAGTCTAACTACCCTTACCATTTATTGCAATATCTATACGAAGAAAGTTATTTTTGAAGGATAATGGAGTAACAAACATGAATTATCATATAAAATATAAATGTATCTATAATAAAACGTAATAAAAGTGACATAAAATTCAATCTTTTTTTAATTCTTTCAAAGCACTATTAACTAAATTTATCAGATTTCCATTATCACGGATTTTAATTGTAAATTAAAACACGTGCCATTATATCCAATTATTATCAAGCTACCATCGCCAAATTAACCATCTGCTATTTATATCGTCCGTGTTTCGCACTTTCTCTATAATTATTGTGAGTGTTTAGACTGTGCCATTGTATACACTCAAGTGTTGGGATATTTTGTTCCTGAAGTGTTAATATATAGTCAATTCGAAGCCTCTCCTCATCCTGATCGAAGTTCCTATAATGTCGTAAATTTATATAACTAGAATAGAAATTATGCGTTGTTTTTGAGTTTTAGTATGGAAATTATGGATATAAAACTAGTTCAGAGATCCTCTCAGTTACAAAAATAAGCGAATTGAATTAAATTTAAAAACAATAAGTCGTAAAATATAAGTAACGACCACTTTTTGGTATCAAAAGTCGTTTAGGCAAAACGCAACTAAGATACAAGAGAAATGTTTGTATTGCTCACAAACCTCTATTTACTTGATGTTATACAGTTATTTTGTGAAGATAAGTGTACAAATTAAATGACTGATTAAAACGATGCATATTGTGGGATGTTGAAATACTTAACGTTGTTTTTTGAAAGTGTAAACAATAAGACCTTTTAATTTATTGTGGCGTTCAACCTAAAACACGTTTTTCACTAGCAGTATCATTAAAATATCGTTGTCCTTAAAAATGTTACGAAGACCAAAACATGTCAAACAGACGAAACAGGAAGGAAAAAAGAAAAAAGCCGACAAAAGGACATATGACAGTCCACCACTTACAGGGAAATTGAAAAAGCATAAACATGATTTTCAGTTCACACAAAAGGATTCAAAAGAGCAAAACCTTGAAACACTTGTGTTTGGTGGAGAAAGGGAACTTATCGATGAATTTGAAAAGATAATAAAGGTACATTTGTAAATGTCTCAGGTATCCTGTTTCAGTTGTCATCATGGTCTTATTCACACCCCGAGTGTCTGTGTATCTGGCTATATCCTGGAATATATATATATATATATATATATATATATATATATACAAAAAATGAAAACAAGTGCCGGAAAAAAGTCACATATAAATAAAACAAAAAACACAGTCCATGAGTTAACTTATTTAATTATTTGCCTAATATATATATATATATCAGGGCTCATCCTGGGGGGAAATTTTAGGGAGAAGTGACTTCCTCGCGAAAATTAGGGAGAAGGGAAACAACCCAATGTGTATGCATTAACATGCATGGCTATACATCCTTTAATTATAATATAAACACAATTAACATCACTTATAATATTTCTCCAGTTTATTAATTAATAGTAGATTAATTAATAGTAGTATTAATTAAAAGTAGATTAATTAGTAGTAGATCTGGCAATGGCATCTAAATCATGTTTTTGAGCTGCAAATATGAATATAAAAAATTATTTTTGATATCTATTGATCAGCTATTTATAAGCTTTCTCTAAATATGTGTTTATGTATTTTCATGTACATTTGTTGATAATAATGTGTTAGAAAAGATGTGATGATAAAATCAATTTCATATTTTTTCTTTCCTCACTCTTATTAGAAGATGAAGTCACCTTGGATATTGATTAGTAAAATCTGTTCTATTCTGTTCTGGTAACAGAAATTTCTTTGAAACATTGATTCTCCACTAAACGTGCAAATTAGAAAATATTCTGTCCCTCGAGTATATTTTGTTGCACTGCAGTTGAAAAATACTTTTTGGGCATTCTATTGCTTCATTTCATAGTCATGTATGTAAAGCATTCAAATTAATGACTTAGTCTGTTGGATTTATACGAAAATATTATCATGCAAAGGTGCTGTATAACCCATTATGTAATGTCCCCAGGCTTGGGTCCCTTATTACAGTTGGTTTAACATATTTTAACCTGAAACATGTGTTGAAGAAAAACTGCTTTAGTATTAAGTTTTAGTTTAAATGTCTAAGTGAGCGATTTTTATTGTTTTCTACAGTGAATTTGAAAAAAAGTTACCAGCTGAAATGCATGTCCCTCATATATTGAACAGATACGTTACCACACTTCAGGTAAACCCGAGTAAGAGTAATATGAGCTTGTAACATATTAAAAGTTTGCTTTTGAACTCAAGTTTTATCATATTTCATTATTCAAAAATAATTTTGACGACAATATTCATGCTAGAACCACAATGACTTTGCAATGATGAGGCAATTTGGATTATACTTTAAAGTGAAACAGATACGTTACCATGATATCCCAACGAGAAACATTTACTATTACCAGTACTTAAAAGTAGGATCCCATTTATGCATTATTAAAATATATGCTTTACAAAACTTAATATTTCAATATATTTGGCAAACATATGTGTATATCTGATATATTTTAGATTTTTGACCAACAGATACGTTACCAACAGATACGTTACCAATATTTATTGTTTGAATCTTAATTGACGATTTTGCTCAATTTTGAAATGATTTCATGTAAAAAATCACAGCATAACGTACGTGTAGCCGATAAATGATGCTTTGATCTCGATTTTATTGGAAAACTGAAAATGTGAATCAGGAATTTGAAATTAAGGATTAGTGAGTTTTCTTGAAAATAAAATGTTGAAAAAACTAGAAAGAAACATATAAAGATTTACTGTTTTATTTCTTGGAATAAATATATGTTGATATCTTTTTGGTTTGCAAAATTTGTATTAAAAATAAAATGTTAAGGACTGTATAACTTTTGGTAACGTATCTGTTTATCATAGTAACGTATCTGTTTAGAAAGAGATCTGAGTACTGTTAAATATATATAACTAAATCTTCAACAAAACTTTGGTTTAAATAAGTAATATATGGTTAGGCAATATATAACAGCACTGTAACGTAATGAAATCAAAGCACAGAAGGCGCTGAATTTGTTTGGGTCTCAGAATGTAAGAAAGGTGCAGGTTGTGAGATTATATGTTTAGTGCCACCAATGCTTTCCAGCGTTTTAATTGTAGTAAATTGGCTATTAGACTAATTGCAACACTGATATTCAATCCAATGTTTATTTGACTTTAACAATTTAAAAAATGAGTAACCTTTACTGGGATTTGAACTCCAGACCTCTCGCTTCCTAAGCGAGCCCGAAAACCCTTCAGCCACGGTGAATTTATATGTGAACGGCCTGAAGAAAACCATATTATTCTAAATTAGGGCTTGTAACGACTTTAACTGTTGTTTAACACAGATGTAAATAATCCTGGAGCTTACTAGAAGCATGTATATTTATAAAGAATCAAACGGCTGCAAGTTCTGTGGTATTTTCTGATCTTTGCAATCTAAATCGTACTGTATATCTGTATGCATTTTCCTGTATAAGTTTATTTTTATGTATTATAATTCCTTTTGTAAGGCACCAGAGTTTGATACATACGGAATTCTGCATAACTAGAGTTGCATCAAAAAATCATTTATGTTCTTTTTTTACGACAGCCACACTTTATCTTTGTATATCATGGCTACTTCCTTAACAAAAACACTTAAAAAAAAAGAATTTAACAAAAAAAAAATTTCCTCGCCTGGATTCGAACTCGAGACCTCTCACTCACGAGGCGAGCGCGTTACCACTGTACCACGGAGAAGTTATACACAATGCGTCTGAATAATATCAAGTCATTCTAAATTTAGAACTTCCATTGCAGTTCGGGTTTGTAATCCTTATTAATTTCGTGGTATTTTGTTCAGGGTAAACCTGTTGTTTATAATTGAAGTAAATATTTTAGCAAAAATCCTCTCGCCCAAACGGTCCGGCATGTAGAATCTATAAATTCCACTACTCGGTTTGTGTAGTATTCGGTAATCAACATGGCTAAAAATAGTATTTTCATTGATAAAATCATATTCATCCGCGTAATTTGTGATTGTGCATTTATTGACAATTCTATAAGCCAACGCTATTGTTTAACTTTAAATGCGTTGTAATTTGTTGGATACTTGTAACAAAATAAAATATTTCTTTCTTTTAAATCGCTAGTTTTTAGCTGTTTTGAGAACTACTTGTTGTTAGGTTTGTAGTAAACTTCTGTGTCAGAGATTGAATGTCCGCTTTGTATTTAGTTATTTTCGATCAGAAAATACAATAAAACAATATTAGAAATCTTTGACCATTCGGGAATTACTTTGCTTGAAAATTGATGCGCCTGTCTTTGACCATCTTTACGCAGTGATCTCCCCTGAATTTTTCGGCTTTAGTGTACATACAAAAGGGAAGTAACCGCTCCAAAAAAGTGGACTACTTTCGGCATTTGCAATTAACAACATTAGACTCTGAAATTTTGCTACCATTATTTGTTTGGTCTGACGACCCAAACAAATAAAAAAACATATTAAATTAAATTATTTTTAAATGAATGCCCGTTAGTTTCTAATATTTAGTCAGGGTCGTATCAAGATTTTCTGTCTATGGTAGGGATGGACTAATTGGATATAGCTCAAAATCTTGGAAGTGCACATATATATGGATTGATTATTACTTTGTCTTAGTTGATTTTTTAAGCGGTACCATTGTTTCTGATATAATTTTGTTAAATGTAGATAAGCATATACACGTAGGCTTACTTATATCACGAAGTATATCGAGATTGTACCAGTATATAAAGAAAAAGTATATAGAAAAATAAAGACAATTGAACAGCAGATGAACCAAAAAGACAACAGAATGTCAATTCACACTAGTTAGTCTATGAAACACTCATGTTAATCTAGCTAATAAATATTCTTCTAATAGATGAGTGTCTTTATTCAAATGTTCTTGTTAAGTTCAATCGGTTTCTTAAAGTCACAATGTTATTTGACTATTTGAAGCTACACATAAAACAATAAAACCTAAAAAAAACTTTAAATGAAATTGTGTGTTCTGTTTAATATTAAAAGTACTGGTTCAGACATATTATTTATTGGTCAGTTGTTTAAAAAGCTTTATGGATATCTATCTATGTATTCAGGGTTTTTCATAATTTTGTTCATAGAAGAACTGTGAAACAGATACGTTACTATGATTTAATATTTGTTTCCACTTAGCGGAATATATTTATACTATTAAGTAAATTCGAGCAACATTGTGTCAGTAGACAAGTATGGAACATCAGTATTTTTATTGACCAAAAATGCTTTTATAAGTAACTCATGTATTTGGAATAAACAAGTCTGATTAAGAAGTAACATTTTCACCAGCTTCAGTTCACAAGCTATTCATAGACGTAGATTTTTTTAAAAATACATATTAATGCATATTATTTTGTAATATATACTGGTGCTATAATGCTGAAAGAATGATAATAATTTTCTAAATCGTGTATATTCATGCTAATTATTTCTATCTAGTCTCTGAAAGCAATTGGAAAAATGGTAACGTATCTGTTTTTGCACAAATCTCGAATTCTTGGTAACTTAATTTCAGGAAATATTACAAGTTTTTTGGTGAAATGTTAAAAGAACCAGTATGTGTTCAATGTTATACATGAGTTGTACCAACTAAAAAAGGTGTCTGGGTAACTATTCGCAAATGTCAATAATTCACTATTACTTACAGCCTAATTTGACTGTTTAGTGGAGAATCAATGGAAAGTCCTGAATGTTGTAATGTCAGATTTATATGCATATAATTATGCTTATAAAACAATTTTCAAACATCAAAGAATATGTAAAATATGTACTGCAAACATTTGTGCACATTATATTTGATCACTAAAATTACATACATTCATTTCTTATTGAAAAATTTGACTGAGAAATTGTAGAAAATTAATTTCTAATTACCTCCCTTTATTTTCATGAAATGTTAAATTCGGTAATATCTTTATAAATAATGCTTTTTAAAATTTACAATATTGATAAATCTTAATCTGAGCGTCATATTTACGACATTAAAACAAATATGTATATTGAAACAATAAGAACTCTTCTTCTTGACAAATTTTGTTGTTATATACGTTACATGATATACGACCGATATGTAGTTTAGCCACGTCAAATTTGGCATTTCTACAAACAGAACAATGCCAACAACATACCAATCGCAAGATTTTTGCGAAATGATTTTCTTAAATTTTCGCGTAGGTGTATCAGAATCAGTAACTTTCTTTTAGTTTTAGTGCTAGGGTTGGGCATTTCGCCCTGTAGCCATGACGTGAGCGACATAACAATTTTACAGTAAAAATTTGATGTTAACATGATTAAGTTTTTAATCCGGTCGCTGATCATTAATGAAATTGGTTATTTTTAATTGACTAACAGTTTTGTGATAGCCGTGAAAAATCCATTGCACATCGCCTTTACTCGGGTTAAAAACCCACCATCGAAGTGCATCGTGTATATTAATTAGGGAAGATTGCACGTGTTTTCAAAATCGGGGAAAAAAAATGTATAATTATCGCCAAATCCCGTATTAAACTCGCAAAACTATCACACAATTATACCGTTTCGGGCCGATGCTCTCATTATTTACTGTTTAGAGTAGGCGGTCTATCGCTTCGCTTACAGGTAGAAGGGTAGTATAAAGCGACGCTCTGATTGGATAATGATAATTAGCGGTCGTCATATGGGCGGATACAATCTCTGCTCTTTACATCGCTAAGTAATTACTATTTGGGAATTAAGATTTTATCGGCGATGTTGACTTCTCTTTGATCAATCGGAAGAGCGAAATTGGAATATACACGGCGAAGTTTTTGCCTGAATCGCCCTTCCGGATGAGCCCTGTATATATATATATATATATATATATATATATATATATATATATATATCCAGCGTTTTTTTTCTCTACTTTTGGAATGGTGCCGGTACCAGACAGATTGGGAAAAAAAATGCGTTATTTTGACTATAATTGGGAATTTTTATGATGCATTTTTTCAGCTACAAATAAGATTAGACATCATGAATAAAGATAGCTAACAGCTTCCACTGTCCAGTAGATCTATTGAGTGGTGATTTTTATGAATATGTTGGATTTAAATTATTTTAGAAAAATCACATGGCCTTTTGGGCATTTTGAACAGCCATTTTGGGAATTTAAACAGTGGAAATTGGGAATTTTAATGTCTATTTTCTATTGGGAATAGTACCGTTTTAGGGTAGTAGAAAAAAAACCACTGATATCGTATAATTTATTATATCGTATATATATATACGATAAACTGACCCATTCCTAATCATCACTGGACCTGTCCCAATTCGTACACGGACTTATCCCATTGAATTTGATTGAAGTTATTTTTTTCCTCCAGTATTCAATAACATATTAGGTGCTACCAATGCCTATGTGATGATTTATGATTCAAGCATAACATGTTTCATGAACTATAAACCAGATCTTTCTTGCACTTTGTAAATAAGTAAATGCAGATATATGTATGAGAAAAATGTGCAGCCTGACCGGGACTTGAACCCGGGACCATCAAAATACCGTTCCGCGGCTCTACCTACTGAGCTATCCGGCCGCTTACACATCTTCTCCCCTATTAAGTGAACAGTTCTGAACTGTGACATATTCCCCTGCTATACTGAAATTCGTCCTCGAATTTCAGAGTTACAGAGCAATGTTAATTAAACTCTGAGCTATATCCAGTCACGGCCTCACGTTGGGCGCCAAATGTCACAGGGTGAGAAAAATGTGCAGCCTGACCGGGACTCGAACCCGGGACCCTCGGAATACCTTACAGCGGCTCTACCTACTGAGCTAGTTTTTACGCTTTTTCACTATATTAAAGTTCTATATTTCTTAATGTTTTTACTTCAAACTTTAAATATAAGTTTCTGGTCATCAACCACATCATATGTGACAAGGTTTACAACTCTAGCACAAAATTTTTCAAAATTACCTCTCTTGAACTTAGAATTTTCATGAAAAAAAATGTCTTGTTTTTTTTAATTACTTCTATAGTTCTAACTTAATGTATCTACTTCAAACTTCATATATATGTTTCTTATTATCACTCAACATTTGTGAGAAGGTTCAATACTCTAGCAAGACTGTTTCCAGAATTATGTCCCCCTTGAACTTAGATTTTTTCCAAGAAATTGGTATTTTTTATTCCAACTTTTTCATTCCTTATAGGATTTACTTCACAACTCCCACATCATAATAATATGACAAGTTTTATAAATCTAGAATCCACAGTTCCAGAATTATCTCCTCCTTAACTTTTGAATTTTTCTTATTCATTCTGTAACTTTCTTATTTCTTCATGGATTTACTTCAAATTCAAAATAAACATTCATTATCAACACCTACATTATATATATACTACGCATGTTAATTACTGGTATATTTGAAAATTGGTATTTTTTTACTTTTCTTCTTTGTGACTTACAATGGTATCTTTAAATTTATAATAATTGTTCTTTGTTCTTTGTTACACTTTTATCATGTATGACAATGTTCATAAATCTAGCATTTTTATTTCAAAGAGTTTAAGCATTTCGCTTTAATATAAGGTAACAGAGATGTTTAAAAAATAAACTTTAGAGTCTCCTTCAGTCTGTCTGTCTGTCTGTTCATAAAAACTGCTCAACATCATGATCATTTTTAAAGATTTTTTCCAATAAATTTACTTAATATAGAGAAAAGTTGAAACATTAGTTATACTTATTCATCCTGAGAAAACTGGATCATTTGATTATATGTTGTATTAACGTAATTTCCTAGGCAGGGAAACTTAACACATTATTTTACTATGATATAGACAAACTTAGAACTAAAAAGATTTCAGTTTATTCATGTCATTCATTCATTCAATGGCATAATTGAATGGCCAATGGCCCATCAGAGTGTTACTGGGGTTTTAACCAGTAGGTGACTTATGGATTGCTTGCAATACTATGATAATTGCTTGTTTTAACTAAAACGTATATTTGTTAGTAATGTTTAAGAAAATTTAATGTGATGCTGATAGTACTTACCACAAAAACTTGTTAGACCATAATTATATGAAGTTGAGTAATTTGGGCCCAGTTGGTTCCATTTTAACTGACTGCATTTAAATCATATTAATTGTATTTGTACAAACGTACATAATCTATCAAATGTACTGTTGATAATGCCATCTATTAAAACCCAAGTTTCTGTCAGTTTATACAAACTGCCGCCTTGCCCTCAAAATGATTTAGCTAAGCAGAGATATGTAACAACACAGTGTTTAATTAAGGAACATCATATACTGTCTTTACAATGTCTGTATGTCTGTGTACATTTAAAACCCAGCCCCCCCCCCCCCACACCCCTAAAAAAACAACAAAAAAAACAACAAAAACTAAACAGCAACAGGGCTCGAATTTAGAACATGAAATTTTCAGAAAAATGCAAGTTCAAATAGAATAATGCGAGTATCTATTGGCATGTACCTGTAACTTCAAGTCATATCAGTATTGGTCTTTGGCAATTTTCTGTTAAAATTTCACTTTATTTGATAGCATACATGTATCGAAATGGATTTTTAGTGATTGCACAATAAACAAAATACTGGTACATGTATATGCATAGGCATAATTACGTATATTGGTAAATACTATGCTGAAAAAATGCAAGTTCTGTTCTGTTTGGTATTAATTTTGTGAGTTAGAATTTCTTGTACAGTAGGAATTTTTTTTAAATCTAGTCCATTATACATATAAACAATTTAAGAAAAAGAAAGAAAAAGCTTAAGATTGTGAGTCATTAAATTATAAAGTCCTGTTAATTTTTAATCTCTTGATATTTCACAAGGATGAGCCCGATCAGAAAAGACAGTTTAAAGTTAAAGATGACAAGAAAAAACCTGTATGGGATGACGATGATGACAATCAGGGGAGGTAATTTCATACTAAAGTTGTTTTTTTTACAAGTTTTCATATCTGCTATATAGAAGTTTTTAACTTGGTAGCAAAGTACATTTTGTAAATGATAATAATAATGTTGGTATGAAGAAATTTGTAAATGTCAAGGCAGCCTAATTCTGCAGAAACTATATTAACATGGAGGTGATTTCAGACCTGTTTTATAGCCATTATCATAACATGTTCTCTTGTTAGAATTATCTATTTTTTATCAGTTCCAAGACAAAAGTTATCATTAAAAATTCCTAAAATTAAATTAATTAAGTATTTCAGGAACAATGTATACATGTAAGTTTATTTAGTAGTGCTGTAAACAATATGTGATCAAAATTTGTTTTTAATGACCCGTTTTCTTTATTTTTTCTGTAGCATTTTACTCTCTAAAGCCAGGAGATTCAATGACATTAGACATGGAGAGGAGAAAAAGATATCTAAGAGTGAATATAGTCAGAGATTAAAGTCACAGTAAGTATTGAAATAACCATAGCAACTTGTCTATATCCATACTTAAAAGGTTTCTTAATGAGAGTCTTTTATACAAGTATAATGTTGATCTATGTGACTGCGTCTTTCTTCTTCTCAGTTGTTGGAAAATTTAATGATCTCTGGGTATTCACTTTGGAATCATAAAATTTGTTAGATTGATGAAAAAAGAATATGTCACAAAATCAGTCATTTTGACTTTTGAGCTTATTTGAATGATAATCTGCTGAGACCTACTATCTAATGTAAAAACAGATAAGTTTGATATAAACTTAAGAAATGCCACTGGAATAATATACATATAAAATTAAATAATGTAGCCTGGAAAAGAAATATTGTATATTCTACATTGTCTTTACTGATTAACTTTGTGAATTATTGTTATGGATTTCCCTTGCTTTTCTTCCATTTAAGCTGTAAAAGCTTTCAAGATTAAAAAAAAATAATGATAATAATAATAAAAAAAATCAACTCTGAACAGTGTAGAGCCTGGCTAGAATGATTTTGATTGTGCATGCTGGCTTAATGGCTGTATGCTGGTGAAAAAGACTATTCAATTTTGCTTAAATGATAAAAGTTGTTTTTTTCTTCTATATTTAATCAATAGATGCTCATATTATTGATTGAACCTTTTTCAGGTTTGAGAGAGTGTCCTCTACTCCTAACTGGGCCAGGCTGCCTTCTGAAAGAGAGAAAAATTCTGATGGTATGGTATACAATTCCTCACTTTGTTATATCCTTTAAACTTTCCAGCAGAAATCGTCTTATAATGCAGCTATCTAGATGATTTTGACTGAATCTGTAGTTTTCTGTTTCTACAAAAAGTGACAGGATATATATTGATGAGGATTGCATTTAGTGAATGTTATTCTCCCTTGTTTATTTTTCATTTCATATTTCTGTATTTTATGTGAAAAGTTTATCTTAAGAAGAAATGACTTAACTTGTATACTAGAGTAGTCTTCCTTTGAGTTTAAAATTATCCATTGTGAATTTTTACATAATTTTTAAACAGATACAAGGAATTTCTAATGTTTTGGAACAAATTTGTTTATGCGGAGCCCTTGTAAAGGAGATTAATTGATGAACAACGAAAATAAAAAAAGGGTACAGAAATTAATCCTAAAAATTTGCCTGACTTAAAAAAATTATTTACATGTAATTAAAGAAAAAATTGCTTGATATAAAAGGTAACTAATGTGTTTTGTTTTAAGATGAAGATAGTGATGTTGAGGACATACTACAGAAAACAGGAACATTTATAACATCATCAACTTCCCTACCTAAAACATTTCTACAGATCAAGCCATGTACAGATTTAAACAAAGAAAGTCCATTAAAGGTATTCACTTAATTCTACCTAATGTCAGATTCTGTTACACTATTTAGCGCTTTAAATTTTATGTAATGATTTATTTGTTATCACTTTGTATATATAATATTGATAAAGGAAAAATATGGTTTATTTTAACAAGCAAGGGCTATGGAAGGGTGGGTGTTCTAAGCAGGTGCATGCATTTGCATGAAATAATGACAATAGGGATGCCAGATGTCTTCTGTCACAAATATATTTTAGTTTTAATCATCATTTTACTTTAAAAGTAAGTGATGATGAAAAAATACATGTGATTTCCTAAAAATTTATTTATATCTGTAGATAAGGTATTTATACAACTTTTACTAGTGTTACAAGTGAAAGTGGACAGTTTTTAGCAGATACAGAATTTTATTTTTCACTTAATTTAGTTTTAAGAATTTTGAGGAAATTTTTTCTTTGACTGTATTTGATTAATTTGAAGCAGAGATAATACTTTGAATTTAGTGTAAAGGTCTGAGATGTTTTAATTTCAGGGGAAAGTTACAGCTTTAGAGTTTCATCCTTCAGCGCAAGTAGCACTTACTGGGGGCTTGAATAATACACTTACGCTCTTCCAGGTAAACTTAATTGCTATTGTTTTTTTATATGCTGTTTTTGATTCTAGGACATTTGTCCCTGAACAGTTGCCCCTACCGCCCCACCACCCACCCAAGATGATTGCCTCCCTTTTTTGTGGTTGGGGACATTTACCCCCTAAAATGTTTTGAAAGGGCAGACATTGGCCCCCCTAAAAATTTTGATGGACAGACATTTGCCAACCAGTATTAACAAATTGTTAAGTGTAAGTTTTAGCTCACATGTTATATCTTGAAATTGTGAAAAGTCTTGTACATGTTTATGGTTTCCCAAAGGCTAAAAGTCGAAACTTTCATGAATGAGAAAGCTAACTGATTGGCTGATTGAAAGCTCACAAGGTGACCTCCTATCTGTCACTATCAGATCTACATTGTACATGTAAACATAAGAAGATCTGAACTTAAGTCAGATTTGTTGCGTCGCAAATATTACTCAATTTCCCAAATCAATTACCCTACTTTAAACCAAATGTGCTAAATTGCATTGAAAATTGAAATGATAAAAAAATCCAGTTTTGAGCCCCCTAAATCCAGCTGAAAATCCAGTTTTGACCCATTTCAATTGTCACATATTGCAGGGTATGTAGATTTAGACTATTTTCGGGAGGACAAAAACTCACATAATATACTAAATTACTCTTTGGTATAAAGTGAATGTTTGGTATATACCTATTACAGGTGGATGGGAAATCTAATTCAAAGATTCAGAGTTTATTCATAGAAAATTTCCCAGTGCTCTGTGCACACTTTACACAAGATGGAGAACAGATAGTAATAGGTTCAAAACACAAGAGCTTCAAGTACTTTGATATGATCAGTGGAAAAGTTATCAATGTTCCAATGAAAGGTAGGGTTTTCTCTGAAATTTTTGCATTTTTTTTTCATTTGGGAAAGTTGCATAATTTGACAATTACATGTGGATTTTTAAGATACATTTCTATTTTTTCCATTAGCCTGTAACTACATTTAAGTTCGGAAAATACATCATATTACATCCGACTTTTTTTCAGACACCAGCATTCATTTAATTGATGATAACATTTTTACTAAGCTCTATATACTCAGAATGAATTTTAATTGTAAAAATTGTGATTTTTTATCAAATTTAAAATGTGAATAAGAAATTGATTTTTTTAGTAATTTTCTGTGACATTCTCATGTTTTTAAAAACAAATTCATTAGATATGCTAATTTTATACAGGTATAGAGGAAACTAATTTGAAAGAGTTTGCTGTGTCACCAGATGGGAAATACCTCGTCTTTTTGGGAAAATATGGAGCTATGCACTTTATTGCATCAAAGGTATGTATGCTCTCTTGAAAATAGTTTTATCATAACTCAGAATGTTTTAACCAAATGGATTCAACCCTTATCCAGTTGACACCAAATAGGATAAGTGTTTGCCACCAGTATAGACCCAGGCCAAACCTCCGGGGCCTATTGCGGTCTAACCAAGCTGTATTCTGTAGATAGCTCAATTTTTGTATTCCTCATTTTCAAATGGACTGTTCCAAATTTGAAGCAAAAATTAACCAGGTTCAGGGTTATATTGACTAGTACATGTATATCAGTGCCTCATATTTCCGTGTTAACCATCATAAACAACTTTAAATCAATAGGCGTCAGAAAGGTGTTTGTTGCCATTTTTGTGTCGCCTTGAAAAGGTGACATATAGGGGTTACTTTTGTCGTCGTTGTCGGTGTCCCCTAAAGCTTGTCCAGAGCATAACTCAGTCACTATAAGTCTGATTGACTTCAAACTTGGTATGCATGCTTCTTTCAATAACCCGAAGTGCAGTGCACAAGGCCCAGTACTCTGCAGTTCTTATTTTTTGAGTTATTGCCCTTTGTTAATTTTCATACTTTAATTTTTATCCGGGCCATTTCTCTTCAACCATAAAAGCTATGGACTTGAAACTTCATAGGATGATAGATCTCATTAAGAAGAAGTGCAGTGCACAAGAACCGGTACTCTGCACTTCCTAATTTTTGAGTTATTGCCCTTTGTTAATTTTCATACTTTATTTTTGTCCGGGCCATTTCTCCTAATGTATAAAAGCCATGGACTTGAAACTTCATAGGATGATAGGTCTCATTAAGAAGAAGTGCAGTGCACAAGAACAGGTACTCTGCATTTCTTATTTTTTGAGTAATTGCCCTTTGTTTATTTTCATACTTTAATTTTGTCCGGGCCATTTTTCCTTAAGTATAAAAGCTATGGACTTGAAACTTCATAGGATGATAGATCTCATTAAGAAGAAGTGCAGTGCACAAGAATCGGTACTTTGCATTTCTTAATTTTTGAGTTATGGCCCTTTGTTAATTTTCATACTTAATTTTTATCCAGGCCATTTCTCCGAAAGTATAAAAGTTATGGACTTGAAACTTCTTAGGATGATAGATCTCATTAAGAAAAAGTGCAGTGCATAAGAACTGATACTCTGCATTTCTTATTTTTTGAGTTATTGCCCTTTGTTGATTTTTTTACTTTATTTTTGTCCTGGTCATTTCTCCTCAAGTATGAAAGCTATGGACTTGAAACATCATAGAATGATAGAACTTATTGATAAGAAGTGCAGTGCACAGAAACTGCTGCTCTGCACTTATTATTTTTTTAGTTATTGCCCTTTGTTATTTTTCATATTTCATTTTTGTCCTGGCCATTTCTCCTAAACTACATTGTTCACAAGGCGACACATCCGACTCGCGGAGTTCTAGTTGATACATGATTGCCATATGTAAACATTAAAATAATGGAATAAACTATGATATAATTGACTTGTCTTTTCTACAATAATTATGCATGGTATTTTCAAGAGCTTCATTCTTTTAACTTTTGTTTGTTTGTTAAACAGTTAAGTACTACAGGAATATGAGGCACTGGTATATGTTTTGTTGCACTAACATACCGGGTAGTTAATTTTCTCTGTAATACAGTCTTCAAATGTATTGCTTTAATATTGTTACTGACATTGTTGTAATAAAGGTCTAAATGATATTTAAATTTATTGTATTTATCATTTACATGTTTTTATCAATATCGTAAATAAGTTATAGACTTTATCTAAATAATGTTTTAATTAAAACTACTGCAATTTATTTTTCTCCAAATCTTTGTTACATAAAAATGCACACCATAAATACAAACTCTGACTATTGTACATGTATTTTTAGGCTAGCCTCATGTTCTTCACTGTTTGTATACTGAAAGGCATGAATTTGTATCCAACTTAGTAGTGGCTTCATTTTGTTTTTGCATCTTTGTGTAAAGATTTTAAATGTTCATTTGGTCAAGTTAAACTAATCGATTTATCAAGAAATTTTTAAATATTGTAATGCATTGCAATGCAATATGATTCAGTTGCCAACAAAATTGATTTAATTAAACTTTTTTAATGATACATGTATTTCATTGTTGTTGTGTTGTTTAGAAATCTTCTTGATCTCATTGAATGGTAAATATGAGACTCATTGAGCAGTCTACTACCTATAAAAAAATAGAGGATATTGCATCAGTGAAGGTTTAATACTTAATTTATTGAACAAGTTGAATAAAATCATATTATGCAAGCCTCTGGCGAGCATAATATTATTTTATTTAAGGAGTTCAATAAATTAAGTATTGAATCTACACAAATTTAATGTTCAAAAAGAGAATGGTTTACAGCTAAAATGAGTCAGTTTTCATTGACGCCTCTATAGCATAACGCTAACATTAGCGCGCTCTAATGCTATGATTGCTCAAATGACGTCACGTCAAAGTGTTATTAGACTAGTGTAATATTGTTTTTATTACATGGCCCAATGATCATGGCTTTATTACACCCCTTTACCGTGGTTTATGTGATAAAAGAAGTTACTACATAATATACATGAATATCAAGTTTTATGCTGCTTGCTTGTTCACTGACTTATAACAGCTATATCCCTTGTTATAAGGCTACTAGAATCTTCTTTTAATGTTCAAATGAAATCTTTAACTGTTACTCCACCTATGACAACTTTTCTTCAAGGAATTGTATTGTATCCTAAATATAATTTGAAACCAAGACATTTTGGTAGGGAAACACATGTTCTACCACTGGACCACTTTCTTCTTTGTGTGTACTTTTCATAAGATGTTACAGCTAAATATATGTACATGATTTAATCTAGCTTTAAGCACCGGCTTTCCATAAAAAATTACCTGTGACTGTTAAAATATACAGAATTTTTCACTTACTTCAGTAGTAATGGTATAATTTTAGATATAAAAATAGTAAATATTTTGGGTAATACATTCACAGTTTCATCTTAATTGTAAATATTTAACCATTATAAAATTCTATTTTTATGCCCCCGCCATGTAATGGCCGGGGCATATAGTGTTACCCTGTTCCGTCCTTCCGTCCTTCTGTCATTCCGTCATCATCAGTTTCCGTTCAATATCTTAAGAACGGTTGCACACATTCAACTCAAATTTGACATATGGATATGTCATGAGAAAATACAGGTCAAGTTTGAATTTGGTCATGGTTCGATGATTTTTGGCAGAGTTATGCCCCTTTTACTTTGAAAATAATATGAAATTTCAGTTTCCGTTCATTATCTCCCCAAGGGTACAACACATTCAACTCAAACTTGATATATGGATATGTCATGAGAAAATACAGGTCAAGTTCGAATTTGGTCATGGTTCGATGATTTTTGGCAGAGTTATGCGCTTTTTACTTTGAAATAATATGAAATTTTCAGTTTCCGTTCATTATCTCCCCAACGGTACATACACATCACCCTCAAATTTGACATATGGATATGTCATGAGAAAATACAGGTCAAGTTCAAATTTGGTCATGTTCGATGATTTCTGGCAAAGTTATGCCCCTTTTACTTTGAAAAATAATGTGAATTTTCAGTTTCCGTTCATTATCTCCCAAAGGTACAACACATTCAACTCAAACTTGACATATGGAATGCGTCAAAGGAATGCGCAGGTCAAGTTCAAATTTGGTCGTGGTTCAATGATTTTTGGCAGAGTTATGCCCCTTTCACTTTGAAAGTAAAATATGAAATTTCAAAGTTTCCGTTCATTATCTCTCCAATGGTACAACACATTCAGCTCAAATTTGACATATGGATATGTTTTTGGAATGCCCAGGCCAAGTTCGAATTTGGTCATGGTTAAATGATTTTTGGCAGAGTTATGCCCCTTTCACTTTGAAAATAATATGAAATTTACAGTTTCTGTTCATTATCTATCCACAGTGTTACATATTTCAACTAAATTTGACATATGGATATGTCAAAGGAATAGGCAGGTCAAGTTGAAATTTGGTCATGGTTTGATGATTTTTTGGCAGAGTTATGTCCGTTTCACTTTGAAATAATATAGATACATCTTAGGAATAAGCAGTTTAAGTTTTGAATTTGGTCATGGTTCAATGATTTTAGACAAACTTATCTTTCCTGAATGTTGGAAAAATTTTGAATTTTCAGTTTCAGCACTCATACTTTTAACCATTATTTTGGCTACAAATATGCAATATGCTATTTTTAAAAGGTTAAGACTGAATAATTTCAGTGCCTTGAACATTGTATGAAAACGGTTTGTGTTAACATGGAAAAGTTTTAAGGGCTTTGAACTTAAAATGAAAGAAATAATTAATGCACCATCTGAAATTTTGGCTGCATGCGGGGGCATCCGTGGCATGATGACACTTTTCTAGTTTCTTAAGTTTCATTTAGAAAACTTATTTTACTTATATAAAAGTGTGCAACAACATAAATTTTATGGGCTTTTTCTCCTGCTTTTACATGTACATGTATTTTGGGTATTTTAAGTATAGGTTTGTGTTTTTTAACTCAAAAATGAAATTAAATCTGTCAATAGCAGCACACATACAAAGTGGTTGAAATTATGTCTTTAACCTTTACACCATGAGAGTGTTGTATGCTGAACAGGATGGTATTTAATGACATCTTTATACCAATTAAATGAATGAAATATACCAAAGAATTTAAAAACTAAATGATCAAAAATAATTTCAACCGCTAAGTTACATTTACAAATTTGCAATCTGGTGTGAACAATGAGATAAGTCCTGGTCAAATAAATCACTATCTTGAAGGAGAGTTACTATACGCTACATAGTAGATTAAAGTAAAGTTATAAATAGATTTAAATCGTACAGGGGAAACAACTAAGGAAATCATGTTCTAATTTCTTCCATATTTGGGCGTTTACTTCCCTTTTGTGCTTTAAACAGGTAAAGAATCAATCAATATTCCAATATTTGATTGCGTACAGTGTATTTGAATCCAAATTAAGTAAACTTCAATAAGGTTTAATTTTGTGATGGCTTGTAAAGACTTAACAAGAAGTTACAATAAATAATTTTCACTAAAAACTATTTTGACTATAATAGGTAAATTCTTAAACAGTATGTGATGTAAATGAAGCATAGTATTTAAACTGGTCTAGATGTTGTGAGAGTTACGGACGGATGGTTAGGGGAAACGGACGCTCCTAATCCATCTAAATTATTTGGAATCCTCACTTAATGTTCTGAGTGAGGACAAAAAGAACAAAGTTGTGTAAATTGTAGATTCTGTAAAGATAGTCGTAGTAATTCTAGATTTTTGTATTATTATATAGCCATTTTGATATCAAATAGGCAAAATTTTATTTCCTTCAATTAGTAATTATCTTTTAAATATTGGCACTTCTTCCCTTAGCAGGTGAACATTCTTAGTCATTCTGTTCTGTTCTGTTCATTATTAATTATTTGTATTAGAAAAGTGAGGCCAAATATCAGGTCAACAACAACACAGCACATTTATGTGGCCTGATCATGGTCTGCACTGTTTGCTAGCAGTGTAAGATGGACTAGTTCATTTAATATATTTTGCATTAAATTTTTAATATAAACATTTATATTCAACAATATATTTTAATTTTTCAGTCAAAGGAATGGTTGTTTACCTTAACAATGAATGGTAATGTAACGTCAGTAGATTTTACCAGTGATGGCAGACAGATGTTCTCACATGGTGGTATGTGTGATCAACTTTATTAAATTTACATTTACAACTCTTGTAAGTGATATTGTTATCTTACGAAGAAGTGGCAAACTTGCTAATGTTCAACTCATAGTATAGTTGTCAATATTGAGGAGATAGCTCTCTTAGCTTGTAAAAATAAATAGCTTTCAATTAGTTAAATGCTTTTAGACAAATAATTTATAGTTACATGCATTATCGTTATGCTTTCTTACCAGTTAAATGTTTTTCAGACATGCAAATAAACTCATTTAATGTTGCATTTATGCTGAATTTTGCCTATATACTCAACATTAATGAGTAGAGTATATTTATGATGAGAAAATAACAAAATATAGATGCTGTTATACAAACATTAAGATAAATGCTGTAAATAAATAGACTTAAATTTATAGACTCTGTATAATATGACAACTAAAAGTGATAATACTTAAGAATGTTTCTTACTGCCCATTTTCATTAAATGTTTCTATATGCCAGTTGAAGAGCATCAGAATGTCCAAAAGACATGAAATGTTTTACATTATCTATGTTGAAGTTTGCACAATACATTTATAATTTAGTTATTAACAACTTCTGCTTTTGCTATGTATAAAATAAGTTTTAATATATATAAAGTTTTTACATAGCATTTATATACATGTAAATAAACAAAATATATGAGCCGTGTCATGACAAAACCAACATAATGGGTTTGCGACCAGCATGGATCCAGACCAGCCTGCGCATCCGCGCAGTCTGATCAGGATCCATGCTGTTCGCTTACCAACTCTATAACAAATAGAGAAACTAATAGCGAACAGCATGGATCCTGATCAGACTGTGCGGATGCGCAGGCTGGTCTGGATCCATGCTGGTCGCAAACCCATTATGTTGGTTTTGTCGTGACACGGCTCATATATGCTTATTGCTGAGACTTCTTTGGGATATTTTAGATGCAGGTCAGGTTTATGTTTGGGATTTACAATCACGCGAGTGCATCCACAGATTTATGGACGATGGTTGTACACGTGGTACTTGTGTAGCAGTTTCTAAAAATAACCAGTATCTAGCTTGCGGGTATGTGTCTTCATTAATTTAAATATTTTGGAGATTGACATTTATACTCATATTTTTAGCTCTTCTTTTGCAATGAAAGGGAGTGAACTGTCCACAGGGGTGTATATATACATACATAGACAGCATATCACTGATGTTTTCTATCTTATATTTAGAGAAGTGTAATGAATTGACCCAGTAGTGGACTAGTGGTTCACTCTCAATAAACATGTATATATATGTACACCTTAAAGTCATTGTTGTTTAAATTCACATTTTAGTTTCATTGGAATTAGGAAATTGGAGAAAATTGTAAAGAAACGTGTTCTTTTCTGTTACACAGGTCCAACACTGGGGTTGTTAATCTGTATGAACGAGAGACATGTCTCTCAACAAATGACCCAAAGCCACTAAAAGCTATAATGAACCTTACATCCAGCTGTTCTCACATGAAGTTCAACTCTACATCAGAAATGTTAGCCATTGCCTCTGATTCAGATGATAAAGCTGTCAAACTTGTAAGTATTTCCTCTTACATGTTGCTCCATTAAGGTTGATGGGGAATTATGGCTTATTGGTTAAAGTGTCTGCCCCTTCACGGGTCATGTCCATATTTTTAGCTCACCTGTCACAAAGTGACAGGGTGAGCTTTTGTGATCGCTTTTCGTCCGTCGTCCGTCCGTCGTCCGTCCGTCCGTAAACTTTTACTTTAAATGACATCTCCTCATAAACCACTAAGCCAATTTCATCCAAACTTCACAGGAATGTTCCTTTGGTGGTCACCTTTAAAAATTGTTCAAAGAATTTAATTCCATGCAAAACTCTGGTTGCCATGGCAACCGAAAGAAAAAAACTTTAAATATCTTCTTTTAAAAAACCATAAGAGCTAGAGCTTAGATATTGCATGAAACATCTTCTAGTGAGTGTCTACCAAGTTTGTTCAAATAAAAGCCCCTGGGGTCAAAATGGCCCCCCCGGGGGGTCATTGATTTCCCTATATGCATATAGTAAAACTTTAAAAAATCTTCTTTAAAAGAACCCAAAGAGCTAGAGCTAAGATTTTAGCATGAAACATGTTCTAATGGGTGTCTACCAAGTTTGTTCAAATAAAAGCCCTGGGGTGAAAATTTGGCCCCGCCCCGGGGTCATTGATTTTCCCTATATGCATATAGTAGTTAAAAACTTAAAAATCTTTCTTTTTAAAGGAACTCAAAGAGCTAGAGCTTAGATATTTGGCATGAAACATCTTCTAGTGAGTGTCTACCAAGTTTGTTCAAATAAAAGCCCTGGGGTCAAAATTGGCCCCGCCCCGGGGTCATTGATTTTCCCTATATGCATATAGTAAAAAAAAAAAAAACTTAAAAATCTTTTTAAAGAACCCAAAGAGCTAGAGCTAAGATATTTAGCATGAAACATGTTCTAATGGGTGTCTACCAAGTTTGTTCAAAAAAAAAGCCTGGGGTCAAAAATTGGCCCCCCCCCGGGTCATTGATTTTCCCTATATGCATATATAAAACTTAAAAATCTTCTTTTAAAGAACTCAAAGAGCTAGAGCTTAATATTTGCATGAAGCATCTCTAGTGTGTGTCTACCAAGTTTGTTCAAAATAAAAGCCCGGGGGTCAAAATTGGCCCCGCCCGGGGGTCATTGATTTTCCCTATATGCATATAGTAAAAACTTAAAAATCTTCTTTTAAAGAACCCAAAGAGCTAGAGCTAAGATATTTAGCATGAAACATGTTCTAATGGGTGTCTACCAAGTTTGTTCAAATAAAAGCCCTGGGGGTGAAAATTGGCCCCGCCCCGGGGTCCTTGATTTTCCCTATATGCATATAGTAAAAAACTTAAAAAATCTTCTTTTAAAGAACTCAAAGAGCTATGGCTAAGATATTGAGCATCAAACATGTTCTAATAGGTATCTACCAAGTTTGTTCAAATACAAGCCCAGGGGTCAAAATTGGCCCCGCCCCGGGGGTCATTGATTTTCTTTATATGTGTTTAGCAAAAACTTTAAATCTTCTTTGAAAAAACCCAAATAGCTAGAGTTTAGATATTAAGCATGAAACATCTTCTAGTAAGTGTCTACAAAGTTTGTTCAAATAAAAGCCCTGGGGTCAAAACTGGCCCGGCCCAGGGGTGTCATTGTTTTTAACTATATGTGTATAGTAAAAACTTAAAAAAAATCTTCTTTTAAAAAGCCCAATGAGCTAGAGCTTAAATGTTTTAGCATGAAACATCTTCTTATGGTGTCTACCAAGTTTGTGCAAATAAAAGCCCTTGGTTAAATTGGCTCTGCAACGTTGGGGTGGGGGTGGGGGTTTGGGGGGGGGGGCTATATACAGGTGAGGCGACCTCAGGCCATCATGGCCCTCTTGTTTCATATTTCACTAGTACTGGTTGGTTTCAGGAAGTGGACTCAAAGTGATTAATATAAGTTGCAAGAACTTGTTTGGCAATCAAGCTTGAATAAATATGTTTAAAGCCGTAAAGTTTTCATGATTTTAGTGTGGCGGCATTCTCTTATGAGTCTCATACAAGAAAATATCTTGTTAGAGATTAATCTGTACTAATTATAAAGTTACAATTCTGGTAGGAGCATACATGTAGCTTAGATTCCAAACAAAAGTAATTTGTTCCCAAGTTCTGTTTCTGATATCTTCAGGATGTACTGTGATATCAAATATATTTTAGAATAATTGTGCAAGTATTAAATAGAAATGATAATTATGAGTGTAGGGTCAATATTGAATTTTTTGAACAAATTGAATGGCCAGTATAATATCATTTTATTGAAGAAGTTAAGTAAATTTAGAAACTCCTTTTTATGCCAATATACAGACCTTTTCTTTTATACAAGTTTTTAGGTTTTATTCTTTTTTCAAACTTCAAACAATACTTTTTGCAGCTGAGATATTGCTTTATACACTTGAACATCAACCTAATGTTCTCACAAAAAGCATTGTATTTATATTTTTTAATCTCCTTTATCATGACACTTTTTAATAATAAAAAAGTGAGATTTGCTTTTGTTGTTTGAATGTCAAGAGTTTTTGGATTTGAGCCCTTTTAGGGACACTAGCATGTTTCCTCATTATACACCAGACCTGGTTAGTTCAGTAAGAACCACAAATGAGTTTTAATGAACAATGCTAAATTATTATATTATTATTCTTTCAGGTACATGTAGCCAGTCAGTCTGTATTTTCTAATTTCCCAGAGAGGTTTGATACAAATTTGAAGGTACCTACAGTGTTAGACTTTTCTTTAAATAGTGGATATTTCACCGTGGGAACAAATAGAGGGAAGGCTTTGCTATACAGGTATGTAACGTTATGTGTAACATATGCTTTTATTTAATAGAGAATGTTGATATTATTCCCCTAGTTCTTGTCTGTGTTAAACTGTTGATGAGAAAAATGCTGCAAAAATTTCTTTGTAATAACTGTGTAATTACAACAGTGTATTTTACTACATGTTTATATACGTGTATTGTCATATCAAGAAAGTGATATTTCAAAAAGTACCGCTGTCGGTTCCAATCTTGACAGGGACTTTGGATTCTTTTATGTAAGGGCTATCCAGCTAGCTTATGGAACGTCAGTGGTTCTACTCAGGTGCCCGTTCGTGCCTGAAATAATGCACAGAAGGGCACCTGAGGTCTTCCTCCACCAGTAAAGCTGGAATGTGGCCATATGACCTATAATGTGTCAGTGTGTTGTAAAACCGAAATAAACAAACAAACAAATATTTCAAAAAGTGTGTTGTTAACTCACACAAAACAATACATTTCCTAACAAAATATTCAACAATGATTTTAGGCATCTGCTCAATCAGCAATATATAACCATTATTCTTTCAATTTAAGTAGTTACCGGTAATTATGATTTAATTGATACACAAACAAAAGAACTACTACCTTGACATTTCAGTCTAGCTTGATATGTTTTAATCTTTGAATTGTTTGGTTACAAATTATTGTAACAATATTATTAATGATTCCATGATAAAAATGATTTTATGACATAAATAATGTTATGATAATGATATTGAGCCGCGTCACGACAAAACCAACATATTGCGTTTGCCACCAGCATGGATCCAGATCAGCCTGCACAGTCTGATCAGGATCCATGCTGTTCGCTATCAGTTTCTCTACTTGTAAAAGGGTTGGTAAGTGAATAGCATGGATACTGATCAGACTGGGCGGATGCGCAGGTGGGTCTGGATCCATGCTGGTCGCAAACGCACTATGTTGGTTTTGTTGTGACGCGGCTCGTATGATTTTATGATATAAATAAGTTGGGTTTATTTTGTTTTCTTTCAGGTTAAAACACTATGGAAACTACTAGATCTTCTGAAATGTTGTATGTTTATTTTTGTTTTAAAATGCAATAAAATATGAATTATAGAAGAAAGAAAATTGTTTTCTTTAATCTTAAAATGAGCACTTGGTGATAAGGGGTGAGGTTTTAGGATCGTTAGTTATTTGGCATAACATTCTGAAGGTCACTGTTTGAATTGGACATTCACACAACTTTGTCAGAACCTTTCTCTTAAAGAGGTCTTACTCAGCTTCGAACATGGGTAACAACAAGATGACCAGGTCATATTAAGTCAAACCATCTTAACACTGTAGAGACTAGTAAATCTAGTTACAATATTGGTTTGTACACTAGGCTAGCAGAATATTTTTAAGAGGGCAACTTTGGTCTTTTAGTCAGGGTTTTACTCGTATTCCATTTAGCAATGATGTAAAATGTAGTTAAAAATAATTTTGGAGTGTCAGAGTGGCATTGCGTTCTTAAAGCTCTCGTTGAAAAAATATATGTCGTGGTATATGTATGCATTATCAGTACAAAACTTTGCTGCTTCAGGGATAGTAGATCGTGTACACCGTGGATATCCGGTAATGCAGGAATGTGAATGTAACGTGGGAAATGTTCAATTATAACGCAAAACTGTTCAGATCTATGACAGAAACAAGCACCGCGGGAAGTAAACGAACAAATATGTTCAAGTAAATCAAATTTAAGGAAATGTATGAGCGCATATGGCTGCTGAGACTTCATATTTTACACATATTATTGGAATAATGCCAGAAATGTGATTATCATTCTTGAGAATGACGACCTGGCTAGTGTAAATGAAGGCGATATGTGCGCCGTCGATATGTATTAATATCAAAAGGTATGTCTATGCCCTGCGAGGGGTAGATACAACATGTAGATATAGTATATTTTGTTTTTGATATTCGGTATACCGTGATATTTTCCTAATCGTGCCATGTTAAACAGAAATTAGCAGATAAAACGTGACCTTGACAATATTTACGAGGTAACGCTGACATCGTGAATAATACACTGAAGCAGCGCTCGTTACCTATTGAAAAGTACCTGAATCATTATTCATCTTCTTTTAGCATTATTTGGCACGAGTAGTTTGCAAAATGTCTAAGATAAACCAAATATATAAATAATAAAGGATTAAATGCAAAAATTCCCTATCAATATTATCATTGTCAAAACGCAAGTCACCTTCAAAACGGCACCCAGGTGTCATTCTCAGGAATGACCTATTTCTTATATATTTGTAACGCTGGTTAAAGTATAATGTTATGGCAGTCTTATGCGCTTTTATGCGCAGTCTATTTCCTTTAAATTGATTGACCTTAAATGATTTATAGGTGTGCATGCAAATACTACAATATGGGTATTGCTTGGTTCGTGGTGAGTTACTAACTTATAGAGAAGGATGTGATAAAATCTAATGTCAATTATGGTCAAATTTACTTTCAGTTTGCTGGGTAGGTTACTTTTGAGAATACTGTTATTGCAATACTTTCGTATCCCTTGCAGAGGTCATCGTAGTTGAAAATTCATCACCTAAAAAATTCGTTATTTGATTATTAAAGCCTATCAAGCCATTCAAAATTAATTTTGCTGGACAAGTATTTCTTCAGTAGTCATCATATTTATTTCGACCTTCAGCATGGCTTTAGGGAGAAACGTTCATGTGAAACACAGCTTATTGAAATCACATACTCCATTGTCAATAACATCTCAGCAGGCAAACAAACATATCTTATTCTCCTTGACTTTAGCAAAGCCTTTGATAAAATAAATCACCGTAAACTACTCCTTACCCTTCAAGAAAACGGTGTCTCCACACAAATTCTCAATTAGACACGTTTCTTCCAAATAGGCCGGATCCAAACTGTCGCCGTGGGTGGTGAACACTCTACAGAAGTCCCTGTATATCCTGGCGCTGCTTTCTTATTTATATTAATAAACTTTCATCTTCTGTCTCCAAGTCTCAAATTCGCCTCTTTGCAGATGACACTGTTGTTTACATTACCATAAACTCTTCCTCAATAAGATGCTAATCTGGGAAAGGGAGTGGGACATGGAATTCAACCCCTCAAAAAGTCCTTCACATCACTTAGGAGCAAAAAAGTCATCAACAACAAGTACTTTCTTCATGGCCAAGCTTTAAAATCAGCTCCAAGCTCAAAATACCTTGGCCTTGACTTGTCCGCAGACCTAAACTACAACACACATATCTCAAGAATTACATCAAATGCAAGCAAAACCCTAGAATTCACCAAAAGGAACACCAATACAAATAACGAGGAAGCAAACAACTAGCTTATAAATCCCTAGTAAGACCCCAGCCAGAATATACTTTTTGGAGCCGATGCACACAGTCAAACATAAAAAAAAAAATAGAGATGGTCCAAAGACGAGCGAAATTTATCATAACCTATTAGCCATTAGCCTTCCCACCGACAGATGCATCCCCTCCCTCTTAGGAAAATACAGGTTACATCAGACTACCATAAGTTCTCGTTTTTCCCCCACTGTATCACACTTTGGCACTAGCTCCCAAGGAACATTGTCACACTGCCTAATCTAGACCAATACAAACAGGCAATGGTTAAGATACAGTATTAGTTGACTTGTGTTTTTACTTTATATCTTTCTTTCACCCTTACTTATAAAAATGACTTGAAGTTTTCAATGTCTCTAACTGTCCTGATAATGTTCATTTTCTCGCACACCTTTCACTAACACATCCGACGTGTACTCTACCTGCCTATAACATTCGCGAGAGGGGTTGGCAGTACACAGTTCCCTTTTTATGCCACCGCAGCATCTGCGATGCGGTGGCATATAGCGATTCACCTGTGTGTGTGTGTGTGCGTGTGTGTGTGTGTTTGTTTGCGTGTGTGTGTGTGTGTTATATAGAATATATAGTGAACTTAAAAAATCTTCTTGTGAAAAACCACTAGTCCAATTTCAACAAAACTTGGCAGGATTGATCCTTGGGTAAAGGGCTTCCAAAGTTGTTCAAAGAATTTCATTCCATGCAGAAATCTGGTTGCCATGGCAACCAAAAGGAATTATAAGACTAAATTTAAAAAATCTTCTTGGAAATACCCAAAAGGCCTAGAGCTTAGATATTTTGCATAAGGCATTGTCTGGTAGACCTCTACCAAGATTGTTCAAATTATAGCCCTGGGGTCAAAATCGGCGCCGCCCCGGGGGTCATTAATTTTCACTATATGTAGATATAGTAAAAACTTAAAATACCTTCTTGTAAAGACCCAAAAGGCCTAGAGCTTAGATATTTTGCATAAGGCATTGTCTGGTAGACCCTAACCAAGATTGTTCAAATTATAGCCCTGGGGTCAAAATTGGCCCCCGCCCCGGGGGTCATTGATTTTCACTTTATGTACATATAGTAAAAACTTAAAATACCTTCTTGTAAAGACCCAAAAGGCCTAGAGCTTAGATATTTTGCATAAGGCATTGTCTGGTAGACCTCTACCCAGATTGTTCAAATATAGCCCTAGGGTCAAAATCGGCCCGCCCCGGGGGTCATTTGTTTTCCTTATATGTATATAGTAAAAACTTATAGTAAAAAAATTTCTTCTAGCAATTGACAAATGCTAGAGGTTAGATATTTTGCATGAAACATTGTGAAGTAAACTTCTAGCAAGTTTGTTCAAATTAGAGCCCTGGGGTCAAAATTGCCCCACCCCGGGGGTCATTGATTTTCAATATATACATATAGTAAAAAATCAAAAAATCTTATAGTCTGAAGGTACAAGGCTTAGAGCTTTAATATTTGTTAAATGATATCATCTTTAGGTACGCTACCAAAGTTGTTCAAATTTTGCCTCTAGTGTCAAAATTAGCCCCGCCTAAGGGGCCATAGGTTTTCCTTATATGTATATAGTAAAAACTTCAAAAATTATCTTCTCTAATTTATTTACAAAGACTAGAGTTAAGATATTTTGCATGAAACATTATGTAGTGAACCTCTAGCGAGATTGTTCAAATTATAGCCCTGGGGTCAAAATTGGCCCCACCCTCCAGGGGTCATTGATTTTCACTAAAATGTACATATATTAAAAAATTGAAAAAAATCTTCTTGTCTGAAGGAACAAGGCTTAGAGCTTTGATAGTTGGTATATAATATCATCTATGGGTCCTGTACTAAAATTGTTTTAATTATGCCCCTAGTGTTAAGATTGCCCTGCCCCAGAGGCGATAGTTTTCCTTATATGTATAAAGTAAAAACTTGAAAAATCTTCTTCTCTGAATTGACAAAGGCTAGAGGTTAAATATATGGCATGAGACTTTGCAAAGTGAACCTTTACCCAGATTGTTCAAATTATAGCCCTGGGGTCATAATTGGTTTTGCCCCGGGTGTCATTGATTTTCATTATGTACATAAGCTACAGCATAGACATTTGACTTGAAATGTTGTTTGGTGGACTGTATCAAGATTGTTTTGAATTAAACCCTTGGGTCCAAAATTTTGCCTTGCCAAATGGGACAGTGACCTACTTTCTTGTCCTTTGATGTACAGCAATGAAATTTTGACCATGTTCACAGTTTTAGTTGTAAAATTGAACTTTGATATCAGGTGACCTAGATTTTGATGATGTGACCTACTTTCTTGTCGTTTGATGTACAGCTATGAAATTTGAACCATGTGCACAGATTAAATCATTAAGATGTAAAGTGAACTTTGATTTCAGCTGACCTAGATTTTGACAAAGTGTCTTACTGTGTTGTCCTTTGATGTAGTCATGAAATGTAGGCTGTGTGAAATATGACCTTCACCACCAAATTCACTAGACTCGAGTGCATTGATATATTCCTACTCTTGATCTTTTATTGAGTTAACAACAGATTTAACCACTAATCTGATAATAAGAATAAGATTGGTCAGGGATCTATGCATTATGACAATCTTCAAAATTGTATAGAAACAAAAAAAATCTGTTCCTACACTACTATTTAGTGTTGTATTAATGCGGTGGCATAGCATTTTTCTCAAATGCAATCTTGTTCAAATTGATACAATTTAATTTGTTCGGTTCTATTTAAAAGAAAACATTACCAACAGTAGGGCTCAAGCACAGACCTCTGCCATATTAAGTAATTATCTAAATGAAAGTCCTGCAACGGGTGTGATTATGGTTTACCCTTTAACCTAGTATGAATTTTCTAAACATTACTTATGTATTCTACAATAATTCTCATAAAGTATACGGATATCGAATAAGCGCTTTATAATAATCGTATATTCATAGGTGATAGGTCAAACTCGTGCCAAATTCATTCAATATGCAGAAAACGAAATTGCACAAATAATTACACTTATGTTTTCTTTCAGTTCCTTCAGACAAACATAAATCATTTATAATTAAACACTATTATAACCTTGTTTTGAAAAAACAACAAACACTTATATAGGTGTGGTCAATACAGGCATTTTATTCATTGGTATTTACAAAACACAAGCACACAGCGATGGTTTCTACGCAAAAATATGACCAGAAATATGGTCTTTTGAGTCCATCTCTTAACACAAAAGATGAGAAGGGAAAAAAATCACTTTCAATGCCCAAGAAACCATCTACACTCAAACACTTATTTAAATCCTTTACATATGGATGAATATTCTTTCACTCTGCTTCAATCTTACAGAAAATTTGACAATTCATTCGATCTGAAATAGATAAATTAACATGATAAAACATGAAACAAATTTGAATATCTATATATTAAATTTGAAGCACTGTATATTATTTCATGTATATAGCTCTAATATTGTCAAAACATGTATGCAAATAACCTGTTGTTGTTGTTGTTGTTAAAACAAACTTTTACTGTAACCAAATTCCAAAGAATCAAAACAGTAATCTTAAAAAATGGGCGGGTGGGTGGGGAAACTAAACTAAACAGTTTAGTTTAACTGCCTGTATCTGACCTCAAAGAGACTTTAACACGTTACAACCCGGTTTATATATAAACCGCTACCCGTTATAATTACCATATTTGGTAATTTCTCATGCAAAACATGACTAGAACAATAATATATATATATATAAGTTCACTAAGCAGGCTACAACACATTAAAGTGTGACAGTTATGTTTTACCTAACCAGTAATTATGTAATATACAATATGTAAGTTATAAACAACTGTTATCTTCAAATCCATTTTAATCCGCACTGTTCACTCGTTTGGCACAGGTGTAGTTGCCTCATAGATAAATAAATACATTAAAAGTTTGATAGTACATTGCACATTCATTCCCAAATAATGTTTTCAAATGCATATTTTTACTCAAAACTTTATACAAACGGATCGAAAAGATTCGTGAAATGCAAGATGATGTTCTTTTACACGGGTTTATTAGAACAGCTGCCGTATAACCTAACGCAGTCCATCGATTTGTCAACATATATACGACTTTAGACATATTAACACCAGGTTCCATATGTTACCTAAGTGATGAAAGCATCGTCTTGTATCCCAATAATACGATATATATTTGCTAATAAATGCTTGTCATAGATGTTAAACACATGTCAACTTTGATGGCTAAGTTGTACGGAAATACAGAGGGAGCTTGTGATTTGATATGTGTTTTTTTTTTATAAATTAACAGATATAGTATAACATTTCATAAAACTACGTGGAATTATGGAATTATATTTTAAAGTTTTATTTAAAGTTTTATTTATTGCAAACAGTTTGGCTATACCCGGAATTTCAAGAGGCTCAGAAATTCTAGAACTAACAGAATCAAATTTTCAGACACAAATCAAACACATGAAATGCATGTTTCTATACGCTACCAAAGACGGGTGTGAAAAATGTGAACTTTTGTATCACAAGTTTTTGATTACAGCGCAAACATTTGAAAGAGAACGTGATATTACTTTTGGAAAAGTTTCTGATAAAACATTAACAAATGCCTTTGAGGTGACATCATTCCCGGGGATTGTGTATTACGAATATGGCAGTGCAATGCCAAAAGTATATCTAGGAGATATTACACCGGCTGCTCTAGCAAAAGTAGTTTCGGACGCAATGAAGATCGACTTAAAAAAAGTAGACAGACGTTTTGCACTTCAGCTGACGACAGAAAACTTTCATGCTGTCATTGACACAGATAAACAGTACCGTCTGGTGATGTTACACGAGGCTGATGATGAAGATGAAGTGGACTTGTACGAGGAAATAGCAGAATCGTACGAGAATGAACCGGATATTGTCATAGCAAGAATAAATGTAGACTCAGACCGGAAGTTACGTAGAGAATTTAACTCGATCTCATACCCATCATTTTACTGGTATGAAAAGGGTGTTGTTGAGAAGAAGAAGCGTTACGGTGGAGGTTTAAATATCGATCAAATGATAAGATTCATTAATCAAGAAGGGGGATTCTACAGGTCTAAAGGCGGGCGGCTAAACCCCTATGCTGGACTGATTAAACCACTGGATGAGGTTATCAATAAATACGGGAAAGACTTGTACGGAATACGGAATTTTGATAAAATAAAACGAGAGTTAAGAGCGGAAATAGCTAAACTTCCAGTTAACCAGGATAAAGAGTTAACTGATTATTATATGCACCTGGTTGAAGAGATAGAAGAAGACAGAACGATTGAAACATTAGACGAATCACGAAATAGATTGTTCAGGGAGATGTCAGGAGTCGGGCCATTAGAATTTGATCAACTGGTGAGGAAAAAGAATATAATTCAGAAAATAATTGACATCATAGGCCTGCATCTACTTGAAGAGATATCTGATGGAAATATCGATGTCCCGCTAGATAATGGTCCGCAATATGGATTCGAAGAACATGGACTAGAGTTTCACGAAGAACTATGAAAAATCTCCATTGAATTGCTTAAAATAGTTTATTGTTTACAGAGTATTTCCCTTACAAATAGTTGTAAAGCAAGTGACATATCGGTACTATATTTAGGCTACACAGTCATATAACCCGGAAGCTATAGCTGTTAAACCTTCATTGTAGTGAATTTAATCCATTTTAATGGATTAATTAGGGATCGGATTAGATTGCAACATCCCAGGGTATTCGAAAATTTATTAATCGTAATTTTTAATGTAAAATGATTTTAATAAATCTTAATGAAAAAAAAAAATTTTTTTTAACTTTCTGTTTCGGTGATAGTTTTTAATGAACTAATTATAGGTTGTCAATGGGCAGAAATCAACAAAACTGTACATAATTACGTAATTAAGTAAATATTTTCGCTTTATCCAATCGAATTTGCATAGCAACTGACCGCATCGTAAAAATTCAATAGGCCTGGATAAAAATTACTTTTATTTAAAAAAGGAAAGAAAAAAGAAACCAACAACAATGACAAACAAAAAACAACGAAAAAAATGTGTCTATGTCAACGATTACAACGATTGCATCTTCAGTGATTTATGAAGAAGAAACAAAGAACTTGGTTTGCCATGAAAATGTGCTTTATGTTATTTTGTATATCGTTTTCATAACTTTATGTGTTGTATCATTCATTAACAGGGTGTGGCGGTAGTGAGCAGTCACGAATTGACCGTGCAACGACACTAGCGATATCACTCTTAAAGTATGTTACAAACACTTGGTTAAAGGAAAAACTATGTAACATTTAAAGGAGTTCACCTAAAACATAAAATTTAAAGATATTCCATAAATCAAGTGATATACTTAAAATGAAAATATCTATTAAAAAAATTAAAGAAATACACATGTACTCAGAGTTAAATCGATTTTTTGTTTGCACGATATTAGCCTGGTTTGAGTGAAAAGCGTTGCAACGCTTTTCAGTTTTTTGTCATTTTACAAAATAATTATCTTTGGAAAATGAAGTAAGGGAATGATCTGGAATTTAACACACGAGTTTTTTTTTCATTTCCAACATCATTGATCTTTAAAAAATATTTCCATCCTCATGTCAAAAAAAAAAAAAAAACCTAAGTGGAGTCCCTTTAACATGCGCATATACTTTCTATATGCATTGTCTTTTGTGTTGTTAATGTTATATACTTATAATTGCAATATGACATTAAAAGAATACTATTACATATACTTTGTATCACCTGTAGAGAGCAATCGAATTTATGTTGTTTGCACATATTCTTGCAGCAAAGGTACACTTTGCACCGGTTAGCGAAAATCAGCACATGTATTGGAGCTTTATTACTTCAAACAATACTATACAAGCACATGTTTAATTGATAAAACAGAAAAGCACACTATCCATACTTTTTCGAATATTTATTCTATCACTCCACGTGATTTTGTTACTATAGACCAAGAAGGGAAAAAAACGGTGTTAAACTGCCAATAAACACTGGTTAGGGACTACTTGTATATGCGGCTTTTATGTTTTCACCCTCGATTATATAGTTTACAAAGCCTTTTAAAGCAACAATAAAAAGCATTTTCATTTATATTTTCAGTTCTTATAATGTTTTCTTTTCATATAATACCGCAATAATATCTCACATACACTAACGCCACATATTTGATCCGTCTGTCCGTCTGTCCGGTTTGTTCCATATACTACTTATAAATGCAATTTGAATGAAACTTTTACAGGAATGACTTGCGCATATTGAACGGGGTTTTCGGTTGAAAGAATTTTGATTGAGTTATGACCCTTGAATATAAAAAAACGTTAATGATTTTTGTGTCTGCTGCTACGCAGTAATTGCAACATGCTACAAGTAAACATATATGGAACAAAGAGTCCAATCACTTCTCAATGCCACTGCTGAATTGGTAACCATCAGGCGACACATGTGATCTCTTATCGCTCTTGTCTGTCACCTTTCTACTAACAATAACATTTTACTAACAATCTGATGTGCACTTATTTCCTGCATATACCAATAGTGGGAGGGGTTGGTAGTCAATGGCCGGGTGGTAAACAACTCTGACTTTGAACCACTGTCCCCTCACAAATGTGACGGTTCTAATTCCGCTAGGGACTTTTGATTCTTTAAAGCGAGGTACCTTTCCCGTAGCACACGGGAGGTTGGTGAAATAATGCCCAGCGCAGCACACGTGGTCATCCTCCGCTAGAAAGGTGTAATGTCGTTGTTTGACCTTGTGTAGTTTTGAACAGTCCAGCGTGATCTGAAACCAGCTACAAAAAATCTTACATAGTTACATGTATTGTTTTATAAGCTTTGCCGAAAAGTGTCTTACTGAATAAAGTATTTTATATCTCGTTATTGTGTACGAACTTTCACATATATTTCCATGAACTTCTTAAATACCGGTTTTAGAAGAAAGTACATATAACAGTAATTCCTGTCAGTGTTAATTTCAACAATAACGGTTACTTTATAGAACTCTATTATTCCATTATCAAATTTAACAATTAACTTGCTGGAAGTGAAAGTGGTTTGCCTTTGCTACCTGTAGAAAGCCAGTCCAGTCATTTTTTGATTGATCAAAATTAGTCCATTGTTTACAGAGTATTTCCTTACAAATAGTTGTAAAGCTAGTTGTCATACTATTTTTATTCTACACATAAAACCCGGAAGCTATGGTTGTGAAACTCGCTTCTTTATTATATCTTGAATTTAATCTATTTTAATGGATTAATAAGGGATCGGATTAAATTTCAACGTCCCAGGGTATTTGAAAATGTATTTATAGTAATTCTAATGTGAAATGGTTTTGATTGAAAATGAATTTTATGATTTTAATGATCTTCAACTTTTTATTTCGATAGATTGTGTTAATGACGTAATTATAGGTTGTAAACGAGCAGAAATCAACAAAACTGTAAATGATTATATATATGTATTTCTGCTTCATTCGGTCGAATTTGCATAGTAACTGACCGCATCGTAAAAAATCTTATAGACATGGATAAAAAATACCTTTATTAAAAAAACAAAAACAAACTTTTTTCATGCTTATTGCAACGGTTGCATCTTCAGTGATTTATAAAGAAGACTTTACCAGGAAAATGTGTTTTATGTTGTTTTGTAATTTATTTTGTAAATCGTATTTGTTCAGCTCGTTTGAAAAACCGTCCCCCTAACAGGCGGGCGGGTGGTCCAGCTGGGCGGGCGGCGTCCAATTTTTGTCCGGAGCATATGGAGGAATTTTAATGAAACTTCATAGAAATTCTCACAACTAAGAGAATCTTGGTCGCGCGCATAAATCAGGTCTCTAGTTCAAAGGTCAAGGTCAGACTAATGGGTCATTGTAAAATGCTTGTCCAGAGAAAAACTTCTACATGCATAAAGGGATTTCAATTTACACAACTTGGCACAAATGTTAACCATTGTAAGGCGGAGTGTCGCGTGCAAAATTTAGGTCCCTGCGACCAAGTTCAAGGTCCACATAGGCGTCAAAGTTCAGATAAAATATGAAAATGTGTATTCGGACCATTTTGTCATCATTTATTGAGGTATTGAAATAAAAATGGTCATTATCATGACAACGGGTGTGAAACATGTAATCTAGGTTAATAGTTGCAAGGTCAATGTCACTAAAATGATAAAATATAGAGATTTTGTCCAGAGCATATCTCCTACACACATGGAGAGATTCAAATGAAACTTCATAGAAATGTTCACCACTATGAGAAGCAGTGTCATGCGCATGAACCAGGTCTCTAAGTCAAAGGTCAAGGTCACACAGTCACTTCAAGGTCATTGAAAAATGCTTGTCCGTAGCAACACTTCTGCATACATAGAGGGATTCAATATTATTTGGCACAAATGTTCACCATTGTAAGGCGGAGTGTCGCATGCAAAATTCGGGTCCCTAGGGCCAAGGTCAAGGTCAAATATAGGGGTTAAAGTTTAGATAAACACATGAAAATGTGTATTTGGACAATTTAGTCATCATTTATTGAGGAATTGAAACACAAATGGCCATTATCAGGACTACGGGTGTGAACCATGCAATTAAGGTTAATACGCAAGGTCAAGGTCACTAAAGATGATAAAATATATTGATTTTGTTCAGAGCCTAACTGCTACCGAATGGAGGGATTCTAATGAACCTTCATAGAAATGCTCACGACTTGTCCGCACACCTAAACTACAACACACACACATCTCAAGAATTACATCAAATGCAAGCAAAACCCTAGGATTCATAAAAAAGGAACATAAATACAAATAATGAAGAAGTAAAACAACTAGCTTTTAAATAGCTGGCGAGACCCCAGCTAGAATACGCATCAACTTTTTGAGACCCTGCACACAGTCAAACATAAAAAAAAAAAACAACAAAAAAAAAACAGAGATGGTCCAAATACGAGCATAATTAATCATAAACCTAGGTCTAGTAGCCATTAGCCTAAAACATGGATCCATCTAGGATAACTAAACATATGCATCCCCTCTCTCTTAGGAAAATACAGGTAACATCAGACTGCCATAAGTTCTCGTTCTTCCCCCACTGTAATACACTTTGGAACATTGTCACCTTGCCTGATCTAGACCAATACAAACAGGCAGTGGTTTAGATAAGTACAGTATTAGTTGCCTTGTTGTGTTTTTACTTTATATCTTTCTTTCATCCTTACTTATAAAAATGACTTGAAGTTTTCAATGTTTCTAACTGTCCTGATCATGTTCATTCTCAGATTTTTACTTTCTCGCACACCTTTCACTAACACATCCGACGTGCACTTTTCCTGCCTATAACATTCGTGAGAGGGGTTGGCAGTACACAGTTCCCTTTTTCAAATTGATGCAATTTAATTTGTTCGGTTCTATTTAAAAGAAAACATTACCAACAGTAGGGCTCAAGCACAGACCTTTGCCATGTTATGTAATTATCTAAATGAAAGTGCTGCAACGGGTTTGATTATGGTTAACGCTTTAACCTAGCATGAATTTTCTTAACATTACTTATATATTCTACAATACTTCTCGTTAAGTATACGGATAGAACCGAACTTGGATCGAATAAGCCCTTAATAATAATTGATAGGTCAATCTCGTGCCAAATTCATTCAATATGCAGAAAACTGAATTGTACAAATAATTACACATATTAGTTTACAAAGCAGTCTACAACACATTCAATTATGTTTCACCTAACCAGTAATTATGTAAAATACAATGTGCACGTTATAAACAACTCTAATCTACAAATCCATTTAAATCTGCACTGTTCACTCATTTGGTACAGGTGTAGTTGCCTTAAGATAAATATATACATAGCACATTAAAAGTTTGGTAGTACATTGCACATTCATTCCGGACAGAAAATTTTCACACGGATAAACAGTACCGTCTGGTGATGTTACACGAGGCTGATGATGAAGATGAGTTGGACTTGTACGAGGAAATAGCAGAATTGTACGAGATTGAACCGGATATTGTCATAGCAAGAATAAATGTAGACTCAGACCGGAAGTTACGTAGAGAATTTAACTCGATCTCATATCCGTCATTTTACTGGTATAAAAAGGGTGTTGTTGAGAAGAAGAAGCGTTATGGTGGAGGTTTAAATATCGATCAATAGACAAGATTTATTAATCAAGGAGGAGGTTTCTACAGGTCTAAAGGCGGGCGGCTTAACCCCTATGCTGGACTGATAAAACCACTGGATGAGGTTATCAATAAATACGGGAAAGACTTGTACGGAATACGGAATTTCGATAAAATAAAACGAGAGTTAAGAGGGGAAATAGCTAAACTTCCAGCTGACCAGGATAGAGAGTTAACAAATAACTATATGCACCTGGTTGAAGAGATAGAAGAAGACAGAACGATTGAAACATTAGACGAATCACGAAATAGATTGTCCAGGGAGATGTCAGAAGTCGGGCCATTAGAATTTAATCAACTGGTGAGGAAAAAGAATATAATTCAGAAAATAATTGACATCATAGGCCTGCATCTACTTGAAGAGATATCTGATGGAAATATTGATGTCCCGCTAGATAATGGTCCGCAATATGGATTTGAATAAAATGGCTTGGAGTTTCACGAAGAACTATGAAGAATCTCCTTTGATTGACTTAAAAAATGTTTATATAAGCTGATAATGTTGGCGATACTACTACATATAATCTTCGCGAATCTGCCAATTCTAGAATTATACATTGCAGCACCTAGCTTTATTCAAATTCCTTTCTTCCACTTACTGTTTCTGAATGGAATCAACTGATTATCAAATGATTATAGAAGCTCTTCATCCTTAAGTTTTTTTTAAAAGTAAGTTAAACTCAAATTCACAAAAGATCCCGAAGTACTATTATATTGGTTCGAGAACTGATCAAATATATCACACACGACTAAGGACCCATTGTAGTTCACTAAAGGAGCATTTATTTTCAAAAAAATATTATAAACAGTCCTCTCTGCGAATGTGGGGAAATTGAAGACACGTGCCATGAATTCTTTAAGTGTCCACGCTTTAATGTACAACGTGATGAACTTCTTGAAAATTTACGAAATATTACAACAGACAACCTATCTATACAAGGAGTGCAATTAGCACGAACTGTGACGCGTGTCGTCGCAGGAAGACCTTATTGGAGCTTCTGGGTCCCATTTCGTACTCTGGTTGAGTTCAGGTCCACGAGAGAGCAGACAAAGGCCAACTGTTTCTAAACGATGTGAATTCTAGTTAACCCTTACTTCATATACACGCCCTTTTAAACGCCTTTTTCACCCCCCCCCCCTTTTTTTGTTGTCTCAAATGATGAAAAAATGCCTTATATTAGGCCCCAAACACTTGTTTTTACGTAGTAGGTATCTTTTATCTTCTTGTAAATATCTGGAAGGAATTAAATGCAGGTACAATGAACTGTTGCTACAAAAACTATGTCATGTTGTTACTAAAATAAATTGTTAATATGTTTTTATAGGAGAGAGTTTCATATTAGCTCTAAGCTTTCTACTCAATCCTGAATGCAATTTATATATTGTAATATTGATGAATAAATAAATATTGTTTAAACCAAAAAAGTTTATTGTTTACAGAATATTACCTTACAAATAGTTGTTAAGCAAATGTCATAACATACTATTTTTAGGCTACACATACCCGGAAGCGATAGTTGTTAATTCTTGTCGTGAATTTAATCTATTTAAATGGATTAATTTGTGACCGGATTAAATAACAACATCTCAGGGTATTCGAAAATTTATTTATAGTTATTCCTAATGTGAAATTATTTTTGTAACTTTTTTATGAAAATGTGATATTTTTCTTCAACTTGCATAGCAACTGACCGCATCGTAAAATATTCTATAGGCATGGATAAAAAATACTTTTAATAAAAAACAACAACAACAACAACAACAAACAAAAACTACTCTTTATCTTTGTCGACGATTACAACGGTTGCATCTTCAGTGATTTATGAAGGAAAAAAAAAGGACTTGGTTAACCAGGAAAATGTGTTTTATGTTGTTTTGTAATTTATTTTGTATATCGTTTTCATAACTTTTATGTGATATTATGTGTTTGTATCATTCATTAACAGGGTGAGGCGATAGTAGGCGGTCCCGAATTGAGCGTGCATCGACACCACCTCGTCTATAGCCAGCGATATTCACTCTTAAAGTATGTTATAAACACTTGCTTGTAGGGAAATATACATAATATTTAAAGGAGCTCCACTTTGGTCATTAAACCTAAAACATAAAATTTAAAGATATTGATAGACCAAGTAATGTACTGGAAATATCTATAAAAAGATAATAAAGCAATACATGCATACTCGATATTTTTGCACGATTTTCGCCTGGTTGGTGTGAAAAGCACTGCAACGCTTTTCAGTTTTTGGCAATTTTACACATTAAAAATAAGTTTCCGGGGAAAACAGAGTAAGGGAATGATCTGAAATTTTACACACAAGTTATCTATCAAGGCCTACATCAAAATGTTCTTGACCCCCATGTCAAAAAACCTCAGTGGAGTCCCTTTAACGTGCTCTTGAAAAAGCATATATGCATTGTCTATTGCATTGTTAATTTTATATACTTTAACCGCAATATGACAATAAAAGTATGTGTAAGACATTACTTTTTGTCATATTTAGAGAGGAATTCAATTTATGCTGCTTGCACATATTCTTGCAGTAAAGGTATAATATGTTTTGAACCGATTAGCGGAAGATCAGCACATGTATTAGTGCTTTGAACAATACTATACTATGTTAAAGTTAAAGTTGGCCTTACAATATAAGAGAATTCTATTACAATCTACATGGTAAAAAAACAAAACTAATAACATTTACATAACAAAACACATATCAATTTATCCAAGACTTTTATTTTTTGAAATTCTATTATCATTATCATAATATTAGTTTATGAGAAAAATATATCAGTTTGTAAAATGTAATGAAAAATTGATATCACATTTCCAGCAATACTAAGATGTAAATACTAAACTATTTAATTTTCCTGTGTAAGCTTCCACATTCACAACTGATTAATGAATAAAACTGTATTATAACTATTAATAAGTGTTCTTGTGTGTTTGTTATCTTTGATCTAAACCTTTCTCTCACTATTTACTTTTTAACATTTACTAGCATACTGTTTCCAGTCTCACATTTCCTGGCATGTTTACAATGTCTGGACATGTTTTTGTGTCGCCTTGTACAGAGTAGCAGCGACATATAGGGATCTGTCTGTCCGTGTGTCCGTCGTTTGTCCATCTGTCCGCCCTTCACAAAACTTGTTTTAACCTGTTATTTATCTTGTGTTGTGACACAATAGCTGATACGTGCTGCAAAGTAGCCAGGAATAATATATATCACTTACCATTGTCTGCCTGTCCGTCTGTCCGTCCGTCTGTCTGTCACAACACATGTCCGGACTACTACTAAAAAGCTACTGGTGCAAGTTCATCCAAATTTAACAGGAATGATTAGTGCCAAGTCAAGTTGTGCATATCGTCAGCATTTTCTAGTTCAATGATTTCCGAGTTACCGTCCTTTAATTATTGTTTGCTTGAATAACTCTTATACTACTTTGAATGAAACTTGACTGGAATGTTCGGTACCATAAGTACTTGCGCATATTAAACGGATTTTCCGGTTGAATGATTTTGACTCGGTTATTACCCTTGAAAAAAACAACGTTTAGGTCTGATTTTTGTGACTGGTGCTACACAGTAGCTGCAATATGCTACAAAGTAGCCTTGACATATAGTGAACAAACTGTTCAATCACTTCTCAATGTAACTGCTACATTAGCTATCATCAGGCGACATATATGATCACTGATCGCTCTTTTCTTTACCTTTCTACTAACAATCCGACGTGCACTTATTTCCTGCATATATGTCTAGTAGGAGGGGTTGGCAGTCAATGGCTGGGTGGTAAAAAACTCTGACTTTGACTCACTGTCCCCTAACCAATGTGACGGTTCTAATTCCGCTAGGGACTTTTGATTCTTTAAAGCGTGGTACCTTTCAGGTTGGGTCCCGGGCCGGGGGGCCCCCGGGGGGGGGTCATCCCTAAGCCAGGAAAGGTGGAATGTTGTTTTTGAATAACATTCCTGCGTATCTAAACCCCAATAAGAAAAAATTTTTTAAATACATGTATAAAGTTATTGTTTTATAATCTTTGCCCTAAAGTGACTTACTTGATGCAATAAAGTATTTCACATCTCGTGAATGTGTCCAAATTTTCATATATATTTTCATGAATTTATCAAATAGGTAATAGGTAACACCCTTGGTTTTTTAAGAGGCACTTCCAGTGTTTCCCACCTACCTAGAGGTATACTGTTATGAAACCAAAGTAATCCTCGCATGTATCAGTGCTATACACCGGGCATGTAAAAGAATCAGGGGTCTATTTAATAAGAGCTAGGGATTGGTTTTCATAGCTGTCTCTGAAGTCTGCTGACGTAAGGATCCTACTGGAAATAACTGCTTGCTCTTTCGTAGTTTATCCTTGCAACACGGTCTAAAGAAACTCAATTCAATTCAAATCAAATACGGGTCCTAGAAGGAAGCAGATATAACAGTAAGGCGTGCCAGTGCTTAGTAATTACATCAATAATGGTTAGGATCATTTGGCACTTTCCTAGCTTTCATCGTAAAGAACTCATGGGCCCCCCGTGCATTATTTCAGTCACGAGCAAAAACCCGAGTGGACCGCAAGCTAACTTATTAGCTTCATCGATCACATAAATGATTCCAAAGTCTCTGGTGGGATTCAAGTGTTTTGTCTAAAACCCTCTTTTCAGACAAGATAGAAGATCTTATTACAGTAAAGTATCCATTTTTTAATAGTAAATTGAAATTAATTGATGATCTATATTTATTTCATTTTCAAAACATCCAAACGGAAAACAACGATGGTAAATGATATGGTTTGATAATTTATACAATACATTCATTTTCCGTCAGCAAAGTACTTAAGTTTTACACACACACATGACACAAAAGCGTTGGAGCGTAAAGAGATGCCTGTCCGTAACTGCTTTGATATTTGTTTATACATTTGTATCTTAATGAAAAACACACCAAATTGCAAAAATATGTTTGTAAATACCAAGACATTAGATGGTACATGTCTAAAATAATCGCTATACCTACAGAAAAGCTGTTGAATATATTGCTAGATAATGTTTTATTCTGTACATAATTTAGTGGGGCGGGAAATTGATAAAATAGTGCAAATTGTGATACAAGCATGAAACTTTCAGGAAATCATCTTTAGACCATGTAGATTTCAAAAGTGAAGTGGGCCCAAAAATATATCTGTTCATTCAAGATGGCCGCCATTTTCAAAATGGCCGCCATATACATTTGACGTACATACTAGCTCATTTACTCCAATTTTTGGTACAGACCTTTAACTAACACCAAAAGCATGCATGTAGATTCTCCTTTTCAAAAGTTTAAATATTACAAAATTTCTCTTTCATACCTCTTCCAAATCCAAGATGGCGTCCAATATGGCCGTCGATTTTGTGCAAAACTGTTATATCATCATTTTTATAGTATAATTTGTTGCACAAATTTTGTTTATTATGATAAAAAGTGTTTAAACATATCAGAGATAATCAAATTATATGTTAATCTCAATAAAAGTAAACATTTTAAAAGTTTTTGTCTTAGAAATATCTTTTAGAAAGATAAAGAAAAAATTCCATTTTTCCATATTTTTCAAATTTGATTTTCTAAATTAATGTACAAAGTTAAAAAAGTTACTTTATATCTTAAACTGTATTTGACATTCCATTATTATCATGTGTTTATTATAAAAAAATGTAAGAAAAACATTAAATCTGTAGGTTTTATATTTTGTGAAAGTGGATGGGGTAATTTTGTACGGTAATTATTGTAAAAGAAAAAACAACAGAAAATAAACATAGCTAAGTTCATTCTATTTCTTTAATAATTTTTATTTTTAAAGTTTGTCCGGACTACTTCCCTTATACCACTAATGCAATTTCAATGAAACTTTACAGGATCTGTAGCTCAAGTCCTTGCGCATATTGCACGGGTTTTCCGGTTGAATGATTTTTGGCCGAGTTATGGCCCTTTGATAAAAAAGGTGGGTTTTTGTGTTGCTAGATACACAAAAGCTTGTCCAGACTACTCCTCATAAACTACTGGTGCAATTTCATCCAAACTTTACAGGAATGATCAGTACCAAGTCTAGTTGTGCACTGTCCGTCTGTCTGTCCGTCTGTCACAAAACTTGTCCCAACATGAAATTGGCCATCATGAGGCGACACAATTGTGATCACTGATCACTCTTGTTATTACTGGCATAGCCATGAGTTTTAGTATAAGAAGCTAATGCTAATGAGTGTGAAGTAAACAATATTTATGTTTATTCTGTGACTCTGTGACTGTTTAGTCATTTTATTGCTTTTTACATGAGGTCATTTAAAAATATTGTGAAATGGAAGTTTCGTCTGTTATGAGCAACCAGAACTGGATCGGGAACTTCCTGATGTCATCAAATCATGACATCATAATGTTCATGTTGAAAATATTCGTGTTAAAAGTAAATCTATAACAGTATCAAGATTTTGAGAATGTGATGTTATGCAAATTTATAATATACTAGTGCCAATGTTGTTGGAAAAAAGGTAACAAGATCATTTTGGGAGTGTCAGTTATGTCATAAAATAATCAGACAAGCCACACAAACACGAACATTTAGTAATTTAATTTAATTGCAAACGTTTCGGCTATATGCCTTCATCAGTGCAAAACATAATAAAATTACCGGAAGCGACGTCATAACTGAACACGCGTTAAACGCGCGAAAAACGTTATGGCGTTTAGCGGCAAAACTATGATAACATGTAGAAACAAATATTTATGCTATAAAAAAAGCTGGTACATGAATTAAAATGGATCAACAGTGATACAGATGTCTATTAGACAGTGTTAATAAAAATAAGATAATAGACAAACATATTAATATTCATGTAACCTATTATAAATCAAACAATACTTTATTATTTAGTCCATTTGGAATCATAGTATTTAATTTATGGATCCAAAAAGATTCTTTACATAACCGGTCCATGTTGTTGTCTATAATTTCTATAGGTAAAAATGAAAAATCTGACAATGAACAC